AAAAGCAAATCTTTAAAGGTATTAAAGGAAATATATAATAGTTAGCTAAATATAACTAGTATTTATATTAGAAGAGTTAGATTTAACTCTGCTCTTAAATTTAATAAGTATATTAGATAGAGCAAGGATTTTAGTATTATATATAAACTAATACTACTATAAATTCCTGAGGAAAATAGTATTATTAAATAGTTTAGTAGCTATATAATCTAGACTACCCGCATAATATATATATAAGTAAAAATAAAACTAATAATATAGCTATATAGTATAGATATAGTAGTCTATATTTTAAATAGGTTAGTTAAGGAAGGTAATAATAAAGAAAAGCTACCTATATAACTTTTTTATGAAGGATTAAATATTTTAATTAAAGATATTAATCTATAATATATTTATATATAAAGATATAAGGTATTTATAAATATCCTATATAAGAATAAGGTTAAAAGTATGAAAATATTACCTAGAGTAAAAATTAGTTAACTAGTTAAATATAATAGAGATTATATCTACAAGGTATGATATCTAAATATAGGGAAGATAATTTAGTTAAGGGATGTAATATTTAATAAAGGTAATACTAATAGAATAGATAGAATATAACTATAACTTCCTAATAGATTAAAACCAAATAATAATAGTCTATCTAGAGCAACTATATCTATTAATATTAAAAGAGGAAGAACAACCTATAATAGTATATCTTACTAAACTTTATTATTAGTAAATAATAATAAAGTTATTACAGGAAGAATTTAAATATTGATACCTAATCTAGTCCTACCTGAACTAAACCTACTAGAACTAGAGGCAGGTGCTGACTTGATATTTCTGCACCCACCTGCCTCTAGGGCTGTCTCTAAAACTATCCTACCTGATCTAGAGGCAGGTATCAAACTCATCATACCTGAGCAGCTACCTGCCTCTGGGCCTGCCTCCAGGGCTGTTTCTGAAACCATTGCTAAGTAAAATAATCAAGTAATTAGCAGGGATATAGAGGAGATAGTAAGACCTAGTATAGAGAAATAATCTAGGCAGGGTAGATATAAAGGGATAATTAACTATTTTATTATAGATAATCTATATACTAGTTAACCTATTTTTAAAAGGATACTAGTATTATAACTAATATAAAGGCTTCTAGAGTTATTTACCTAATATAGGGAGGTCTTACTAGTTTTAGAACCTTTTAAAAATAACTATACTCTAATAACTCTAGATATATTAAAAAGGAAGTATTTAAAGACTAGAAGGTAGGTTAAATTTAATATTAGGAAAGTAGAAATAGTTAATCAGGTAAAGGTATAAAATCCTGCTAGTAGGAATACTAGTAGTAGTATTATTATTCTATGGAGATCTTCAAGATCTATAAAGGGTTAATACTAAAGTATTTACTTTAAAGATGAGCAGGCAAAGCAACTATAGGAAGAAGAGGTAAAATAGGAATAATAATCTTGATCTTAGTCTATATTACCTCCAAAAATGCTTCTAGAAACGCCTCGTCCACCAGGATCCTATCTAAAGCTAGAAGAATTACCTGATATAATTACTATAGTATTACCAGATACTATATTACTAGATCCTGGTAGTTTTACACCAGAGATCAAGCTTATAAAGACTTATAAAGTCAGAATCCTATAGACCTATACCTAAGTAATGAAGTTACTATAAAAGGATTACTAGATATAAGTAATGTAAAGTCAAATTAGCAAGCTTGAAGCTATTTAGACTTATAAATTTATACTATTACTAAAGGATGTAAAGATCTTACTAGGAAAATAGGTATATAATTTAAAGTTAGATATAAATAATAATATATTACAATTCTATATAAGATAGATTATGTGTGGAAACTTCTAAAAACTAGGTATAGACTTTAACTAAGTCTACTCTCTAGTAGTAGTAGATACTTTAGTAAAGCTATTTTTAAGTATAGTTACTTATTTTAATTTAAAATAAGTATAATTTAACATGGTAATTACCTATCTTAATATAATAATTAAGAATTAAAAGATTTATATATACTAATTAACTAGTTTTAATAAGTAAGATAGTATAATATATTTACTATTCCAAGTCCTATATAAATTATAATAGTTAGTATTTTTTTAGTATAAGAAATTCTATAATATTCTAGTAAAAATTAATATAAAGGTAATTAATAAAGACCCATGCTTTTACTATAATCTAGACTAGTAGCTAATACTTATTATCTATATTAATAATATAATAGTTGCTGGCCCTAATAAAGTAAATATTTAATAATTTATAGATAAGCTAGAAAAATATTTTAAATTAAAGTAACTAGATAAACCTATATAATTCTTAAGATATAATATTTATAAATTACTTAGTAATCTAATATTAATATCCTAATATATATATATCTAAAAGATGCTCTATAAATAGAATTTCTATAATCTTTAGTCATATTATATACTAATGACTCTAGAATAGAAATTAACTAGAGAGATACTAGATACTAGTAGTATTATTCCAGATACTATATATACTTCTATAGATAAAGATAATATTGCCTATTACTAGGAGCTAACTAGATTATTAAATTAGATTACTATTTAGACCTGACTAAATATTTAATATATAATAATATGATTACTATAGAGAAATCATAATTCTAGTAAGTTAAATTATAATATAGTTAAATAAGTTTTCTAATATTTAAAGAAGATCTTAGACTATATAATAGTTTTAGGTTATTTAGATAATCTATTATATATATATATTAATACCTCCTATATAGATTATAAAGACAAGAAGTTAATAGAAGACTTTATATTTTTTATATTTAAAATATTAATTATATAAAGATTAGTAAAGTAATTACTAGTTATTCTAAGTTTAATTATTACTAAATTTATTATATAGGATATAGTAATAAAACTAGCTATATAGCTATAAAAGCTATATATAGCTATTAGACTAGAAAAGTCTATAAAAGGTACTATACTTTTATATACTAATTCTATAAATACTATTATTTTAGTAAAGAAGCTAAATTATATATCTATACTCTACTAGATAGATATTTACTACTTCTTTATTAAAAAGGTAATTAAAAATAGCAGAATTTAGCTATAAATAGTTAGTAGAGAGAATAATATTACTAATAGGCTAATTAAGGTACTACTAACTATAAAATTTAATAAATTTATTAAGAGGTTAGATTTTAGTAGATTAGAGATAGACTCTAAATAGCTTCATGAAATAGATATGTTGCTAAGGGAGGTATATTAGAGTGCTATACTTAATAAATACAACCAGCACCACTATAAAGCAGCATCACTATAAAGAAGAAGATAGCAACATGTGACTACTTTGTGTATTTAAGGCCACTATTTCCTTCTAGATCTCTATGCTTCCTCCAAGCATCTCTCTATTTCCTAGTTAGACCAATTGAATCCATTTCGGTCAACTTTCTACCGTCATAGTTTGACGACCTTCATCATCTTTTACCACGATGGCCAACGAGGAACGGTGAACCCCCCTTCTAACCGACTAGTACCTACCCGATATAACTACGGAGGAGTTAGTTAGTTACTCGGTAGGTAGCTATTAATATCGGTACTCGTACCGAGTACTCCGTACTAAAAACTCGAAACGAACCGGTGGTATAGATAGACTCTCGTGTCCTAAATTTAAGATCGCGACAATGACTCTACAAAGTTACTAAGAGTAGCCACGGAGTAGTTAACTAACTAACTAACTACCTAACTAACTAACTAACCACTTAGTTACTAGCAAGACAAAGGGGCACGGAGGATGGATCGATGCCGGATCCATCCATCTTGTGATTCTGTGGTCTGTCTGTCTGCGCTCGGCCTTCCTAACCCTAAAAAGCAAAGCCCACGAGCAAGAGTCCGACTTGTCGAGTCAAGTGCAGTTGTCGACTTGGCCCGAACCGTCTTGGCTTGTCTTCTATATATTAACTCGACATCTTTTTTTTTTTTTTTTTTTTTTAGCACCGTTTACTTTTAGTATTTACCCCGAGTCACCCGAGCACGGAGGTACGTACCTGTCTCGAAGGAGGTAGGTAGGTAGGTACAGAGTAGAGTGTTCAGAGGAGGAGGAGGAGGAGGGGAATTTATGGTGCATTGCTTTCATGAGATACCTACTACTACTACTACTACTACTACTACTAGTTGCCTCTTTGATTTGATTTGATTTAGTTAGTCACGGGAAGATATATAAATGGAACCTGGCTTTGGACTGGATAGCTCTTACCTTACCAGGAAAAGAAAAAAGCGTAGCTACAGTAGACACTCAGATAATATATCACTATAAATCTAGGGAGTATTCAAGGGACTTATACTAGGTAGCTACTTATATAGGCCTAGTATAAAGGTATGGATGGACCTCTCTTCACTGTGGGAGGTACAAGTATCAAGTTATCGGGATGGAAAAGGACGATCGATATTCAGTTATATACAGGAAGAAACACGCCATAATGATTACATTTATGTTGTCTGCCATCTATAAATACGGTAAAAGAAGTGTCAAATATAACAGAGAAGAATGGAATCTGCAACCAGCAGCAAGAAAAGCCCCCAGGAATAAAAGCAATTCTAGAATACAGTGGGAAATAGGACCGGGGAAGTCCCCGGCTGCCCATTCCCCCGCAGAAGAAAAATAAAAACCCGTCGTACATAACATCTGGACCAAGCTTTGCAACCTTTCGATGGTACAAAGCGGTGCTGCGACATGCATCATCTGGTCGTCAAGCAAAGGCGACCAGTGTCATTAAGGTCATTCATTAAAATAAAGATAGTTGCGCACTAAGAGTAACCGTAGAATAAGAGGATAAACCGCTTCGCCGCATTTGTTCGAAGATTGCAAATCAAGTGCTGACTTTTGATCGAGTAACTGCTGTTGAACCAGGTGAGCGGTGGCGGACTACCCGACACTTTTCATGTTAAATAATTGCAATTGATGAGTCTGAAGTCCGACAGAAACGTGGTTGTATTGGCTGTGTAAATCTAGGCCTTGCGGGAGCGAGTGACAGGGCCATTGGACCGGGCAGTAGAGACAGCAGTTCCGTTCGACTTGGCGCTGCCATTGGCGGCGGGAGTAGCGGGTGCCACTTCGAATCTTGCCATATCAATGACGGCCTGCTTGCCAGTGTTGCGACGGGGGCGACCACCCTTGGAGGCCTTCTTGTAGGTGGCGATGTAGAAGGAAATGAACAGGACGAGGTAGGAGCTCAGAATGGCCATGCCGGCGAAAGCGGCAAACTCCTCGCCAGCGCAATTGCCCATGTTAGGAGCCCATGGGAAGTAAGTGGAAGAGAAGTAGGTGTAGGAAGCGAAGTAGACGAAACCTAGCAGCGGGGTTGAGGTTAGCTTGAAAGCATGGGCTAGCAGCGCAGTTCTAAGGTCACTCACCAAGATCAATGACGAATTGAATGATCTGGAGACGAGTGATCCATTCCTTCCACCAGATACGGATACCACGAGCGCTCTGGAAATAGTACCAGTACATGACCACGTGCACCAGAAGGTTAATGGTGATGGGAACCCATTGGACAGCAGTCAGACCAATCAGCTGGGTATAGCACAGGAGAGCGGTGGCACCGTGGTGGTAGGTGTGAAGGAAGGTCAGGGGCTTCTTCTTTAGGAAAAGGAAGACGGTATCGAGGAATTCAAGGTACTTGTTGAGGTAGTTCAGCTATTACCTTGTTAGCTTTTGTTGGGTTAGATTGTCTGGACTGGGTTGCGCGGTCGAGCTTACATAGTACAAAACAATCAGGGGCTGTGTCCATCCTCCACGGTGGTCACAAATGGAGTAGAAAACACCATCCCTCACCAGAGTAGGCAGAAGCTGTTCAACAAACAGGGCCAGCAGAATGGCGCTGACTGCCGTTAAGAAGAAATTGTGGATCTTAAAGAGGAAGCTGAGCTTGAAGGCATCACGGCTCTTCATGACCTCCCTGCCGCCAAAAATGATGACATAGTAGGTAACCAGCATAATTGCGGTCTGCTTGAAAGTCGACATGGGGGTTACACCCTCAACGAAATCGAATTCGCTGGCAGGATAGCCCACCACGACTTCAAAGGCCTTGTCAAAGAGAGGCCATAGGTGGACGCCAAAGGGGCGGTCGATGGTGGGATAGGACAGGTTTTGCACGAACTCCATGGCTCTGATATTATTAAGAATTAAGTATCTGGAAGGTGTATGGGCCGGATGGGCGCGTAGAATCAGAGATGCGCTGGGTAGGTGGTTGGAGGAAGACCTTGTGAAAGGATGTAGTGAAGGCTCTTTTTTATTTTTATTTATTTTTTTTTTCCCTCCCAAGGATCGCCAAGGATTCAGGGACCGCAACGAAAAAAACGAAAAAGGGAAAGAGTAAGGGGAAATTAAATAAAGAAAGGAAAGACCCAGCGGACGAGAACGTCTGTTTTGGGGGACGAAGAGAAGAAGAAGAAGAAGAAGAAGAAGAAGTAGTAGTAGTAGTAGTGTAGAAGGTGGTTGAGGGAGAGAGAGAAGACAAAGTGTTCGCAAGGAGAGACCGGCTGTTGATCCGCGCATTGTTGCTGGCCTGGGGCTCCAGGGCCCGAATTGGGTTTAGTGTAACTCCTCGGGCCAGAGCAGAAAAAGGGGGGCTTACTTGGATTTTACATACTTGTTTGAGATTTATGATGGCAATATGCTCATTTCATGATTAGAGAAGTCATACCCTTAGGTACCTAGGTAGGTAGCCAAGCTACTAAGATACTGTACTGGATCAAACCCATCTACTAGTAATTACTCCGTGGTACTCCGTATAATTATATCAAGATGAATCAGGCAGTTAAATCAATAATTGACCAATAAGAAACATTCCCCCACTGTCCAATCAGCACCAGCAAATATAAATCATTGTGCCTCAGGCTACAACACACTCGGGCGCGGACGGAAAACCCGCCTGGCCGGGAACCTGAGGCATCTACCACCTCACACCACCACCCGCAAAAAACCTAGCGCAGCCTGGTTGTGGCCTCCAACTTGCACTTCGTCAACACTTCAGTCTATCTTCCTCTCCCCTCCCCACGTTAGCTCGTCCACCTCCGCCACCCACTCCCTGTCGCCATGCCTTCGATCTCTGTCTTCCGTGTCGCTACCCGCGCCGTCCGCCCTTCCGGCCTCTTCAGAGCTTCCCAATTGCCCCGAACTCGGGTGCAGGCTCCCGCTGCTCTGGCGATCGGTCGTCCTGCTTTCAGCACCTCTATGAAGCTTCGTTCCGGCCAGCATGATGATGAGACATACGAGGAGTTCTCTGCCAGGTATGCCATCACTATCCGCGAGCCCATTGGGCCTGGTAGGACCCGGCCGAAGTGAACCTGGGACCGTCGCAGGGGCTTTGCTCGTATGAGTCTGTCCTGCTGGCTGCATCTCTTGATAACCGACGACCTCTTCTTTCCGCCCCCGATAAATCACTCCCACTGACCTCGTTCGATCTTAGATTTGAGAAGGAATTCGACGGTGTCCAGGATGTTTTCGAGCTCCAGGTAAGCCCAATCATTTCACCTATATATATATATATATATATATACATATCACATCACACTCTCCCACCCACTCTTATCCCAAATTCTTCATAATTAGAATCTGGTGGCGGATCAATTCCTACTCTCTCATCCTAACCAATGCATACTAACGTCTTATCTTCCCAGCGTAACCTGAACAACTGCTTCGCCTACGATCTTGTCCCCTCCGTGGAGGTCCTCTCTGCTGCTCTGCGGGCTGCTCGCCGCGTCAACGACTTCCCTACCGCTGTCCGAGTCTTCGAAGGTGCGCTCACTTAATATTACCCTCTCTCTACCCCTCGATAAATACATTTCTCACACCCTTATCCTCCTACAGGTATCAAGGCCAAGGTCGAGAGCAAGGACCAGTACAAGCAATACCTCGAGAGCCTCGACGGTCTCCGCCAGGAGCTGGGCGTCGCTCTCCGGGAGGAACTTTACCCCGGTGAGGAATAGACGATCCGTTGATGGGGAAATAATCTTTTCAAACCCGTGGTTTCCTTCATTCCGGTTGATAAGATAGGAAAGCTGTATACATACTCTAGAATGCAGTTGGTTGATTTAGGTGTGTGTCGAATGGAGGTGCAGACTTGCTTTTCTATACCAGTGCTACTACTATAACATTTTTGTGAGCAGTTGCGTGTACTCTGTATTATTGGAGAAAGTGCAAAATATCAAGGACCTTGTTCTTTTTTCATTTCTTGATTTTCTTGGTTTTGCGAGTCGGATTCCATTCTTATCTGACGGTGTATCGTATGATGCCGGGCATAATATAACGGCAGAGAAAGCTTGGCCCGATAGCTTAAGACTCAAACTCAGCATAGGAACAGCCATGTACAAAACACACCATTAACTTGGTTGGAAAAAAATATTAGTGGAAAAAAAAAATATGATATACGTACAAAAGAGCCGATCCGCAATTCCCCATGACACCGCAACGCTATTGCTCAGTGTAGGGAAGGCAAGAACAGCAAGTCAGACAAACAAGGATGGCAGAGATCGAAAATAGAATAGAATGTAAAAAAAAAAAAAAGGCTAGTAATATAAAAGCTCTCATGAACGCCGCCGAAAGAATTTGTTACGGTGATTTTAAAAGGCCATGTAATGTCGTCAATCCTATGAATGCAAGGGAGGGTCCAAATCGTACATAATATGACGCCTGGAGGAAACGTGAAAGGTATAATATAATAATAACTGCGGCAAAGCTTCTCCCGGAAGTGTAGAAATATAAACGAATCTTCCTGTCAAAGGTTTATAGGACTAGTGAGTCCCCACGTGTTTGAAGTAGCTGGGTCGACAATCTTCTTTGGCCAGCCAGGACTCGCCCGCGAAGAATTTACCAGGGGTGCAGCCGGAACACTTGGGGGAATTGGGACAGTTGAAATAGGGAATGTGACGATATCCGATGTCTCGGAACCTGGAGTGAACACAAGTCAGCCAGTGTGTGAAAGGTGGGTGTTTTTGTCTTGAATATGTGATGACATACCAGTGAACTTTGGCGGAATCTGCGAACAGTCCAACACCGATCGAGTGGACAGGAGCGTCACCCCATCTCTCATAGAAGAAGCCGCCAGCACGGTCGAGATAATCGAAATAAGCGGAATACTGATCGCCTCTGAAGAAATCCATATCGCCAATTTCAAAGTTGGACCAGAAGTGACAGGTGGAGTATCCATTCGCGTCGTGGGTGTGCTCCGGCCGGAGCTTGTCATCAGTGAGCCATCCCATCATGTTGTTGTTAGAGAGGTAAGAAGGATTTGCTGCGAGGAACTCCTGGGTAGTGGGCCAGAGGTTTGGGATACTCTCAGGGGCATCGAACAGGTTAATGGTGAAGCCGTAGGTGATGTTGCGGTCCTCCACGTAACGGAAAACATCATAATCGACGTCGCAGAAGAACTGAACCTTGGGTTCCACACGCCAATAGTAGCGGTAGTTTTCCAACGCAGGGTGTTTATAAAACATGCCACTATTCCAACGGCACATCTGATGATAGGAGATCATATCAGCGTACTGTAGACCCTTTTCCTTCAAGAGCTGGGTGGATTCGCGGAAAAGGTCCATGTCGATCCAGTCAGGAACACCCCAGTGCTCCGTGGGGATCTGTTCTATACACAAACTTTAGTTGAGAGACACGCAATGGGCGAGAGAGAGATCGGATTGTATAGTACCGTAGATGCATTTCGCCTTAATCTCCGCCTGTGTCCTCTTCTTGAATTCCTCCGTAAACGGCTTATCGTTGAAGAAAATCCAGGGGTAATTGAATTTGTGGTTCCATGTTCTCTCGAGATCCCGGATGGTGGGAATCAGCTCGTTCAGTTCTTCGTTTCGCACGAGGGAGATAATGGCTGCCTTGGTGCGGGCGGAGTTGGCGCTGTCAGGAGCATAATCATGGTCTTCCGCACGCCACAGATAACCTTCGGGTTCGCCGGTTGCTAAGCACGAGAGAATACAGGGTCAGAGATGGAGGAAAGAGAAAGCTCCAAAATTCCAAGGGGGGAGAACGTACGCTCTTTTAGAGGATCGTATTTCATGCCTTCGTATGGACCCGACTCCGTGCCGACATAGGAGGGCTCCTTATTCATCTGGAATACCAGAAAGATGACAATCAGAATGCAGGCCGCAGCCAGCATACGAATAGGTCTAGCGACAGCCATCTTGACTGCTAGACAGGAGGAAGTCGCCGGGAAAACAGCAGCGCAGAGACTCCTCGATGAGGATCAGAGACTCGAGACTTTGTCCTTTTCTTCTTGTTCCAGGAGACTTTTTGGGTTTTGATTGCGATACCGCCCTTGACCTGATTGGGGTTAGCGTGGCAATAGAACTGCTGCTCATCGTTTCTTTTACAAGAGTACTCTCTCGACAACTACCTTTTACACCATCAGATCCTAGATGATGAGGTTCGATGGTCTTTGTTTTCATTATAATTTCCATGCTGTCTTTGCACATCCTCAGCCATAGCCATTATGAGCTCTGTGAACACGGTGATGGATGACCTCATTACGCTGGTCGCAAAGACGGACAAGGTATGCGCGTCCTTCTACCTAGTCGGACTAGTCGGGGACTGGGTCTCCGTTGACAACCTCTCAGGATACACCTCGCTTCAGAAATTTGAAACGTCGTGCAGATGACACGTTAAGGTCGCCGTTGTATGCGCGTACTGACCAGTTTGCTGTAGCGAAGCAACTTGCAGGACTCCAAGAAAAATTTCAGGTCCTGAGTAAAGATGACTTGGCAGATGCTCTTCGAGTTCGGTTGACTGAGCTGGACGAGCATCGCAGCCCATGGTTCCCGGAGATTCTTTCATTACTTTTACAGCTTGCAGACCGACCAGCTCAGTTGTCGAGGGTAGATCGGATTGAGAAGCTTAAGCCGGACGAAGACGCGACGGTCCTATCCTGGACCAATTTGGATGTCTCAGGGTCTGCATTCTGTGATGAAGACATTTGGGAAAGCGTAGATTTCGGGGCCGGATCCTCTGAGGATGATGACATTTCCTCGATTTCTAGCCACTCACAGCTCCCTCGGAGTTTCTCGCAGGTCCCCCTAGTCAATGGGGACGACTATGTCATTCCTGACGATATTTTCTCCTCTGGAGAGGATGATGAGCTTGTAGCCTCTATCGAGGGTGTTCAGTTTTGGAGAGAGGAGAGCATGTCAGACATCTCAAAGCACGAAAAGGCATCTTCTCGTTTGGTCACCGAGCTTCAGGCCATCAGAGAAGCAATTTTTATGCTGCAAGGTTTACCTACGTCGCTTTTCTGGCGTCTTGATGGAAATGTCGAGGTAGATCGGAGATATACACTCTCCCACCTGTCTTATGGATCACTTTCATCCCTAATGCGTACACTAAGCTCATACGGCACCAAGATCGATCTTCTGCGAGAATTCGCAAAATCCCCGCAAACCGTTTCTTATCTGCAGACCTTTCATCGCAGTATCGAAGATTCCTTATGCAAGTTCGACTTATTCCTCTCCAACATGCAATCTCGTTATCTGTCGCCGAGAACTACTGTGGCTATTAGTCTCCTGCAGTTGTCTGAGGATGTGTATCGTGAATCAAAACTACTTCTGCTCCTCTCTGACCTCGTTTCTGATCTCAGACGAAGCGCTGATAACTCTCCTATTCGATGCTTAGAGCTTATATACAATATGGTTTGCATGACACAAGCTGCGGGAGATGACGATAGCTTCACAATACTCGCTCATACGTTCTTTTCATGTTTCGATACCTATGCTCGACCTATTCGAGATTGGATGGAAAAGGGCCAACTCGAAGGTTCTACTGGAGCATTTTTCATCCACGAAAACCGCGAGACCAACGACCTACGCAATCTCTGGCATAACCGGTACCGGCTGGAAAAGCAATCGGAATCGGCGAGTTTGCCCAAATTTATTGAGCCCTTTGCTGAGAAGATTTTTGTGACTGGCAAAAGCATGGTCTTCCTACGGCACCTGAATATGATCGAGGAATGTGAATGGCAAGAGGCGAGAAAATCATCATTGAAATTCGAGGACACCCATCCTTCAACCTCCTCCCCTTCAATCTATCTCCCTTTTGATGCATTGCTCGAAGCTGCCATCAGCAAAATGGTCAATGACTGTCACAAATTCGCCTCCTCTCGTCTGCGGACTGGGCTAGATGAGCAATGCGGCCTATGGACTTCGCTTGAAGCGCTGGAACACATCTACCTCTGCAAAGATATGAGTGTGATCGCGCCTATTGATGCCAAAATATTTGAACTGATAGACCGAGGGAAAGGAGGCTGGAGCGACCGGTTCCTCCTTACTGAAGTCGCTCAGAGCGCGTTCGGCACCATGAATTTCATTGATCCAAGTCGGCTGATTGTCCGATCATCTAGAGATGCGCATAACAAACCACATAGCCGCAGCAGATCGGTGAAGATCCTCAATACACTCTCATTTGACTACGTTCTCCCTTGGCCTGTGGCAAACATTATTACGAAACACGGCGTCACCAGCTATCAGCGACTCGCGACATTCTTAATGCAAATCCGCAGAGCAAAATACCTGATCGTGAAACAAGTCTTGGAACGAAACCATGAATCCGATGCACCCTCCAGGAGCAAAGGCAGCGGCACACTTAGCCATGCCCTTCGTCACCACATGCTTTGGTTCCTCAACGTCCTCTACAGCCACCTAACTGACTTTGTTATATCCTCAACAACCGAATCGCTCCGCAAAGCCCTATCCACGGCGACCGATGTTGACTCCATGATAGCGGCCCATCATTCGTACATGGCTTCTCTTGAAGAACAGTGCCTCTTATCTGAAAACCTCCGTCCACTGCACCAAGCAACCATCACCTTGCTTGACCTCTGCACCAGCTTCGCCGATATGCAAGTAACGCGCTACAAGCAATATCACGCAGACCTCAGAAAGACACCTCGAAGACAATCAAAAGCTCTAAGTACCGGTATGACACCGAGAAAAACGAGATACGAATACTCCTACGGCGATGAAGACGCATCAGACAAAGAGGATGACGAAAGTGAAGAAGGAGAAAAGGAAGAAAATGATGATGATGATGATGATGATGATGATGAAGTCCACAGCAGCAGTCACCGTCAAACCCCATTTCACGAATTCCAATTCATCCAACGTCTCCGGGACATCCAGGATCAATTCAACCGACTTATCACCTTCATGGCCGCCGGCCTAAAAGCAGTCGGGCGTATCGACGGCCAGATCAGCTGGGAGATGTTAGCCGAAAAACTGGAATGGAGAAAAGAGGGACGGTTACTTCCAGCTTGAACCGTTTCCCATTGCTAAATTCCCCTAGACCAAGAAAAAGCAAAAGTTATTGACTGCTTAGGTTAGATGTAATTGCGATTTTCAGTCAGTTATATTGGGGCCAATAATGAAGAGCGCGAGACGACCAGATGTTAAAAGTGGTGTTTGAATTTCTTTTTGGCAGGACTGGAATAGAACCCCAGGGAAGGGGGATACTAAAAAAGATTGATAATAATAATAATAATGATGATGATTTAGAAAGAGCTTTCAATTTGAAATTCTTATGATAAAACAAAAGCTAAACTCCTCAAGTTGACCTCTCCCAGGAATTTTGTTTTCAACATATACTTGTATATCTATCAATTGACTATTCAAGACATAATCAGAGTAGAAAAAAGAAAAGGAAGATTCTTCTGCTGATATATCCAAGTTATTTGTTCACATCAGACCACAAAAAAAATCCCACCAGGTATTTATTTTTTTTTTCTGCACAGTATGGCAAGAGGGAAGAGAGGGGGGGGGGGGGGGGGGACAGAAAGTGAAAGGGACAGGAAAGATGATGATGATGAAGAAGAAGAAGAAGAAAAAGAAGCAGAAGAAATCAACAATCTTTGACAGAATTCTTTTAACCCACCCATCTTCTGGCACTGAAGAACATACGACCCCATGGGCCAATATCACCCCATTCTTGGGCTCTGGCGGGCAGCCAGCTAGCAACACCGCCCATGATGGTTCGCTCAGGGTGAGGCATGATAGCAAGGACACGGCCATCATCGCTGCGCACGCCTGCAATACCCTCGGGACTGCCGTTGGGGTTGAAGGGGTACTTCATGGTAGGCTTGAGAGTAGCATTGTCCACGTACTGTACAGCTGCGAGACCCTGTCTGACGAAGGACTCCGGGGTAGCATTGGAGGCGACAAAAGAGGCGCGACCCTCGCCGTGGGCAACGGCAATGGGGAAGGAGGACCCATGCATGCCGTGGAAGAAAACACTGGGGCGGGAAGGATCTGGGTCAGCGATGCGGACCATGCAGACGCGACCCTCGTATTGTTCGCTGGCGTTACGTTCGAATGTAGGCCAGTTCTGGGCCCCAGGGATGAGCTCCTGGAGACGGGAGAGGAATTGACAGCCGTTGCAAACACCGAGGGCGAAGGTGTCCGGGCGTTGGAAGAAGTTCTGGAACTCGGCGCGGGTGTTTTCATGAAGAAGAACAGACTTGGACCAGCCCTGACCGGCACCAAGGACGTCACCGTAGGAGAAACCACCGCAGGCGGCGAGACCGACGAAGCTGGCAAGAGAGACTCGACCAGAGATGATGTCGGTCATATGGACATCGACGGCGGCGAAGCCGGCCATGTTGAAGGCAAAGGCCATCTCTGCCTGACTGTTGACACCCTGTTCGCGGAGAATGGCAACACGGGGCTTGTTGCTGAAGGGAGACAGTGAGGTCAAGCTGGTGAGGAAGGGGAGGGCTCGGTCCTTGGGATCGAAGGTTGGGTTCCACGATAGACCGGGGTCTGTGTCGTCTAGAATATTGGCAAACTCCTGATCTGCACAAGAAGGATTGTCACGCATCTTCTGCATGTGGTACGAAGTTGTAGCCCAAGTCTGCTGGAGGCTGGCACGGGTGTTGCGGTACACAAGGCTGGCCTTGTGGTAGATAGCAAGGTTCTGCTTAGGTCTCTCAGAAACCCGACCGATCTTGTGGATCAGGCCAGCAGGAGGACCGCAGGTTGCGAAGCATGAACGGAACTGGATTTCGTGCTCCTTGCGAACCTGGAACACGGCTCCCAATTCTTCGTTGAACAGGCTTTCCACGATACTGGCGGTATTGTAGGCTGGGCAGATGTTGTCGAGCATAATCTCAACGCCGCAACGTCCGGCAAACATCATCTCTGCGAGGGTCGTGAATAAGCCACCATCGGATCGGTCGTGGTAAGCCAAAACAATTCCTGCATCCTGCAGTTGTTGGGTAGCGTCGAAAAAGTCCTTGAATATCTCAATATCGCGAATATCGGGGCACTCGGAGCCAACTTGGTTGAACACCTGGGCAAGGGCGGATCCACCCAGCGCCTTCCGGCCGAAGGAGAGGTCGACAAACATGAGGACAGTGTCACCGACATCCTCAGGATGACGAAGAGCGGGAGTCCAGGTCTTGCGGAAATTCTCAACCGGAGCAAACGCAGAGATTACCAAGGACATAGGGGCGGTAACTTCCTTGGCCTGGCCGGAGGATTCATCCTTCCACTTCATCTTCATAGACATAGAATCTTTGCCAACCGGAATGCTGATACCAAGCTTAGGGCACAGATCCATACCAATTGCCTCGACAGCCTCGTAAATGGCCGCTCCCTCTCCGGGGTGGCTGCTGGCGGACATCCAGTTGGCAGAAAGCTTCACATGGCTCAAACGGTCAACAAGGTCGGCAGCGGCGAGGTTCATCAACGACTCAGCAACAGCCATGCGTGCGGATGCACCGGGAGAGATCAACGCAAGAGTCGGCTTCTCACCCATGGCCATGGCTTCACCGGACGTCAGACCTTGGACCAATGCGGTGGCAGTGACAGCCACATCGGCGACTGGTGTCTGCCAGCGACCCACCATCTGATCACGAGCAGTCAAGCCACCGACGGTCCTGTCACCGATTGTGATGAGGAAAGACTTAGAGCCCACTGCGGGAAGGGAAAGAACTCTGTTAGCGGCTTCACCAATGAGTTCGGCCCGGTTTGGTGCGAGAGAAGGGAGATAGGTGGTGAGACTCGAGTCCACCGAAGGGAGCTTCAATTTCCGGGAGTCGACAGTTCGAGTCATCCTTGGAGGCTTTCCGAAAAGGACGGACAGAGGAAGGTCAATAACAGTTGGGTGTTCCTTGGATTCTCTGTCAAGAAGAATCAGTCGCTTTTCTTCTTCTGAACCGCCGGCTCCACGGCCAACAACGGAGAAACCACAGCGTTCACGATGGCAAATAGCAGTAAACTTATTCATAGACTCTTCACCAACCGCCATGACGTATCTCTCTTGCGCTTCGCAGCACCAGATTTGCATGGGGCTCATACTTCTGTCAGCGCTGTCAATCTCACGCAGTTCGAAAGTCGCGCCCAATCCCGAGTCATGGATCAGCTCTGGGAGGGCGTTAGACAGACCACCCGCGCCAACATCGTGAATAAACTTGATCGGGTTGTTGTCCCCCATAGCCACACACGCGTTGATAACCTCCTGAGCTCTTCTTTGGACTTCAGCGTTACCTCTCTGCACACTGGCAAAGTCAAGGTCGACGGATCCTTCACCAGAGGTGATACTGGAGGCGGCGCCTCCACCCAAACCAATAAGCATGGCAGGGCCGCCCAAGACAACGAGGAATGCACCGGGCTTGACAGCATCTGGCTTCTTAATAGCGTGCTGAGGTCGGACGGTTCCAACACCTCCAGCAATCATGATGGGCTTGTGATAACCACGGACCTCCTTCTCACCATTTCCAATGTCAATCTCTGTCAACAGAGTACGGAAGTACCCGGCAATGCAAGGTCGACCGAATTCATTGTTGAAAGCAGCACTTCCGATGGGGGCCTCCAACATGATGTCCAAGCTGCTTGCGATATGGTTTGGCTTACCGACATCCAACTCCCAGGGCTGTTCCAAGCCCGGGATGTGGAGATCGGACACACAGTAACCAGCCAGACCGGCCTTGGGTTTTGAGCCTCGTCCGACGGCACCTTCATCACGAATCTCACCACCAGATCCGGTTGCAGCACCAGGGTAGGGAGATACGGCGGTAGGATGGTTATGGGTTTCAACCTTGGCCAAGAAATGAACAATTTCCTTTGTGTGGTTCCATTCTCCGGTGACGGAGTCGGGAGCCCAAAAAGCGGCGCTAAAACCTTCAAGCACAGCGGCGTTGTCGCTGTATGCGCTGACGGTATATTCCGGATTCTTCCGGTGGGTGTTGCGGATCATGGAGAACAGGCTATTGGGCATCTCCATCCCGTCAATGGTCCAAGAGGCATTGAACTGCTTATGACGACAGTGTTCCGAGTTGACCTGGGCGAACATGAACAGCTCCACATCAGTAGGATCACGCGCCAGAGGCCCATCTGGTCCGTAGGCTGCCGCCAGGTAATCAATCTCTGAGTCTTCTAGAGCTAATCCCATACGTTTATTGGCCTCCTGCAATACCTCCTTGGGCGATTTGTCGCTCCTAGTGAGGGGGATGGTCTCGAGAGGGAGGGGGCTGTGTTCAGAGAACATCAGGTGGAGGTCAGGCTCGTCCTGGCTGAGGATTTGGGTCATCCGGTCGTGCAAGATATCCTTGAATCCTGGCTTGTAATCACCAGTCTCTGGGCGAAGACAGGAGATCTTCATTCCCCGCTCAATACGCTTCACGCACTTTTTCAGGCCGCAGACATGCGAGATACCGGTAGCCTGGGAGCTCCATGGGGAGATGGTTCCAGTTCGGGGGAAAACGTAGAAAACATCGAATTGGCCGTCTTCAGCACTGAACGATGGGGGAATATCGGTGATATCACCATAACGGAGGAGCTGCTCTAGGATATCTTGTTGGGGCTCGTCTAGAGGCTGAGACGTATGGACGTAGTGAATCCATTGAGCACGGACGTTCTGCGCTCCGATGGAAGCAGCCACTGCATGGCCACGAGAATGGGAGAAGGCAACGGTGCCTGGGAGAGCGAAGTAGGTAGAGTCGGAGGCCATGGTGTAACCGTACGAGGGCAATCGAATGACTCAACGGCGATGGGGGAGGAGAGGGGAAGCGGTGGGAGAGCGATGAAAGGTGAAGAAAATAGAGGATCAATCCAATCCCCCAGCAAGAGGAGGCTGACAAGACGCCTCTCCAAGAGCGAACTTCGACTGATCGAGGCGCTCAGCAAGATGCACTGCGGTTGGGCTATTCGTCTCATACGGCAGGCGGAAAATTCGTGATTTCTTCATGGCGGGCGTGGGATCACAACCCCGCGCTAGTCCGCTTCCGGCTTATCACCCTCTTATCAATCACGTGCCCAACCTCCAACTGTGATGCCTCAGGCTGCCCTACATCTGTTGCTAAGTAGTGCACTCCGTACTCCGTAGTATATCGGAGTAGGCCCTAGAAGGGAAACTTGACAGAGCCTCTAGAGTTGTTCAAACTGTTTAGGCATATCAATTGTTAAGAATCAATTTAACTGAGCTGCGTGAATCATGTGGAATGGCCTCCACCTTTTGCGGGACGTTTATAGGTAAAGTTTATTGAAATCCTTACAGGTGACCATCTGAAACCACAGCAACCTGAGCTGAGACAAGGAGGGTTCAATTTTTGAATCATGAGGGATTTTAGTAGGTCCAAGATTGCGTGGCGTATTATGATGGCATCTTTTCCGACACAAATTGACGTTGTCTACTCCGTGCTCCGTGCTTAGAACACCATAGCACTCGGAGTTTAGCCCCTTCCTATACTGTTTACGGAAAATTAATCTCAAGAATGATTGCATAAGTATGTAGGGGCCAGCGCCTATATTCCTACAAAACAAAACAAAACAAAAAAACAAAACAAAAGACAGAAGAAATTCCAGTTCTCGGTTTGGATATCAAGAGCGACAAATTCTGATTCTCAAGGGTCTAGATGACAAGTGGGGGCTCAACGACTCCGTAGACCGTTTCCCGTTCCATTTTTCATGTAGATAAACAACCAAAATCCAGTTCATGGCGGGTTTATTTGCCACTTTGGAGTCTACTCCGTACAACTTTTGGCTTGATACTTTTTGATATCGGATCCATAGGGAGAACCCTTCCCAGATAGGGAATATGCTCCGAGGGGAGAAATGTATGACGCCAAGACCCTTGGCGGCGGAAGCTTGATGATTCATGATCCCTGTGGGTGAGTGGGTATCTCTTGCGCTAAAGTAGGTCAGTCAAAAGGCTAGATCATAGATGCCCAAAAGATCCACTCACAGGCATAAGCCATAAATTAGGGGAAGAAATTCTTCACGGACTCGCCCCCTATTACCTGAAACAGACTGTTTGTACGGAGTACGCCTGGCTAACTCTCCGATAATTACAAATGCATTTGCAGGTATCCAGAGACTTTACCTCGAATCCAACTGATTCTTGATCAGATAGCACAACCATGGAGGAAGGGATTTCCCAGGAAAACCTTCGCAGTCAAATATACTTTCAAGTTTCTCTTGGTTCTTAAGCCAGAGGTCTAGCCTCCGCAAAGACCGAGATTGTCACTAGGTGGCCGGTGGCGTGTGTAACGGACTGGTGTCCGAGATGAAACCCTATGATCAAGACCACATCCTCCCGTCTGTGCCACGCGACAACAGATCTTCTATCCGTTGATTTTGCCAGATTCCAATCCCAATACCTGTATCTATTCTCATTGTCCTCCATGGTCACTATCCATGCTGTACCACCGTTACATCTTTTCTGCCCTGTGAATCGGCCATAGCTTCAGGCCTCGGCACATACTTCCAAATACGGCTAGCGCGGGCTGTCCCGATTCGGTAACTGAATGGGTCCCGTCCCGGGTCCCGAAGGTACTTACCATATTGGGAACCATTCCAGACAATGATGCTTTTCCATCTGCAGAGATCTTTGTCGACTGCATAGCTCGTTCCTGGGAATTTCTACGGCGCTAACCCTGACGGCAACCCTGATAAGTTATATAAGAACCCATGAGTACCCCCTCCCTGGAGCGGGATCCTCCTGTCTCCATCCAAACGGCATTAGTCCAACTACACCTGGCCCGATCTACAAGTGTACCTGCCTACAGAGTACTACTATCAGGATGGAGGAGCCCCACCAGACACGCTCTCGTGGCCTTTCACTATCCCACACCCTCTCCTTGGGGTCTGCACAAGGGGAAGTTGATCCCACCGATCTGCCTTTCCGCTCGCTCACGGCCGACGCAAATGTCGAAGAATATATCACTGAAACCCAAGCGGGTGAGATCGTCAAGCCCGTTCTTACCTCGGATGGGCGCACGGAGGACTGGAAGTTGGTGACATTCAAGATCGACGACCCAGAGAATCCTAAGAATTGGTCCAAAGCATATAAATGGTATTGTACCATGGTAGTTGCCTTCACATGTTTCGTCGTCGCCTTTGCCAGTAGTGTTATCACGGCCGATATCGACGGCCCAGCACAGTCGTTTGGTGTCTCTCATGAAGTCAGTCTTATCGCCGTTACTGTTTTTGTTATCGGATTCGGTGTTGGTAGGTTGCTCCTTGTCTAGCCCCTTGGATTTCGACATCACGCTAACCAGGGTTAGGTCCCATGGCTTTCGCTCCCGCGTCCGAAATGATTGGCCGCAGACCGGTTTACGCTGTCACCCTTCTCGTGGCCGTCGTCTTTATTATTCCATGCGCCGTCGCCCCTAACATTGGAACCCTGATCGTCTGTCGAGCCATCGACGGCATTGCCTTCAGTGCCCCCATGACCCTGGTTGGCGGTACTTTGGCCGATTTGTGGAAGAATGAGGAACGTGGTGTTCCCATGGCTGCCTTTTCAGCGAGTCCTTTCTTGGGCCCTGCCATCGGTCCTCTTGCTGGTGGGTTTCTGTCTGATGCAGCGGGCTGGAGGTGGCTCTACTGGCTGCTGCTGATTCTCGCCTTTGTTGCCTGGTGCCTGATCACCTTTACTGTCCCGGAGACCTACGCCCCGTCGATCCTCAAGAAAAGGGCCAAGAAGTTGAGGAAGACGGAAAACGACCCTAGATACGTTACCGAAACTGAACTTGATCCTCGACCGCTTGGAGAGCGGCTACGCGTCTTCCTCTTCCGTCCGTTCCAGCTTCTCTTCCTGGAGCCCATCGTCTTGTTTATCGCGATCTACATGTCTGTCCTCTATGGGCTGCTCTACATGTTCTTCGTCGCATATCCCGTTATTTATCAAGTTGGCAAAGGTTGGAGCGCTGGATCGACGGGTCTCATGTTCATTCCTCTGGCTCTTGGCGTCGTGATGAGTGCCGCTTGTGCTCCGTTCGTCAACAACCACTACCTAAGCCTGTATGCCAAGTACAATGGTAAACCTCCCGCTGAAGTTCGCCTCATTCCCATGATGTTTTCCTGCTGGTTAATCCCGATTGGATTGTTCATCTTCGCTTGGACATCGTACCCCCAGCTGCATTGGATCGGACCTGCCATTGGTGGCTGGCCAGTCGGATTCGGTTTCATCTTCCTGTACAACTCTGCCAATAACTACCTTGTCGACACATACCAACACCAGGCTGCCTCTGCCCTTGCCGCTAAGACCTTCCTTCGTTCCATCTGGGGTGCGTCGACGGTCCTATTCACCGAGCAGATGTACAAACGATTGGGCGACCAGTGGGCTAGTTCGCTTTTGGCCTTCATTGCGCTTGCTTGCTGTGCCATTCCATTCGTTTTCTGGTTCAAAGGAGCTGATATTCGTCGTTTCTCCCGATTTGCCTTCGCGGATGATGATGAAGAGCAGGCAAACGAGAAGAAGTAAACTTGTCGACAAAACTCTCCTCAATTTGATACCGACCCTTTTTTTTTTTTTGTTTCATTTACTACCCCTGCATTTCTTTTATTTTTTTTGTTACCTTTTTAGACCCATCTATTTCACTGACATATATAATTCTTCATTACCCTCATATTACCTTCAGCGTTTTGCGTTTCCTTGAAAAGTCGGAATTATGGAGCCCATGGACTGCATTTGTGTATAGATTTGAGATACCTCTAGATACGAATTAATCAATGGACATTAATGAATTTTTTTTTTTTTTTTTCTGTTTCAAAAAAAAAAAGAATATCGCATAGTCACACACGTAGGAAAGAAGCCTTGGAATCAGGGCTCCAATTCTTTGGACCCTTCGGGACGTAGGGCTTAGGGCTCTGATATCATTTCCCCACTTCTAGCACGTGATATAAAATGCTGAGTAATCCCATCTCACCGGGAGCGATTTTAGCGTCAAGAAACGTGAAGACCTCGGACCGATTCAATGGGTGCTTTTGCTTCACATCTCCGTTTGGATAGTTACACCCCGGTTATTACAAATTCGGAATCTCTCGCCTGCATTTTCGGTAGCCTATCGATTGATGGCTTGATCGCGACCCTCCTATCAGCAGTGAATGCTCCTTCCCCTCCCTCCCCCCACCCCCCATCCTATTTTGCGTGGCGTCGAAAGTACCTATCGTCAAACGAGCTCCCTCTTCCTCCGCCGTCTTCATGATCGTCGCTGCTACCGTGAAGTCAGTATGAGAAAATAAACACACCTGTGGCCGTAATTTCAACGCGAATCCTTCCTTTCAATCCGCAAAACGAGCTCCTCCCTCGACCCCCCTCGTTTAGCACACGTCCGATCATTCCATGACTCCCCCTCCTCAGCCCCCAATGTCGTTCCCGCCGCCGGTATCCGGCTCCGATATGACGGCTGCATCGTCGCGACCTGTCTCGGATCTCCCACAGGCAGAAGTCGACGCCATTATTCGGGCGAAACGAAAGGCGCGCGAGCCCAAGGCTTGCTATCCTTGCCATGCGAGGAAGGTGAAATGCGACCGCAACCTTCCGTGTGATGGATGTGTTAAGCGCGACCATGCCGAGCTTTGCTCCTATGAACGACCCTCGAAGCGGCGTCCAGTTGCTGAATTGGGTCCTCAGATGTATGCTGATGGATCTGTGGGGAGGGCCTCTGTTGGGTCGGGAGGAGAGAATGCAGCGTTATCCGGCGATGCAGGGGTGCGATTAAAACAGGAGCCCGGGTTGAGTAACCAGACAAGTCCGATGGTGAATAGTGGACAGGTGTCCATTGCTCGGGAAGATTGGGATAATGTGCGCATGAGATTGAAGGAGATGGAACAAACCATAGCCAATATGCGCGCTGGGTTGGAGAAGGCCGAGGAGGGGCCAGTGTCAGTATTGGAGACAGGCAGTGTCCGGAGCACAGAGGCAAGCAGCCGGTCCAAAGGTGGTTCGCCTGAGCGGGAGGGAATTCATGCACCGAATACTCTGGGAGAAGGCACCGTTCATCTTGGCTCGAGATCTGTACTCGCTTATATCTTGAACAATAAGTCTGGGTCGGATCAGATACACACGCTCCTGGAGGGTGGGATTTTGCCCAAGTTGGGCCTTGACAACGAATCTGCGACCTACCCGTTCGTTGATTTATGGTCTTCCGATATGTCTACCTTTGATATTAGTGCTGTTTGTTGTGCCCTTCCGAGTGACGAGCAGTGCAAAGAGTCAGTTCTTTGTTTTCAAGGATCCCTTAGTTTTTTTTTTTTTTTTTTTTTGTTTTTCCGGTCATGGCAACTAACTCCTGCGCAGATTCTTCCGCTGTTACCGAGATATTGCGGGGGCTATTTATCCTGTCCTTGAAGATGTGGTGCAATTTGAGTGGAATGTCGATCTTTTGCTTCGCAATAGAGTAGCTATGGGTGGAGTATATCGGGCAGATAACGATCAGACCCAAAGGCCTTTTGGTGTCACGATTGCTTACCTTGGGCTATTGTTTGCGGTGCTAGCATCTGGTTGTCAATCGTCCGACTTGCCGGGCAAGGAAAGGGAGCTCACCTCGCAGGTTTATGGTATAACTTTGCCCGCAGCTGTTGTCTTCATAAAAGCTGACTGGTTATAGTGTGCTGTTCTTATCAATGCCTTCGGATGACCAACTTTTTGTCTCAGCCGACGATAGAGGCTATCCAGACGTTACTCGTGATCGGAAACGTACTATCGTACAATATGAATCCCGGCATCTCCTATGTACTTCTTGGTAGGGGTCTTTTTTCCACTCATCGCATTACTGGGTTTACTAATATGGCTTAGGCATGACCCTTCGAATGGGGTTGGCGATTGGTCTTCATGTTGAATCCGGTAACTTCTCGGCAGTAGAGCGGTATCGAAGGCGGCATGTCTGGTATGTTCGTGTCTTTACTGACCTTGGAATGAAAGCTCACGTCTTCAGGTGGTCCATGGCGTGGCAGGACAGCCACTTCTCGCTTTCGTACGATCGCCCCTCAACAACTGCCGTATGTCAGCCCGAGATTGCGTACCGCGAAGGCACAAAATCGGAACAGCTGTCGTACTTTGAAACACTTTGCCGAATGATCTCTCTCGCTTTGGAGGTTGTTCGAAGCCGCATGTTGAGCCCTCATGCCCAGATGAGTTTCAAAACCATTCAGACGTACAAGGAAAAGATCCAGAAAATCATGATTGAAGCGCGCCCTTATCTTAGAGATCCCAACTACTGCGTGAGCTCAACAGACCGTCTGGAACATGCCGTGCTCAAGCTTCATTCATCCTACTTTTCCTCCGAGCTCTGTCGGCCAGCCCTGAAGTCACCTGCGGATTCTAGTGACTCGCCTACCGCTTGGATGCGTGCTGGGTGCCTGGATAATCTTATGAAAACGGTGGAGGCATATATCGAAATGCACGCTGTCAGCACTCACGCATCTCGTTCCTGGATTGCCTTACAGCGAGCCATCAGTGCCATATTCCTGCTGGCGGTTACGGAGGAGTCTAAAGGCAATGCGCATTTTTGGTCACTTCTCCGAAGGCTGAAGGCTATTATTAGTGAACGTGCTAATTCCGAATTTGATTATGGATCAACGGATGCCGCTGGCACAACGACGACGACTACTAATAATACTACCCGCACGACATCCTTCAACAACGCATTTGGAGCCAACGTTAATGCTACCTCGCCTCAAATTCCAACAACCTTGAGCTCCCCAGCGGCAGCCGCCGCCGCAGCAACAGACACGCAGACCCAGTGGGCTAAACCATTGACCAAGACCCTGCGCGCATTGGAAAAGCTTGAAGCTGCTGTTCACGGCCACGCCTATCAATTCTCCTCCAACGCTGGATCACCCGCATATCTCAATCCAAGTAGTGCGAATATGCCTCCAGGAATTCCTGTGTCAGCTGGTATGACACCAAGTGTCGGATCTCTTCCGCCACCGACGCCAGAGAGTTCGACCAGTGGCGAGTGGACGATCCCTAATCTTCTGGACCGGGCCGCGGAATACATCCACCCACCCCTTTGGAGTTGATTTCTTATTCTCATTATCTTCGAGTAGATGACGGAAGGCGTTGGGGATGGATCGGATCGTGTGTATTATTGCAGGCTGGCGCACGTTGTTTTGAGTTCCTGTAGGTACTTTCAGTTTTACTTATATCCTCTTTTTTGAACCATTTCTTTCCTGGTTTCGTCCAGTGTAAGGTTTGAGTGATGGTACGAGGAATTCCTCCTTGAATACAGGAATATAGAGAAAGGCTCCAGCTACGAGAGTGGAGCACAGTAGAAACCTCTCTGGTGACTGGAGAGGGTCGAAGGCTAAGATGAACTCCAACCCGGCATTTGCTTCTCTAGGGTTCAGAAACCAGGAATAAGCAAAGTAGAATATTGATCTTGATCTGAAGGACTGTCCCTCCTTTCTTCCCCTGCGTCACCAGAAACGCGCATGGCATGTCTCGGATATCCCGAGCTATCCGGACTGAGATTCATAAAGTGACCCCAATCCCCACTGTTCGCCCTTTGCACACTCGGTTCCAAGCCCAGTAAGATATGTGGAGCAAGTGGGAATCCATATCTTTGAGAATGACTTGTGCAGTTAGTTATGCTGCGGATACTGATTCTGTAGGGTTAGGTTGATTGGAGTCAGTCCGCCAGTCCGGGTTTATACTGTATATTACGCTGTCTCCTAAGACCCTATTGATTGGTATTATATTTCCCATGTCTACCGAAGAAACATCCTTCTTTGGATCTCTTTTGATCAACATGACTCTTCCGGTTGTCCTCACCAACGTCCTCCGTATATACTAACGTGGAGTCGTGGACCCGACAGCGCAAATACGAGGAATGGCCCCCGTTCAAGCAACGATAGCAAAGACAGCAAAAAGAGCAATATAACAGGCTACCCTGGTAGGCGGAGACATCGGGAGGGTTCAACTTCAAGCTCCAGCGCTCCACTTGGTAGCTCTTGGGCTATCTTACAATGTAGATGATAGTACATCCTTGGTGGCGGAGTGTCGTCTAATCGGCCAATAGTTACCAATATCAAGTGCAACCACGAGTCATTCATTGCGCTAGACAACTAGTTAGTTGGCGGCAATGCCCTGGATTTTGCTGCGGCTTTGAAAGCTTCTCAGCCCACAAGACTGTTGAAGCCCCTGAGCGAATTCGAGCCTCGGTTATACATAACTGGGCAGAGAAACCGGCGCTACTGTGTAAAGAAGGTGACAAATCGCCAATGAGAGGGTTCTATTCTTGGGGAATTGACTGAGTTACTCCGTATTAGACCCTTTCTCTACCTATTGACTGCCCGGCAAAGCAAGCAGTGTTGGGTTACAGCCTCACACAGCCCAAATTAAGCCCCCCCCCCCCCTCCTCCACTTTGAGGCTGTACGTACGGCTTCATTCCCCGTGCCCTATTGTGCTATTTAAATCGACGATTTCCCGGCTTTCTGGATTCTTTATCAGCATCATCTCTCTCTCTCTCTCTCTCTTCTACACACCTCTCGTATCATCATGCATCTTCGACATTTCACTGCCAGCCAGCTGCTGGTAGGTGCTACGGCGCTTAGTGTTCCCCTAAAGCCGCGCGCCGACTCGCAAGGCAGCACCATTAGTTTACATGCCACTCTCTATGGATCTCGCTTCAACGTCAAGACTACCGTTGGGCAAGATGAGCTGGAACTGCTCGTCGACACCGGAAGCAGCGATCTCTTTGTGGTCGAGGAAAACTTCCAGTGTGTCACGCAGAACTCCACCGGCCAGCTGTACGATATTGCGCAGAGCTTTTGCGGGTTCGCTGATGCGTACTACTCGCCCAACAGCAGCACCTACCAGTCCATTTCGGATGAAGTCTTTGAAGCTACGTATGGGGCTGGAGTCGCCCGCGGTGTCATGGCTTACGAAGACATCACTCTCGGGAACATCACTGTCAAGCGCCAGGAATTCGGGGCCGTTAACTGGGCTTCCCCCATGAGCTTGGGCGTCAGCGGAGTGCTGGGCCTCGCGTACCCCCCCATTACCTCGGCCTATGAACTCAACCGCACGTTGGATGACGACGACCTCAGCACCCAGGGCCAGTCGCAGCCGTACAACCCTCTTTTCGTCAACATGTACCAGCGCAGCCAGGTGCAGTCCTACTTCAGTTTGGCTCTGAACCGCCTCAGCGCGTCCGTTGCGGAGGGGGACGGCGGGTACATGACCCTGGGTGGCCTCCCCCCGGTCAAGCTGGGCTCCAACTTGACGACTGTCGCGGCCGAGTTCTACGAGGCCGTGGCCCTCCTCTCCAGCACCGGCCAGCGACTCCGCTCCTACTGGGCCATCACGAACCAGGGAATCGCCTGGGGCGACCACCACCAAAACACCACCGCCTACCAGACCATCATTGACTCCGGGAGCCCCCTGATTTCGGTGCCCGAGAGCGTCGCAACCGCTTACAACGCGCTCTTCAGCAGCCCCGCCGCATCCTGGGACAGCACGCAGGGCGCGTACGTCGTGGATTGCAACGCGACCGCTCCGGCCTTCAGCGTGACCATCGGCGGACAAACCTTTGCGCTCGACAAATCCGATCTCGTCATCCAGACCGGCGAAGACTTCTGTCTGTCGGCCATCGTACCGGGGATCACCATTGACGTTGGCAATGGCACGTCGACGCCGGCGCTGCATATCCTCGGCGCGCCGTTCCTCAAGAACGTCGTCGCGGTTTTCGATTTCGGAAACCACGAGATGAAGTTCGCTGCGCGCGCTTCCGAAGAAACAACCAGCGGGACCAGTCTCGCGGCCGTCACGATGGGAAGCAGCAGCGCGTTGGTCGCTTTGATTGCCGCGGTGTGGCTGTTCCAGGGGTTCTTCTAACCTTTTTTTTTTTTTTTAAAAAAAAACCATGTATATATATATATATATATAGATACATACATACATACATAGACGACGATTAAGTAAGACAGTAATGCATGATGAACTGTGACATCGATTTATAATAACTAATGTTGGCATGAAAGTGAAAGTGATATGCTGGGCTGCTTAGGGTTAGGGGGTACTCTGTACTCTGCCCTCAAACCTATTGAATATTGTAAAGAGACCTGTTAGAGACTGAGGGAGAGCAAATGTCTACCAACAAAGAAACCACCCCCTATCTCTCTTTCCGGAAGAAAAACCCTCGAGACGATAGGCTGGGCTAGTGGAGAAATTAGGACCGAAGATGGGTTCTGGATGATCACACGGGTCCTCCCGGCTATCTCTTTCCTGGATGGAAGGGTAGATTCAATACATTTGACTGATGTCTCCGTCTGTACGGAGTACTCCGTACCCGACTCCCGGGCCAAAATAAACAAGAGAGATGGTTCAACTTGATGGACGGAGTCTGTCTTACCCTAACCCTAACTATCTGGAGGATATCGGGATTCTGAGACATGGATCTTCGGTTGATCGTGGAGTAAGGGGGGAGGAGGAGGACGGAGGAAGGCGACGTGGTTCCAGTTCTAGGATGATATGTATAGGATATGCGGTCAGCAGCTGGATGACAGCGATGAGGTTGACGGTGCCTGCATGCTGTATGCCTATGCCACGTCGGAAGAAAGGAAGAATACAGAACAGAATAACATCCTTCCAGATGCAAAGAAAAAGGCTCGGAGTACTCCGGGGTAACCTTGAGGAATGTACATGAATCTCTACCTAGGTGATCGAGTCAGCCCCTGTCTTTTGCGATTTTCATAATATCAAGTCTATCCTCTAGCTAGCAGTGAATAGATCGTCAGCCGATAGCCGATCGGTTTCTAAGGGACTCACTCTAGTATAGCATCTGTACTCCGTATACTCCGTACTCTCCTCCCCAATGATCATCGCCGTGTGACACGTCACTTGCATCCTTACCTGCAGTCCAGAGTCGAGTTCTGGAAGCCCAGTGTATCAGTGTATATAGACAGACTCCTGGGAATTCTCCCTTGCGTGACCGCCACACGGGATCCCCCTGAATCTATATCTCTGAATGCCTGAAAAGTCTTAAACCCTAGATAGAGTATAACTGAGGGCCCGTTTCCCTTGACATTCTTTTCCCTCGTCTGCAATTTCCTGCTCCTGTTCCGTTGTACATATCTCGTACATCCTAATCTCCAGTACAAGTGATGCATCATCTTGTGTTTTGCTCCCTCTTAGCCCTAGCCGCGGGCTACGCAAACCCAGGGCCCTGTTCCGGCGACTGCTGGACCCACGACCCGGGCTTCTACCAGCGCAAGTCGGATGGGAAATACTTTCGTTTCGCCACGGGAGCCGGCATCTATATCTCCAGCGCGGACGCCCTGACTGGTCCCTGGACGGCCGTGGGCGAAGCTCTTCCGGGGGGGTCTCAAGTGGACCATGCTGGGAATACAAGTTTATGGGTGTGTTGTTGTTGTTGTCTATGTACTCCTGCAAGCCCTAATTTCTTCAAAAAAAAAACTAACATAATCCCCCCCCCCCCCAAAAAAACCAGGCCCCCGACATCCATTACGAATCCGCCTCAAACCTCTACTACATGTACTACAGCATCTCGACCCTCGGATCCCAAGACAGCATCATTGGCGTGGCATCCTCGCCCAATCTCCAGCCCGGATCCTGGACCGACCACGGCGCCCTCCTCTCCTCCTCGTCGGCCTCCCCCTTCAACGCAATCGACCCCAACTGGATCTCCATCGACGGCACCCCGCGCCTCAGCTTCGGCTCGTACTGGCACGATCTATTCCAGGTTCCCCTGACCAGCGCGACCAGTCTCGGCGGCAGCGGCGGCGCCCCGGCCGTGCAGATCGCCTACAACGCCAGCGCGAACCACAACATCGAGGCTTCGTTTGTGTTCTATCGGCGGGGGTGGTATTACCTGCTGTTTTCCTCGGGGCGGGCGAATGGGTATGACACGTCGCTGCCGGCCCCGGGGGGGGAGTATAGGATTGTAGTTTGTCGGTCGAGATCGGGAACCGGTGACTTTGTATGATTCTTTTTTGTCTTCTCTTTATATACTTATGCTTATGCTTATGCTTATGCTTATACTTATGCTGATATATGATTCAGGTCGATCGAACCGGCACCTCGTGTCTCCAGAGCGGCGGAACGACGCTCCTGGCTTCGCATGGAACCGTCTACGCCCCGGGTGGCCAGGGGGTCTTTGAGGATACCTCGCGCGGCCTGGTGCTCTACTACCACTATGCCGATCCGTCGATTGGGCTGTCGACGACGCAGTACCAGTTTGGATGGAATCCGTTGACCTGGGAGAATGACTGGCCGGGGGTATGACGGGTGATTGATTCCTACCTTATCTATCTATCTATCTATCTATATATATATATATATATTATATATTATATATTATATTGGGTATGGATGTACATGAGAGATACCATATATTCACTATGATTCACTATGATTCATATTATATGCTTAATGAATAATACATCATCATCATCATACTTGATTGATATCCGCATGCAGCAAAACAGATAGAAAAGAAGAAGAAGAAAAGAAGAAGGAACCTACTTCCGTGCAGAAGCAACAGCAAAAAACCCAACCGGCCGCGTACTAAACGCCCCGTTATAATTCCGGCCCTCGGTCGTAACCTCATAGCTCGCATCGGCCAGCTCCAAATCCACCTCCTGCAGCACCCGCACCAGACACAACAGCGACCATGTCCACGCATACCGCGTGCCGAAACACGCCCGCGTCCCGTTCCCGAACCCCTTCTTCACCCCGGCCGGCAGCTGGGCGTACTTCTCCCCGACCATGCGCGCGGGCCGGAAGGCCTCGGGATCGTCAAACACCGCCGGGTCGCGGTTCACCGCCGTCAAGAGCGCAATCAGCGGCTGCGTGCGCGGGACTTGATATTCGCCGCCGGCGAGGAGGACCGGCGGCGGCGGCAGCTCTTGGGTCCCTGATGGCGACGGGATGGGTTCGATGTTGAACCCGGGCGCCGGGGCCGAGAGACGCAGGGTCTCGCGGAGGATTGCCTCGCAGTAGGGGAGCTGCGCCGCCAGGTGGGCGTGCGTGAGGGGTCCGCCGGCTCCACCAACAACCGCGTCGATCTCCTGGCGCGCGTGTTCGATTTCCTGCGGGTTCTTCAGCAGGTAGTAAAGGGCGAAGGCCACGAGGTTCGGCGCCGTCGCGCTGCCGATGAAGAGGTTGATGATTTCGTCGAGCACCTGGCTTTCCGTGAGGGACTTGCCTGTTTGCGGGTCCGTGCCGTGCAGGAGCGCATGGAGGATGTCCTTGGGCGGCGGTTGCTGCTGCTCCTCCTCCTCCTCCTCGCTAGCGGCGGCGCGCCGTGTGGCGACGATATCCGCGCAGTAGTCGCGCATGATCCGGATGTCCGCGTCCCATTTCCGCTGGTAGAAGAGCCAGGTCAGGAACTTGGGCCGGCTGGTGCGCCGCATGGACTCGGTGGTTGCGTCCTGCATGGCTGCGATGATGGCCGGCTCGGGTCCCTCCTGGCAGCGGAGCCGCTGGTGGAAGAACGCACTCATGTTGGCGATGTGGTTGTTCCGATCGAGGTCGTTGACGATGTCGACGCGCTGCCGGGGCGTCGCGGTCCATTTCGCAATCAGGTCGTCCGTGCTCTCGAGGAGATCGCCGAAGATCTGCTCGATGGCTTCCGCCGAGACCATGGGACTCATGATGCGGTGCGCAACCCCCCAGGCCTCCATCTCGCTGTGGTACGCTGTAAAGAGACTGTCGTGCACGGCAGCCCGGATCTCAACAATCGGACCCGCGACGCATTTCCGGAACCGCGTTTCATCGCAGATTTCCTCCAGAAGGGCGGCGCCGGTCACGAAGACGATTTCATGGCCGAGAATGCTGATTTTGAAGATGGGGCCTGGTGTGTTTTTTTTTTTTTAGCATGAACATCTCTTCCGTCAACCAAAGAGAAACGAGAAAGAGAAAGAGAAAGAGAAACACACGATACTGAGCAGCCAACTTATTAAACGAGCCCCATGGATTGTTGCCATCCAGATCAAACAAGTTCCCAAGAATAGGGAGACCCTTTGGCTGGGGAATGGGAGAGGGCATGATGATGATGAGTCCGATATTGAGGGACAGAACAGCAATCAAGAATCAAACCCCAGCCGGCAGCACTGCTTGCTTAAATGTTCCCAGCATGATTCCTGCAGGCTTTCCTTCAGGCTTCAGCTGAATCTCGATAGTGCGTCCATGGCGTGGAACTGCAGTGTTGCGGTTGGCTGGCCGAGAGGATCACCACACAGATCAGAAGTTCGTCCCGCATCCTTGTGCGTCTGAGATGAACGTATCATGGAGCGCGATTTCCAAGTGGTGGAGCTGCTGGAGAGAAGGTGATACAAAGGCCAGGATGTTGCGAGAAAAGTATTGGCTATTATTAGGGAAGGGTTTATTTATTCTAGTCCATATTAGAACCCAAAGTCAGGGCCCCCGAGAAAAGTCGCCAGAACGAAAATCCACCATCTCCTCACTACCTTGCAATAGAAATGATTCAAACCGAAGCCCTCGCCGGCTCGATCCGCCCTCGGTTCCGTTCCAGACGGCTCCATATCCATCCCAGAGGGACCGCCAGTAACAGGCTTCGGCGGCGGCTGTCAGATAGCGCTCCCGGAAGGTTCGGACGCTATTGCTCGCGATGAGTTCCGCCCGGGGGTCATCGTTCAAAAGGGGTTCGAGCTGCTCGGCCAGGTCGCTGAAATCGCGTTCAACCTGCACAAAATTCTGATGCGGACCGGACGAGATCAGCAGGTAATGATGGTGTTGGATATACTGCAGGCGATGGGCCACGATGACCGATCGACACGCCTGACGGTACTTGAGTGACGCCGAATAGGAGCGGCCTGAATTGGTCAATACATAGCTGCTGGCGAGAGACAAGAAGAGAAGAGACTACGTCGCGCAAGGAAAGAAGAGGCGAAAAGGAAGGACGCAACACATACCCTCAACATGTGCAATAAACATGTACTTGCAGTGGTCCTCCATGCTCAACACATTCGACCGATCATTCCAATCCACCGGCTGCACATCCGCCCAGGTCTGGTCGCGCGTCGCATCCATCAAGGCCCGTCGCAGCTTGGGAGCAAAACTCGGCTTGCCGCGCCAGACCAGCTGCCGCTGCTTCGCACTCCAGGGGATGCGATCATACTCGATCGCCTGGTCGACCACCTGGTCGTAAGGCCCAATCTCATTCCCAACCTGATCCCACGCCCAGTAGCCGAAATCCGGAATCAGCCAGACGGCCTCCTCGTCGCCCGCCCGCGCCAGCACCCAGACGGGCTGCTCCGGGGGCGTCCGCATGATATCCTCGACTTTATCCTCCACGGAAAACACAAACTCGATGTCCGGGCGCACGACTCGGTCCGGGTCCGCCACCAGGGCGCGGTGCATCGCGCTCAACGCGGCCACAATCTTTCGTCGGTGGTCCTCGCCCCGCGCGCGGGCCCGGAGCACGTACAGCTCCCCTCGGGCGATGCGCGCCCGTGCCATGCCGGGTGGGAAGGGGATTGCGTCCAGGTCTGCGGACGAGAGACCGCCTTGCGTCGTCCAGTAGGACCGCGCGCGAATGATGTCTTCAAAGAGGCCGGGGAAGGCGGCGCTGCATTGGCGGCGACTGAGACCGGCGTTGTTGCCATCGCGCGTGTACTCGAACTCCCAGGGGTCCGCCGCTATGGGAGCAGGCGAAGGAGAGGAAAGACACGGGCGACGGTCGTGGCTCGAACAGGCCAAACAGCTACTACACTCAAACACCGTCGTTGTGCGACAGGCACAGTGACCAGCCGGGAGTAACTGGGTGAGGATAGGATGGTGATAATAATCACGGTCCGAGTTCACAGCATACCAGAGCACCAGTGCTATCGTGAAGCCCAAACCCCCAAGGATACCAAAGAAACCCAACAGACTACCTCTAAGATGCCACCGAGAACACGCAGAGAACATCATGATACATGGTTAGTGTTTCTGAGACAAGGAGTGAAACAAGAGCAGCAGCAGCAGCAACAACAGCAGCAGCAGCAGCAGCAGCAGCAGCAGAGAATCAGGATTCTCGCCTGGCTGTTATAATCAACCCCTTGAATAAACCTCACCCTGCTCCAGATTTTCGCCTGTCCTTTCTCCTTTGAAAAACAGCAAAAGGGGCGCAAGGAAGTGACGGTGCACGACGATCGTAACGGTTGATCCTTCCCTCGTCCAGAGAATCCATGGGGCAGTTTTAATTAGAAAAACCCAACATCCCGAACCATGCCCATATAATTCACCGACTGTTATAGCTGCTGAGGCTATAATATGCTTGGCTGGACGGGGGTGGTTCAGAGATCAGTGGAGTCCTTAATCTGTATGCTCATGCCATGGTGAACTCTTCTCCTGTCCTGGTGGACTCACGACACGTCATTTCAGTAAACGGTCAATTATACAGCCACTGCTGGGCAGAGAAAGGAGAAGAAAAGGGGGGGAACCGAGTTAGATAGACAGACGTGAATCGTCGGTGCCAATTAAAGATTCGAGTTTATTCCTAAAAGTACCGATTTTGTATGTCATTACGCCATTCCATGCAAGTGAGTCCTACCAGAACCCAGCCAAAATAAAAGAAGAGAAGAAGATGACAACGCCTGACTGATCCCCCCAAATCATGATCGTGGATGAGTCCGGACGGCCCTTCGTCGTGTGCTGGTGGTCGTCGGTTCCAACTCAGGGCTGCTGACCCCCGTTCGTCCTCGCCGGGTGCGTCCTCGTCCCCCGCGCACTTGGTCCATAGTGTCGTGCAGGAGTCGCTCTGCATCATGGTCCAGTTCCATCTCAATTGTTTCCTCCAGTGATGTCGTCGGCCCTGCCTCCGCCCCCATGCTGAGCCGCCCCTCGACCTGCGCAACATCATCAGTCCATTCTTCGGCATACAGACGACGAGCCACTCTCCCCTTTCCTTTGTTGTTGTCGCGCGAAGACCGTATCGAGTTGCGTCGGCTCCCTTCCTCGGACAGCACTGATTCAGTTTCCTGGCCTTCCAACGCCCAGATTTCGAGTGCGCGTGACAGAAGGGTTCCGGCGATGCCCGCTCCGCCAGCGGCATCACCACCCCCGCTGGCCCCCAGAACACGGACCGCCTCGTGCAGGGCTGTGACGGCATCCATCGTTCTACCTAACTCTAATAACACCAGGCCGCGCGCAGTATGAAGCGATCCGATCAGACCACGATCTTCGTACCCGCTCACCCCAGATGATGCAACCCCAGAGGCAGCACCCCCGCTGCCTCCAAGGAATGGGCTGTATCCCAAACTAGCGCCGCCAGCCCCAATACGCAAGCACTCGTCAAACTCCGACAAAGCCTCAGGAAACCGGCCTAAACGCCGCAGGGCATGGCCTAAATTGGCCCGCGTGGCGACCCAAGCGCCCGGTTCACAGTGCAGGGACGTCGCGAGGGCCAGGGATTGGCGGAAGAGTTCCCCCGCAGCGTCGAGGTGGTTCTGATGGTACAAAACGACTGCGAGCTCGTTCAAAACAAGTGGATCTCCGCCCAAGGGCGACCGCTCGGACGCAGGAAGCGACGGGATCGACGGGACGGACCCTGCCGCAGTGCCTGTAGACATGGCATACGCGGCGCAGAGGTATTCCTGGGCTAGGGACATGTTGTTCAATGCCAGGTGCTGCATTCCCAAGAAAAGCTGAGGCAGATGACTGCCCTGGAACAGTCGCGCGGCGGTGCTATATGCCGCAATAGCCTGGTCATGCTCCCCTTCCGCCGCGAACGTATGAGCAAACCCAATCCAGGCGGGGGCCGAATGCGGATCCAACAGAGACGCCTTGGAAAAGAACCGCCGGGCCTCTGCAATCTTGGACACGGACAGATAGTAGACCCCGATCGCTAGATACGTATATGATTCTTCGGGTGCATGGTCGGCAAGAGTGTGGGAAAGCAGAAAGAGGGAATTGGTGGCGCCTGTTTCGTAAAGGCACGCCAGATGCAACGGATACACCGCGGGTGCATGCCCCAAGTGGCTCTGCGCCGTGGTGGTGAGTTGTGTGGAGGAAGAAGCGGACGGAGAAGAAGATTGGGAGGTAGAGAGGATCGACGAGGTCAGCTCGAGGGCCTCTGCAAATCGACATTGCGTGTATAGGGCCTCTGCGCGAGAAAGGAGAATGTCGGGGTTATCGGCTAGTTTGTAGTGGGTGGAGAGCGTTTCGGTCGCATCGGCCAGAACCGCAGGCGAGGAGTATTTGGACAACCGCGTCGTATACAGCATCTTGGTAAAATGGGCCGCTTCCTGCGCGACAGAGGGGTCCGCCCCCGAGACCGAGTCGAAATCCAGCGACTCCAGAAACTCGAGCTCCTCCGCGGGCGACATGAGCGAATTCTTCATCAACTGGTCAAAGGCCTCGAAACACTGGACGTCGATGCGAACCGCATCCTTGTAGCAGTCTCGCGCACGATCGAAGGCATTCTGCTTCGCAAAACACAGACCGCGAAGGTAGCACATCGCGGCTTCGAAGCGGACATTCCCAGCGTCCTCACGGTCTCTTTCCTCGCGAGACGCCGTGGTCTTGCCGTTGCGCAACGTAACATGACTCTGTCCATTCAGATGCTGAATCTTCCGACGACCGGTGGCGCCGCGAATTAAATGGGTTGGGTTCTGATCGCCCAGCACGACCAGGGCCTGTTCATACTGACTTTGTTTTATATAGCAATGCGCGGCAAGGTATCGGCAGGCGGGACTTCGGGAAACGAGGTCTCTGCGGGACAATAAGGCAAGGGCTCGCGTGTAATTGTTATTCGAGAAATGCACTTGGGCTAGCCAAAAGGCGTCGGAGTCATTATCTGGCCAGAGGGAAGCTATGTTAGCATACCATTCATTCATTCATTCATTCATCACCACGATCCCAGCGGATAAGCTCACTCGTCAAGGCAAGCACCTTATCTCCCAGATAGACGGCTGCATCATGCTGGCCGCGATTCAACGCCTCCTGTCGCCAAGACCGTAGAAACTTCTCCATATCCAATATGTCGAGGGAGGAGAGGGAGGAGAGAGGAAATGCAGTGGAAAGCGCTCCAGAGCGGCATGAGTGAGTTGCGGGATAAACAAAGAGACAATAAAGTGCCCGGGACCTATCCGAAGACGCAGAATCAAGCGATCGGAAGGAGATCACAGGCCAAATCCAAAAGGAATTGCATACAGTACTGCGTATTCCTGAATCGAAAGAAAAGCAGAACTCAAGGCAGAATCAGAGCTCATTTTGTTTTTTTTTTTGGGCTTTGGCAGGCGCTTCACGTGATCCTCTCGCCTCCAGAGCTGGGAAGAATTTCCTGCTTCCTTCCTTCCTTCCTTCCTTCACTTTCTCTCAACCTTTCACTTCTCACCCAAAAAGACAGACAGAAAGACAAGAAAGCAAGAAGAACCGCAACCATGTCGGAACGCAAAGTCCTCACAAAGTACTACCCCCCCGACTTCGACCCGTCCGCCATCACACGCACCCCGAAACATCTCCGCCAGCAAGGCCCCAAAGTAATCACGGTGCGCCTGATGGCGCCCTTCTCGATGAAATGCACCCAATGCGGCGAATACATCTACCGCGGCCGAAAATTCAACGCGCGCAAAGAAACCACCGAGGAAAAGTACTTCTCGATCCCGATCTACCGGTTCTACATCCGGTGTACGCGATGCAGCGGGGAAATCACCTTTGTAACGGACCCCAAGAATATGGATTACAAGGCCGAGAAGGGCGCGAAGCGGAATTTCGAGCCGTGGCGGGACTCGACGGCCGCGAGTAACCAGGAGGAAACGGAGCAGGAGATCTTGGATCGCTTGGAGCGGGAGGAGAATGAGGAGGCGGAGCAGATGGAGCGGGATAAGATGGCCGAGTTGGAGGAGAAGATGCTGGATTCGAAGCGCGAGATGGCGATTGCCGATGCCTTGGATGAGATCCGGACCCGGAATGCGAGGATTGAGCGGAACGAGGCGGCCATGGTGCGCGTGGAGCAGGTGGATGATGACGCCCTGAAGGCGAAGAAGGAGGAAGAGGAGGAGGAAGAAGACAATAAGATCGCGCAGAGGGCGTTCATGACGGATACGGGGGAGAAGGTGAAAAGGTTAGTCGAGGAGGAGGAGGAGGAGGAGCAGGCCGCCACAGCGCCAGTGCCTTCTTTTGCACGGGTCAAGAAAGCGAAGAAGCCGTTGGCGAACAGCCTAGGCATCAAGAAGAAAGTCAAGCCATCCTTGGTGTAATGATCCCTTCCACACGGCGTCCTTCACTTCCTAGGTGTCTTTTCTTCCCTTTTCGGGTTCGGCGTTGCGCAACGGGGGCATGCATGCGATATCGACAAAGCGATCGTGCTATTCTTTTTCTACCCACGAGATTCTCCCAAGTGATGAAACAAATTTTAACGCATTTCGCATATTATCAGTCAGGCATTAATTATGATACACCCAATACCATACATACATACTGCCAAGAAGGGGGGGGGAAAAGCCATAAAAAGGCAAGGACAAGTAAGAAAGTAAAAAAGGTAAACATCAAATGAGATCCCTAACATACTGACCCCCAGAGCGCCACGCTAGAATGAAAATCCCAACCAACCAACCCACCAACCAACGAAACCATCCCTCCTTCATCGGCTTATGCTAATCTGAAAGCCCCTGTTTCCATGACCTAAAGAGAGGGAGGCAGCAAGAGAACGCCAAGAAATGGAGAGAAGACAAGAATGAGAGCAGAAACAATCTTTCGGAAAACGGTTTTAGAGATACGGCATCCACAAAGCATCGCAAGATGCCAGGTGCTGAGGATTCACAGCCTTGGAAATCAGATCAATGGTAGTCTGGTTCGCAGGCAAGTTGCCTTCGGGTGGACTGGCCAGGCTAACAGCTCGGTTGACGATGATATCGCTGTTATTATAGACCAGGTCCCGAAGCTGTTGTGGAGGGAGAACGCCGCGATGGTGTGCAGTGGCCCAGAACATCATTTCATCTCGGACAAAGACGCTGAGTTGTTGCTCAAGCTCATGTCGGGGTTCTGTCAAGCACCGGGCAATGGCCATGAGCGCACAGGCAAAAAGGCCTTCCGTTGCAATCGGTCCCATGAGTGTCTGAATGTTGGGAGTAAAGCGGAAAGGCACCTGCTCCGGGTTATAGAAGAAAGCCTTGGTTGGGTTGACCGTGGGAATGAGCTCGGAGCCCCAGATGTCACCAGAGTTGCGGGAGATCATGATCTTATTGGGATAGCGGTTGCCCATGTGCATCACATAAGTCATGAAGGCAATAGCCGCATATTGATAGGCGAACTGACGACGGAAGAGCCAGAAGTCTGAAAAGTTGGGGTATGTCCTCTGGAAGTAGTCCAGAACCATTGTGCTGGGAACCCACTTCTCCTGGATTGCCGTGAGCATCTCCGTCCGAAGCACCTGTTGCTGGTCGGATGTCCGCTGGAAGGAGTGAGTTAGTTTGTAGTTGCGTATTTAAGCAAATGGGAATGACTCACGTTTTGCTTTGTTTCCGCCAGAGCCCTCATCTTCTCCATTGTAAACAGGACAGGTTCATCCTTGTTGATACCAACCCGTCGACAGTAGTCCTCATATATGCCCTGAATTGAGATATACGAGGGGTCATCGCGAACCAAGCGGATATGCGGCGCCAACGGAACCATGAGAGGAAGGTGGAAGTAAAGATTGCGCCGGCGGCTTTCCTTGCGCTTGCCCAGCAAACCATTAAAGATGCGGAATAGCTGCAGGATACGTTCCTCACGCCGGCAGTGTCGAGCTGCGGGATGTTGGACAGCGAAGGGATGGACACTGCCATCGTGCCCGCGGATCTTCAGGCGACGGTGACAAACACCAATACCCCGAACCAGATCAATGTCAGGGAGGAACCGATCAATACGAACGAAGTCCTGGTTCTTATCTTTGTGCTGGAGATACTGGCCAGGGACCTCAACCTCATCAAACTTGAGGAATCGGAACTCACTCAGATGTGGCGAGTAACTCTCCAGGAATTGACTTTGGGGTCGTCGGTCAAGCTTCTCTTCAAACTTGTCGCGCCAACGACGCAGTTTCTGGATGTACTCATACATCGTTGGCTTCCGAACCACAAAGTCGGCCTCAAAAGACTTTCTGATGTGGGCAGGAAGAATTGTCTCGGCAAACCGCGTGATATTGGCTTCCGTTGCAGAGGGCAGCTTGAAGTCCTGGGCGTACGAGCCAGGCATGCGACCAACGTAAGCTAATCCGTCGTTCAAGAGCGCCACAATAAGGCGATAGGCATCCTCATCGGGGGGGCACTTGAAGTTCTTGTGAATCTGGTCGACCATTGTCTCCATGGACAACGCTAGTAAGGGGAAGGCGGTCTTGAGGCCAGACATAATCTCATCAGAGTACTCCCAGGGTTTCTTAAGAGGTTCTTTTTCAGGCTCAGCTCCTGGGGTCTGGTTCTGTTGAGCCGCTGCATTTTGACCAGGAACTTGGAGGTTGTTTTGCTGCTGGCCTTGCGCAGGAGCGGCGGCTTGAGGTTGGCCTTGGCCGGGAGCCTGCGCCTGCCCCTGTGCCGGCACTTGCTGCTGGCCCTGAGGTTGAGTTTGAGCAGTTTGTTGGGGAGTTTGTTGGCCAGAAGTACTCTGCGCGGTGGAGGCGTTGACGTTGGCGTTCTGGGCGGGTGAGCTATCGCATGCGGTTCCCTGGGTAGGCTTGGTATGGGGCGAAGCCTGTTGTCGCGCACGATTCAGCTTCTCTTGCTTCTGATCATGCTGTTTCTTGATATTGAGCATATCCTCCCTATTTGTGCGGAGCAGGAAGAATAACGCTTGTGGGTATAGCTTTGCAATTTTGACCAAAACAGCTTTACAAAGGCGAGCTTCACGGTGGGACAAGCTTGTAAGCAGTTGAGGAATAAAGGTAATCCAGTACCAAACAGGTGTGTCGCCCTTGAAATTCTCAAAAGCAGCAGCAACACGACCCTCATCGTTATCCAGGCTGAGCAGCCAGAGGATGCGACTAAGGAGCTTCCTAGATTTAGAATTCTTGTAAAGACCGGCAGCCTCCAAGTAACAGCTAACGGCATTACTAGCCAGCTCATAGTCGGCCGGGTCGCTCTTGAAACGTTGGTCGCTGTACTGTCCCCATTCAGACCATGCCTTTGCCAATCTCAGATCATAGTAAAGAGCCACACCGAATGCCTCGTTCGCCTCATTGACGTGGTTCAACTTCGCAAGGAACATTCCCTTGAGTGTGTAAAACTCTGCCTTTTGCTGCGCACCGAAGTAATTGAGATTCGTATTGTTAATCACATCCAGTCCACTGTTGAGTTCTTTGGGGTTCTGGTAGTGACACTTGGCTTGTTCACGCAACTTCAAGAACGCTTCTTGAATCTCGATGTTCGGAAGGGTATAGATGCGGCTCAGCTGATTGATACACACCTCTGGCATCTGGTGTTTGCGAGCAACATGAGCGAAACGGTTGATAATCCAGGCCGTTTCGTGGTATCCGCGGTAGGCATAGGAGTTGCTCGCCACGTTATTTGTCTGTGGGGGAAGGAGGCTGAGGTAGGTTGCATTGATCAGTTGGAAGATGTGCTGCCGCCATGTGACCAGGTCTTGCCAGGCATTGATATCATCCCAAAGGTTAGGAAGACGGTCTCTCCACGTTCCCAGCAACAGCTTAAGCTCCGCGGACTTCGTGTCAAGGTTACGCTCATTGGTTTGAGACAAGCTAGCACAAATATGACTTGCGTCGTGAAGCTCAACCAAGAGCTGGAAGTGCTCCAGAATGGGAATATGCGCGTTGGTGATTCTCTTCGGCAACTGAAGCCACTTTCGGATGGAGAGTTGGATTGACTCATCACAAACACCGTTGAACTCTTGGATATTCTCCTTCTTGTTATGGTACTGAAGAAGAGCCATAAAGGCTTGGAAGAAGGTACGCCGAGGAGTAGGTGCGTCGGAAACCGACTTAATAAGAGACTCAAGCTGTTCCCTATTACCCTCACTTTGCCAGTTCTCAATATTCCGCCAGGCAGCTTCTAGAAGAAGATCGTTCAGGTTTTCATGTTTGGCAAAATCACTGAGAATTTCCCACTGTTGCAACTTCTGCGCACAAATGAGCCAATGGTCCTCCCAGAGGTAATATTCACCCTGAGAGAATGGCATTGCTCCGGAACGCGCTTTTATCTGGGCATTTTCGTACAGCTGCTGCGACTTGTCCCACATGCCCTGCTGCTCATATGAAAGGGCTGCATTTGTCTCGACAAACTTGCACCGTCGTCTCCAGGTGCCGTAAAAGAAATCATCTTCTTGCAAGCCTGCGTACACTTCCACCAATGCATCAAGATTGCTCTCACGAACCGTTGGTGTATCGATGATAGGACTAATACTCGACTCCTCCAAGTATGTCGCAGCGGTGTACCACGCATCATAGGTGCGGCTTAGATACTTCATCACATGTGGAGGGATCTTGAATCGAGGTCTTGCACGCACAACCCCTTCGAGAAGAGCCTGAACCACATTCGGTCTCTTATCGATCTGGCGTTGATGGTATTCGCGAGTAATGAGGCTTACCATGCCCTTCTCCAAGTCAATACGATCTTCGCGAGATAAAGTAGACCAAAACATAGGGAATAGCGCAGTCCAAAGGTTGTAAGAGGTCTGGGGGTCGGTATGTTGGAGTTGGCAAAGGGGCTCGATCAAGTCCCGGGCTTTGACATCACCAATTTCTCCCAAGAATCGTCTGCGATCAGAGACAAAGGCCTCCAGTTGACCGTCAACCATAATATCACCTTTCCTTGGATCTTTCTCAGCATTGCCGAAGAGGAAAGACAGGGAGTACACGGTATGGTCATCAGGATGAAGTCGAGCTAGACCATTCATATCAATACAGCCCAGGATGAGATGCGAAGCCTGCGCAAGCCAGAAAGAGTCCGCAAGAGTATCCCAGTTCTGGCAAGTCAAAACATAGCTTAAGCGGGAGCTTGCCAGGCGAGTCAAACTCCGATCAAAAATCGTCATGAAGCGATTACGCATCTCAACGTCCTGCGCCCTTGTTCCAATCAGGAATGCGTGCTCCAGTCTTACGGTCAACTCTGTTCGGGTGATTTTCGAGTCCTCATAGATCCTAATGACAAGATCAAGGAACTGGTGAAGCATGCCTGGGGTTTGTCGGGATTCAAAAAGAAGCATTTTGTGCAGAACAGCCGTCTTCTCTTTTAGAGTAGGCCATGATTCAGTAGAATGGAAAATCCATGTCTCAACCATGCCCAATACCTTGCTGCACAGAGTCTCATTCTGGGACCGCTCAACAAGCTGCGCCAAAACGCTCAGGAAGGGCCGTCGTTGTTCACCAAGATGAGACATGCGCACGGATATTAACTCAATAGTCTTAAATATCAAGTCCACTCCAATTTCGAATTCCTGGGGATCAGGGACCCCCTCTGCAGGTTTAGCTCCAGGAGGAAGTTGGCCATTGTTGTTCGTAGAAGCTGCTACATGTTCCTTGGCCAGTTTCTGTGAGAAGACTTTCATCACCTGGGGAATATGAGCATCCATCTCTGCCGGTTTATTCTTAGAAAGTGTCCAAAGGATATTCAAGCTTGACACGTAGTTGTTGGCGGAAAGGGTCTCCGTCGCAAGGGCCGACAGGTACGCAACAAACTCCGAAGGTGAATTCTCAACATCCATAGAATCTTCATCTTCCGGTTGATCGTCCGGCAGAGCATCCAGAACTTTTCTCACCGGCGGTGGAAGCTTAGGGTGAGTTTCAACATCAGTCTCCAAGCCATGGAGAGAGTCTTGTACCTCCGGGTTGTCTGAGCGCAGAGCTTTTTCAAAGAGCTTTTGGATAATGGGGACCCGCGCATTGATCCAGTCATCGGGCTTAGAGGCGATAAGAATTCGCACAACTTGCAAAGCATTGACTAGACCGGTGATGTACTTGTCAATAGGCTTGTCCCCCTTATCTGCCGTAAGGATGGGCTCCGTAGCTTTCTGATAGAGCTCAATATTCAGATCACCCCAATACTCAGGGGACATGAGATTTCTAAGTAACCCCACAGCCTTCTTAATCATCTCACCCGTGTGAACAGCAGGCTGGGTCTTGGAGGATTGAAGCTCACGGAATCGGGCGGCCGGTACTTGGAATCGTTCAGGGGATGTGGTGATGAAGGTGATGAGGTACTTCGTCAGAGCAGCTCGGAGATCTGGGGGGACCATATAATCAGAACGCTCACGGGAGTTAGGAGGACCAAGTGCAGGAGACGGGGTAGGTGTGTTTTGCGACTCTTCAAGTTTGCGTTTCTTCGAATTCGGAGATTCAAGGACACCATTCGGGGCGGGAGACTGGCTATTCTTAACCCGTTTCTCTTCCCAGTGCCAGATGAGATTTATCAGGTTGAGCGCAAGCCTCTTGCTTTCGTGTGAGGGGTTATTTGGAGGAGGCGCGATCTTGATCAGGGATGGGACAATAAGAGGCACGAAGTGCTCCCTCGATTCGTAGAACAAGTCAGGTTGTCGGACCAGGAATTGGAAGATGCTCATCACCTGCTGGAGATTGGCAGTCTCCTCAGCAAGGATACGACGGGGCCACTTGGCCCAAAGTGGATATCGTGTATCCTGCGTTTGTGCATTGCTCGTTGCTGCCAAAATCCTCGTAGGGAGAACAGGGGCTAGAACATCAAGCGCCTGGGTTACAAGAGCCTTGCCTTCATTCTGATGGGCCCTGAGGAGAGCAACGTAGACCTGCACAACAATCTTGAACGGAGTCTCGTAGTGGGCAATGAAATAACTTATGAGGACATAGGCGCCGTATTTGTTGATAATATCTTCCAGGCGAATATAGTTCCAGGCAAATTTTATGATGTCCTTGCGAGAATCTTGAACCGTGGCATGGTGATATTTGATTAACAAGGCTGATAGCTGGAGAAGCTCCATGCGAGAATGGTCAACACCTGCTTGGCTCGACTCCTCGCTCAAATCTGCTACCTGTGGTTTCCATAGACGACTTTGTATGAATTCGGTCATGCTCTTATCCATCAGCTTCGGCCCATCGGGAGAGCTGTTCCACGTCAACTGAACATCCATGGCAAAAACGGGGTTCACCAAATGACGGAACGCATAGGTCTTCATCTTTTGCGAGCATGAGCGTTGGCCATAAAGATCAAGACATCGCATAATCACAGAGCGGCGATAGTCAATGGACTCGTTGGTGATGATGTGGTGGTAAATGAACTTGGGGAAAGCGAGAGTCCGCTTCAGTTCTCCCGCAGACAAGCCATCAATGACCTCAAAGAGGAAATCGAGGTCTTGTACCGACTCCGAGAGGTAGATGGTGAAAATGTCCATAACCTGATCCTCTGCCTGCTCAACCCTGAGACGTTCATGGGGTAGGAGTGTATCATTGTGTAACTTCCTCTGAAGCTCCCGGGCAGATGCAATGATTTTAGATTTTAGTTCTGCATGAGCAACTAGCCAATTCTTGGTCGACTCGGAAGAGGAAATAGCATGAACAACGTAAATCCCATTAATGGCAGCAGTGTTTTTGCCGTCCGTCTGCTCTTGAGCAAAGGCAGCGGCCATGAAGCCCGCTGTGTCTGCAACTACCGCCGCACGCAGAGCCTCGCTCTCCGGGTCTGAGAGAACCTGCCCAAAGAAGCGCCCGAATCGCTCATCCTTGAATCGAGCGTGGAAGAAAGATAAGCTTTCCTTGGGATATCTGTTCAGATACTTGACGAGTGGCTTTCTGAAAGGACTGCTTGATGTCCGACGAAGCTTGTCTTCTAAATCCAAGAGCTTGTTCACAAGATGCTCCATGAATGACGTGGCAGCCGGGGGAAGAAGATGGAAGATATTAAAGATCGCGGCCACAATCTTCATCGGAGGACTTTGCTCGACAAGACTAAATGAGACCTTCTGCAAAATGGCGTCATCTGCGATGACCTTCATATGATCCAGCAAACGAGCACCGATCTCGACCTTGAAATAATTTGTGAGCAAAGTCAAGAGCCTAGCAAGGCCATCAAGGCCCGCGACACTCAAACGCTTAGGATCCTGCAAGTTCATGAGAATCGGGCGCAACCCGTTCTGGAGCAGATCCTTTGGAAGCTTGTTAGTCTGCGTTAGAACATCTCTAAGGCCAGCATTGGCTGCATCAATGACACCCGGAGAGCGGACATAAAGGGACTTGAAGAAAACAGAGATGATACGAGCACGGCTAGTGTTCTGCGGCGTATTGGCAAACTCCGGGAAGCTCATCGCCATAGATAAAAGCCGAAGACAGGCCACTCGCAAATTAACAATCATCTCCGCATTCTTAAATTCGTTGGGCTTGGAGGCAAGATTGTCATCGTCCGCATCAGCAAGAGCTAGAGATTCAAGCATCAGGCGGTTCAAGGGCTCGTTGAAAGTCACAATATTATTGCGCAGACTCAAGCAGAATGTGATAGCATCGATGAAGCCGATCTGCGTAGGGAACGGCAACGCTCGAAGTGGCTTGTTGAAGATGGATTGCAACAGACGATCTTTAACCGGGAAAATGAGTTCATGTACTTGACAGTCGAGGACTTCGGCGATGGTCGAGAAACTACGGCGAGAAGCCTCACGGACATGCTTATTCATGTGCGAGAGCTCGTAAACGAAAAATCCGCAGAGGGAATAAAGACGGCTCTTCTCGTTCTTCAGGTCATCTTGGGAGACATTTTTGCAGCACCGACGCAAAATCAAGTCCAGTGTCTCTTGCGCCCGCATCCGTGTACTAGCCGGAAGATCCGCAGGCGTATCTTTGATAACATACATCAATGCCCTCACGAACTCAGCTTGCTTGTCGAAAAGCCACGAGTCACCCAAATCCAGCTCAGTCGCGAACAAGTGGATACCACGACTGCCACCAGCTTTAGTAAACCATTCCTCGCTATGACAACTATGGCAGAAAACACGACCAAGGTGCTGGAAAAACGGAAGCTTGGTTACTTTGTCGGGCGACCCAAAGATCACAGCAGCCGCCTCCCTCATAACCTGCATAGCGGCCTGGGCTCCGTCACGGACATCAGTGTCGTCAGAGGATAGGGATTCAACCACGGCTTCGGCAAGAACCCGAGAATCAAGATAAACGGAGCCCTCTCCGCTATTAACATCAAAAGGTCTTCGAGTATGCCGGGCCTGTGCAAGAGCCCGGCCAACTTCTACCACGGCGAAGTGTTTGCAAACATCAGACACAAAGGCAGTTGCACTCTGGCTAAGGCTAGGTATGGTAGTGGCAAAGATACAGGCTTTCAGGAGCTTCTTCAATGACACCTCCTGAGCTAACTTTTTGGGAATCGAACTAGAACGTTCCGACTTCTCCAGGATGTCGGCCATTGCAGTGGTTTTGCTTTCGAACAAGTCGTTTGCATGAAGACGCAAGAGGGACGCCATATCTTCAGGGAGGTTTTCATATCCAATGTAAAGCTTCAGCTGGGATGAAATGAGGTGGAAAGCTTGCTGTTTGTAATAGCCATCCGACGAATGTTTGGAAACTTCCATCAACTTCGCAATTGCTAGGTCAATACCGATTGAAATGGGGAAGGGTCGCTTCTCGCTCGGGCCAATAAGCTTAACATCGACGCTGGGAGAATCGTCGGCATATTGTTCGAAAGTAAGCTCCGGCGGGTGATTCAAAAACTTCCTATTGCGTCCACCAAGCTTTCCCAAGATTCTCATGGTCGTATGTGCATGGAAATGGTTGTAAGGGTGCGGTCGAAGATGATCCCAGAGGGCAGTCATCAGTTCATCCATAATGGGGGCCATGATTGGATCAAGATAGTCTGCCGTAAGGTTATCGACACAAAGCTCGAGCGTCCTCAAACCTTGTCCGACAAGATCAGACTCCGCACGGAGCGCTACAACGATTGGACGCATAAGGTAGCTGAGATGGGGGAGAAGGTGGCTCAAGCGAGCGGGGACAGTGAGTGTGAGCTCGACGTATAGATCACGTTCCTGGGGTTTGCGGGCGGCGAGCAACAGGTTATTGAATGTCTCCAAAAGCATCTCGAGCAAAGGAAGAATTTCCTTATACAGAAGCTCAAACCGACCACCGCCAATACTCCGGAATAATGATCGCAGCAAAAGGAAGTAGTTCATGGGCTCTTCGGCAGTTACGGAGAGCTCAATACATTTAGTGACAATCTTCGTGACGTGCGGGTGTAGCACCTGCTCATTCTGGGCAGAAAAGAGCGTCACGGCCATGAAAGACAGTTTAAACATCCTCAGAAGAATCTTGGCTTTGGTCATGTCCGAAGTTCCAACTTCGTGGATTCGATCCATCAAATACTGCAAGACCATCCCGGAGAAGGCTGGGGAAGTGGCTTCGCTGGCAAGGAAGAACTGGGGTAGATGCAGTAAGGCCCCATGTTCAAACATGAGCTCGTGGAGGTAAGGAATTTCAGAATGAAAGACTTCATGGAAAGTGGCAGTGTCAATACAATGAAACACGGTTCCGAAGCTCTCCAAAAGCTCCTTCTCCTCACGCGACTTGGGTGCGGTGTACTGGCTAGTAAGGAAGTCGAAAGGGGAGGAATAGTTCACTTCGGGTTCTGGTTGATCAACACCATAGTATCTGAATACCCGTGCACCTTCGTGGAAAAGCTTCTTGATCACACGGACCTCCTCGGCGTTATAACCAAAGGACACCTCAGACCAATTGATAGGAACATTATTGGAATCGATTTGGATGTGGTCCGGGTTGCAGTTCTTGAGCTGGTGGAAGATGTTCTTAAGTCCGTTGATGAGGTTCTTGAAAAGAAAGATATTTTCCGCGACAGGGTCAGCTCCACGGTCTCGAGGATTTGTAGTCTTCAGGGGGGATGCTGAGAAAATATCAATCTCATCCCAATCCGGAGGGCATTCCTTGTCAGCCAAATACTTTTCGGTGGTCGGCTCGTCCTTCTTGTTAGCCTGGTAAGATTTATAAAGCTTCACGATATTGTCGAACTGGTAGTTCATGGACGCCAATTTGTCTCCGATAGCATCAAGAATCATGATAAGGAAGTATCGGGCTTCACGTTTGTCCTCAAGCTTGGATATCTTCTCTGCCATGTTCAAGAGTAGCTTGGCGCTCATCGTTTGGAAGCTAGTCCCAGGCAAATCATCGTGAAGATTCTTGGTGTACACCTCGATAGTTCGCCTGATCTGATCTCTGTTCAAATGCTCCCGAACATGATGGATTAGATCGGCGAGCATACTGTAGGCAAGAGGCCTCATCGTTTCATACACAGTGAGGCCATCACCAATCAGAGTCCGCTCATCAAGGAGCTCATCGATCTTGTCGAGGAAGATATTCCGGTAGGTACAATTGATGATGTGCCGAATGGCTACCAGAAGCTCCTTTCGGGCACTAGATTTCTCTCTCGGGCAGTCTTGAAGCAGACGAACTACAACAGATGGCAGCGTAGGAAGGAAATCCTGCAACTGATGCGGTTGCAACCGAAGCAGATATGCCAAGAAACTCATGGTCTTGACCTGAAGCGTTATGAATTCCCCAAATGCCGCCCGGTTTTTGATATCCTTGCACACCCCAGTGAAAATCGTTCCCTGCGCCGCAGCTTCTGCATGAGCCTTCTCCTGCGGTTTAGCTTGAAGAAGCAGTATGCCCTTAATGAGCGGGACAAAAAGCTTGACATTGGCCGAGACTGAGTTGCGATGTGTCTGGAATATGGAAACCACGATAATCGGACATTCTGCAAGGACCTTAAAGGAGTGCATGCCTTTGAGAAGGACGTTACTGGCTGCTTGTTGATCAGGGCCAAGATCAGGAACGGACGCCGCTGGTGAGCTCGGACGGGGCGACTGGAAGTTCTGGGCCGAAGCGCTAGGTGTCGAGGGCATTCCTGAGGGTGTGGCCTGGCTAGGTGTGTCAAAGGTATCCCTCACGACCTGCTCCATGGTCTGAAACATCTCCTGAATAAGCTCCAGGAAAGGTTGAACCCGCGCAGCGGTCGCCTTTGCCTGGTTCCGTTCCAAGTCCATAATCGTCTTCATGCAAAGAACCGCATTTTCTTCATTTTCAATCCGTACCAAATCCATTAACAAATCGACCATGTCAGCGGCGTATGGTTCGACATCGGGGGAGCCCATCGGCAATCTGTGAAGCGTCTCGAGAATGCAATTTCGGAGTTTCTAATGGAGGAAAACGGTTATAAGCTCTGACCTAAACACCGTACGGATAAAAAAACAAAGGTATGTCAAAGCACCGTGTCGCAACCCACCTGCTCAAGAGCTAAATTTGTGAAGACCGGTTCCCCTCTCAGGATATTCTTAAACACCGGCCATAGTTTCGAAAGGAAAATCGGGTAGCTTGCACCCGAGCACAGGGGTTCTATGTTATCGCGCAATTCGACCGCAACGTTGGCTCTGAGTTTAATATCTAGCGAAAGGCAGCAAGGTCAGCACTGGGGAAACCAAACACCAAGCGACCATGTGTGCTTCCTCAAGTTAGGAGCTTAAAGAAGCTAACATACCGATTTTCTCGTCCCCAAGCTTAGTCGCGTATATATCGATATTCCGCTCCATGGCTAGCGAGATGCTCGACGGAGGAGCTCACAGGGGTCGAAAAAGAGAAAAGAGAGAAAAAGCCCAGCTGCCAGGCCGTATGGCCGGCTCGAAATTAGAAGCCACCACCGATTGCGATATTCGTGGTCTTCATAGGCGGGAGAGCGACGCCGGGAAATAATCTCAATATCCACTCGACAACGGGCAGGCTCAGTTAGGAAGAGGAAAGAAGAAGGACAGGGAGGATCGTTAAGTCATTAATCGCTCTGAATTAAAAATATAAACGGTGAAGAGACAAGAGAAGGTGAAGAAGGGGGGGGGGGGGAAAGAGCGTAGAGGAGAATTATTAGAGAGAGGGGGAAAGGGAGCCTCCAGTCAAGAGTCGAGTGCGCGCAAATTCACGCCTTCAACACAGCCAGAGCAGAAAGCAGCGAGCAGAACGCGGGTATCGCAAAGACCCCGAACGAAATACTAGTCCCAAATAGGAAATTCCGGTGCATCGTTGTTCCAGGCCGTCAACCGCGCGGGTAGCTCGCTAGACGCGGAAATTGTGCCACTAGAAGACGCCTGTCGCAGCCCAGGAACAAGGGGATGGCGGCTCAAGCACGTGGTCAATTAGGTTTTACAAATCAAGGTCCTCAAAAAAAAGTAATATAAGTGGTATTGAATCTGGTTCAAGGGCTCTGTCATAAGTAGTTCCATGTTTTAATTCGGGGGGTGTGGTGAGGGGGAGGGAGGGAAAAAAAAAAAAAAAAAAAAAAAAAAAAAAAAGAGTCAAAAAGATGTTATCGACATCAATGCCGACTAAGGGAAACGCCATTTGCACCCGTTTTCCAGACCCGAACACAGTTCTAATTGTCCAACTCAAATGTCCACTCTTGACTCTCAGGTCCGACGAGCCACGCGGATGGATAGAAGAATATCGAAAGCCATGTACACAAAAAAGAAGAATGCGAAATAAGAAAAGGAGATGAGGAGGGCAAGATGAAGTCATAGTAAAGGCAAAGCAAGGGCTAAGGCTAGGTGAACCAACAAAGCAGCAGCAAAGAAAACATAGAGCCTCGAAAATCCACAGCCAGGAAGAATGATCTAATCCACCCGGCCGTCATTTCATTGAGTTGCTTCGTGACAAGATAGAGACGGAAGCAGACCCAACCGATCGTCGCCGCTCACCACGCGGCCGAACCTCACTGCCACTATTGCTTCTACGCCTTCGAGCATCATCAAGAGAGCCGCGGCGCCGTCTCTGGAGTCACGGACGTTCCAACGTTAGAATCAGGCTTTCTGTTACAATAAAACGACGAGTTCTTAGTAAAATACGACGACGCGACACAGAGATATCCCCCCCCCCCCCCCCCCCTTTGGGAGAGGGGGAGGCGGGGGAAGAAATAAAGGGGGGGGGGGGGGCCATTTCATTAACCAAGCATGACTACACAAGCAATCATAATCGCTCAGTACTTACCGAAGTAATCGAACCCTCACGCGGCCGTCCCTTTACAGCACCAGGCTCATCCAGCTTCAGAGAATGAAGACGCTTTTGGCTATCCTGGGCGATAGCATCGATGTCGTCCAATTGTAGTGGAATATCAGCTGATGAGGATTGCAGAGCCGGGGCAAACCCATTCTGCCTTTCCTTGGCTTGTTCGGCGACTTTATCCCATCGGCTTTGTCGAGCCTTCTCGCGGATATCAGCACTGTTCTGCCGTTCGTCATGCTCATGGGAGCATTCGTCGAAAAGCTGAGGGTTGATATCCATGAACATCTTCATCGCGTTGTATACCATGCTGTGGATTGTTCTAGGACTGAGTTAGCAAAGGTCAAGACTCCGAGCCAGATTAGACGTTGGCATACCGATTCCAATGGCCTTTCGAGTTTTCAAATAGTGGAGGGAACATGATAGGCAAGATGATCTCGACATTATCGCTGACCAAAGTGCAGAAGTATTCATTGTTCCAGAAGTACAGGGCGCGTTCCGCAACCTAATGACAGTAATAGTTAATATTACACCAGTAGAAATTTGGAAAATGAACTGGGTCAACCAACTTGGAAATGGGGGCTGGCAACAGACTTGGCCAGCTGCTGGAACAATGGTTCCTGGACCTTGGCGAATTCGGCAGGGTCCATCACTTCAAAAATATCCTCTACCTCGTTCAGGAACATGACCTCCTTAGTACTGTTGGTCTTGGGCCAATATCGCAGCAAACCGAGGACAACCTAAATTTAAGGGAGAAAAAAAGGAAAGAAAGCAAAAAAACAGATTAGCCTTCACATGGCGAAGACGAGAGAAGAAAAAAAAAAAAAAAATAAGAAAATAGGTTGGGTCATGCATGGACATACATCTTCCGTTAACGTCGAGTCCTTTTCGAGGAACTGCACGATACAGTAGGCCAGCTGAGGGTGATACATGCTGAGACTCTTGACCTTGTGCAGAGGAAGGAGAACTCTCGTCAAGAAAAGCTTGTGTTCCTCTTTAAGGGGAAGGGCGAAGCCATTGATGATGGAACCCAAAATCTCCAACAACTCGGCGATGCCATTAAATCGTTCGGTCTCGTAGGTGAACTGGAAGAAGACATTGTTGATAGATCGTCGAATATATGAACGCAGATTCAAAAACTTTCCATAAATACGATGCAGGGTGGTCTTGAGAAAATCACGCTCACGGGGGTCTTCAGAATCAAATAATTCTAGTAACTAAAAAGGGGTCAGTCAATATGAGAAGCTCATGCGAGGAGGAATTCGGAAAGCACCCACCTGAAGAACAAAGTGATGATCAATATAAGCCTTTGCGATATTGGTATTGAAATCCTGGCTTTCGATGAATCTTAGGAAAAACTCGTAGACGACCTGGATATGAGGCCATGCGACTTCCAAAACCGGCTCGTCTTCTTCCGGATCAAATGCTTCGCCCTGAGGCGTGATCGGGGGTGGGATCGGTCGAAACAGGTTCTTGGCGAACATTTCGACTACCCGGGGATACATCTGTTCCGTAATAACCGAGCGATTGTTGGCGATGTAGTCCAGGAGTTCGTGGAGAGCCAGTCTCTTGATCTCCTTGGATTTCATGTCGGCAGTAGGGTCGTTGAAATCAAAAATGATATTGCACTGATCAACCTTCTGCATGAAGAGTTCCTGGCGACGGTTGGGCGGTACTTCGTGGAAGCCGGGAAGCTTCTCCAACTCCCTTTGACGTTGGTCGGAGATATCGAATCGCGACGAGTGCTGGCGTTTGGGGGTCCGGATTCCTTCCGACATATCTTTCGGGGTTGTTTGCAGACGGTCAAAGACATGAGACTTCCTCGGGGGAGCCAAGTCTCCTGGCATAGTTTCGGCGGCACCAGGTGGAGGAACATGCTAGAGCGGAAACAAAAAAAAAAAAAAAAAAAAAGGCACACAGGTCCGGTCAGCGATATAAACAAGTTCAAGAAATCAAACGCGAGTCGAGAGAACCACTTCCTCAAATATTATCAATGAAGTGAGTACTTACCGGTGCGCTTGGACTAATAACGACACTGGGAGCCATGGGCTGCCCTGGTTTCGTAGGGGTACCTGGACCTCCGTTATTGACAGGTTGACCAGCGACGCCGCCGCCCTGCGGAACATAGTACTGACCAGGAGGGTAGACTCCCAGCTGCGCAGCATCTTCGGGAGCCTTTCCTCTAATATCGTTCACGGAAGTTGTAGACGAGGTGGGCGTACCCTGGTTGGGAGACGAGGACTGTTGACCATGATGAATACCCAGGGTAGCGGTAGAGCTCTGGGATTGAGAGTGCGAGGAATCTTTCTTCTTCGAGGATTTATTCGCATCCTTTGCTCTCGACAACTGCTCGTGCTAGGAAATTTAGCCCACGTCAAGAGAACAAGCGGGATGTTTTTGAAATCGGGCGACACCAGGTTTGGCGGACTCACCACTCTCTGTCTGAAACCCTTCATTGTCGCCACTAAACAAACAGCCACATGTACTCGGTCGACGTTCTCGATGCCAGTGCAGCAAGCCGCCACACACTAGCAGGAGGGGCGGGGGACGGTCGGCGCGGAGGCAATTCAGAAGGGGGAGAAGGGGGAGGGGGGGGTTGTTTATATTGGGCCTAGAAATGACCACATGAGCATCTGCAACCACACCGCAAGACGGCACCCCGAGTTCATTGGGTCGAAGGACGACAGGGGATCCAAAATATTTCCAGCATGGGATGGAGAGTGAGCAAGACAAGATGGGGAGGGGCTGTCCGACATAATAGCAGGACGAGGAGAACCAAACGGTGGTCGAGAGAGGTCGAATAGCAGCCAAACGAAAGCGAACGTACAGGGGGGCAAACAGGAGCGGCACCCGACACGCGAAAGAGGAACAGGCAAATATAGAGGACAAAACTTACCTCGAGACTTTAAAGCTGAGACGATTGGCAGGTTGAGGTCAGTCGGGTAGCACCTATGTTTTTTTTTTTTTTTTGGCGCGTTCACAGCAGTATAGGAGCAGCTCGCAAGTCGGGTTGGTCTGGAGGCGATCGACTTCCGTGTCGCTTAGCGGCTGACTGAGAGAGAGAGAGAGAGAGAGAGAGAGAGAGAGAGAGAGGCGGGCGGGGGTGCCAGGAGCCCCAGGTACTGAATTGGACGGGACGGGGAGGATCTCACGGTCGCAGCACGCAGGATATGGGAAAGAAAGAGAGTGAACTACTAATTCGGGGGGGACAAGTTGTAGGAAGGAAGCAAAACTCGCATTTGATAATTGTAGAGGAGAGAGAGATGGGGATATCACGATAGGAGGAGGAGGAGGAGGAGGAGGAGGAGGGAGGGTAAACGGGGGGGAGATGTGGCTGAAGAGCGCTCGGACGGGTGGTGGGAATTCAATCTCGTCCACTTGCGACTGCCGATTTGAACTCGCAGAAAATCCCACCTGGCAATTTGATTTTTAGGATCTGAAGTTGGAGGTAGAATAATAATCCCAAATTCCAACTATTTGGGCCTTTTTTTCTTGGTTTTTCTTCTCGCTCAGCTCCTGGCCGGTAAGGGGCCGTCCCATACGTCAGAGTCACCAGGACTCAGATCCAACGGACCAGCTATTCTTATATCTATTTAACTTCCTTCCTCCAATCTGGAAACCAGGCAATGGTTTTGGGGGGGGTCTTTTGGTTATCGAAATCGAAATGAGTTTGGCTGCGTGGAGTTTATTTTGCGCTGGTCATGTGACTGCACGCCAAATACTCCCTCTGTGGATGTTGGGAACGAATTTTGAATTTTGAGAGGGCAAAAATAGAAGTTGAGGGTAAAATAGAAATAGAAATTGGATTTTGAGATGGTGAAGGGGGTTGTTGTGTCTAGACAACTCAATCATGTTCCTGACAATATATACCTGTTAATGTAAACTACGGTGTATATATCTTCTGTGCCTGCCAAGACATCCCCCAAATAAATGAGCTGTACTCTATAGCGTAGAACAATGATAGAAGAAAGGAGACTCTGTTTATGACCTAACAAAGATAATCATCTACATAGAAACAATTTAAATTTTCAAGTCCAAGTGAAGGGGAAGGAACTCTCCCCCGGGTTAATCCCCACGTCGACGAGTGGCCCGACGTGGCCCCGATCTCGCAGAATGAAACGCCTCCGGATTCAAATACGATGTCAGCTCCAGATTCCCACTGCTCTTGAACTGACAGCTGACAAAGCTCTGCAATCCAATCCCCTCGTCCAATCGACGGTAGTCGGCAACCGCCTCCAGTGCACGCAAGAAAGCAGCCCCGTACTGTCCCCGTCCTCGCGAGTCCAACCAGCGAGTGAAGTTCTGAGTCACCACGAGATCATTGCGACAGTGGTTCCGCACGGGGAAGTAGAACTTGATGGCGGGGAGCGGTTTCCCGGGACTGATGTCGAAGAAGTAGACACATCCCTTGAGCATTTCCGGGACCTCCGCGAAGCTCGCCGCACCCGAGTCGCCGTTCTGGGCGACGTAGGGGAATTCGGAGTCGGACGGGAAGGTGGGAGGCTGGTCGGTTAGGGTTTTGAGGAGGTCAAAGAGCTCGTTGAATTGTTGGGCGCGGGTGTCGTCGGTAGGAATGCGCCCCCCTAGGGTCATGATCTCGCGGATGGCGGAGAAGCTGGTATGGGGATTATTGAAGTACCATTTGAGCCGAGCGTTGGCAGGGTCGCCGTTGTCGACACTGAGACAGAATGGGTTCATTAGCCTGCCCTCTGGGCTAGTGGCAAGGAAATCATGGACGGCGGCGCGGGCTGGAGCGTCGGGATGGAGGTCCTGGAAAGACGCCTCCCAGTGTGGAACCTCAAGGAATCCGTGTTGGTTCAGCCGGCGAGGTTGGATGTATGTCTTGAGTCCGGTAGAGTTGCGCAAGAATTCGAGCGAGAAGATCAGACTGGTTCCGATCTGGGCGCCGGCATCGGCCTCTGCAGTGTATTTCGCGTAGTCATGGTCAAACAAAGTCGCGAGGAAATGATGGGTCCAGCCCAGATTGACACCTGGGACAACGGAGACAAGGCCGTGGAGGATCTCGCGGGTGGTAGAGTGGTTGAGAGGGTCACACGAAGTCCCCGCCATGGGACTAATCGGTTCCAGCCCGATGCGGACATCAGGTTCCCCGTCAGAAGTGTTCCATTTCCAGGACATCTCAAGGGGGGTGCCGTCCAATTGTAGCATAGACTTCCATTTGCCTGAGAAGCTGCCCAAACGGGGGGCAGGGCCTAGATAGGGAGTCTACGAGATCCGAATTAGTGTGAAAGGACACAAAAAACAGAAAGAAAAAAAAAGGCGCAGAGCCACGACATCAGGGGCATACATACAGCGTAGTGATAATGGTACAAAAGACACTCATACTGTCTCTCGATCGGATACGCAGCCGCGTCCAGTAGCACAGCCAGTTGTCGACCGGTGAGCTGCCACCAAATATCGGTATCCAGGTCGCGTGAAGGGAGCAACCGCGCCAGCACCTTCCAGGCGTGGGTGGAGTGAGTACCATCAGGAGATATACTGTGCAGGGTCGCTCCGTTGGCTCCAGACATCTTGTTGGTATCCTAAGCATTACGCCATTGAGTGGGAAGTTGATCGACTCGGGGGAGTCGTTTTAAGGAGTGAGACAGCATGGCCATGAGCCTTGAAGCATGATGATAGAGCCCAATCCGGAGGCCGACTGAGCACAGAGCTGTCAGAGGAGGGGTTGTGTCAAACAACGAGACAAATAGGGGGAGAGGGACAAGATGCCATTGCTTTTTCATATGCGAGATGATGTTTGTGTAAGGAGGAGGAGGAGGAGGAGGAGGTTAAAGTCCGAGGTCCGGATGAATGAAGTCTAGATTAAGACTAATTATAAGGTAGTTAACTAATGAAGTCTCCACTGATCTACTATACATCTTTCTCAGGGTACATATACACAACTATACAGATACACAAGTATCGGAGCCCGACCACTCAGTCTCAAATCCCGATATGTCCGGATGGTCCATTTTGAATAGTGACAGAAATCCCGTTGAACAAAGAAAATCCATCCCATCAACGGTCTTAAGACCACTTCGGATCTTCAGCTTAACCCCGTCCGGTTGAGTATGTATTTCTTTGGCACTTCGTTCCAGACAGTGAGTTGAGGGTGACATCAACCGGGGAGGCCATGGAAAACATAAAAAGGTGGTCAAAGTCGCTCACTGACAGATGCAGAAATCGAAAGTTCAAACAGAACACTGCTCGTCCTCCTCCTACCACAACCACAACCACAACCACAACCACAACCACAACCACAACCATGGCTACTGAGACTCCTGCTCCTTACGTCGTCCTCATCACCGGTGGCAACAATGGCATCGGCTATGAAGCTGTCAAGGCCTTCTACCAGTCCCCCAAGCCGTACTACATCCTGATGGCCTCTCGTTCCGTCCAGAGAGCCGAGGCGGCCGTCAAGAAGCTCCAGGAGGAAGTGCCCACCAGCTCCAACACCGTGGAGATCATGGAACTCGACCTGGTCAGTGACGAGTCGATTGAGAAAGCCTATCAGCAGGTTGTCAACGGTGTTGGTCGTCTCGACGGTCTCGTCAACAATGCGGGTAAGAATCCTATACATAGATCCCCCCCCCCCCCAAAAAAAAACACTGAATGTAATCTAACTCTCATACCCCCCCTTCCCCCAAGGCGCTACCTTCGACTTCGACTACCTCGCCAACAAATGCACCCTCCGCGAATGCTTCAACAAGTCCTACGACGTGAATGTCGCCGGTACAACCGTCATGACCGACACCTTCGCCCCCCTGCTCCTCAAATCCAGCAACCCCCGCTTGATCTTCGTGGCAGGCCTCTCCCACATCACCGTCGCAATCAAGGAATACTTCCCCACTCCCCCCCTCCCCGCCGGCTGGCCCAAGAAGGTCGAGTTCGAGACCATCGGCTACCGTGCCTCCAAGACCGCCCTGAACATGGTCATGCTCGACTGGAACCACAAGTTCAAGGCCGACGGCGTCAAGGTCTGGGGTGTCGGCCCCGGAATGTTGGCTACGGATCTCGGTGGACAGCGTCATCTGGCGGAGAAGATGGGTGCCGGTCATCCTAGCCTCGGAGGAACGCTGATCTACGATGTCATCGAGGGGGAGAGGGATGCGGATGTCGGCAAGGTGATTGAGCGCGGTGGTCTCACTCCTCTCTAGAGGAATAATAATGGTTCTTCGGTGAAATGCATGGGATTGCCAAATGAGAGGGGGGTCACTGAGTGGCCCAGGTGCTCTCTTGAGATTGCTTCAGTTAGCTTGAGTCGTTACTAGTCTATAACGGTACCGTATTCTACTCTAGACCCTGTCGAGGTTTCATACTGGAAGCAATGCATCTATTTTCGATCCCGAGGATTCCATTGAAAGGCACCCTAGTATAGCATCTACCTCCCAGGTTCCCCGCCGTAATTATTCGGGATGATTCCATCGAACTGGTATAAGTACACTGATCCTGAGGAGATGTAGGTACACCTTACCCCGCCACAAACCAATACTTCTCCTCTGTTTATGTAACACAAAGTGCTCAATGTAACTATCATGAGCAAACCCACTTTACCCCAGCTAACTATTCCTGCTCTCTCTCTCCCTCTCCCTCTCTTATTAATACACTCTCAAGTAGTTACTCCGTAGACCAGCCGTATTCAGCCTTGATCATATCCGCAACCTATCCTGGATTAGCATCTCTCCTCCAAGAAAATACACTCTCAAAAGAAATACTGACCTTCTCGCCTGAAGCGTACATTGTCGCCATGGGAGGCCCAGATAGAGCTTTTGGCCAGTAGCTGATATCAATCACCCGGAGCCGAGACGTTCCGTACACCTTCATCTCAGGCGACAAGACCCCGCCAAGCTCGCGTGGCATCATTGGAGCCGTGCAGCATTCATGCGCGTTGGATGGCTGGAGAATGTCTCTCATAGTGGCAACCACCTCGTCATCGGTTTGCACAGAGGGCCCCGGAACCCGCTCCGTGGGCCCGAGTGCGGCAATCGATGGTGCCTCAAACAGCTCACGTTGTTTGCGGAAGAGCGCCGTGAGGATCTCAAAGTCGGTTGGATCAGTCGCGGTGCGGAAGTTGATGAGAGGGTTAGCTAGCGGGTCTGTCTGGTTGATATGGACAGACCCTCGACTAAACGGTTTGACGGAGAAAATTTGCACGCTGGTGTCGGTGTCCCAACCCAACGAGCCGATGCCCATCTCGGGTTGTCGAAATTCGTCGAACATAAGCTCTCGCTGCGCAGTGTAGCCCGCTAGGATGGTGGGATCAACGCCAGGTGGAAGAGAGTCGGCGGGATCCCGTGCTTCAGCATTGGCGAGAATTTGCTCATATGGTGTTCCGGAGGTAACGTCGTCATAGGACATGAAGCCAAATTTGGGTGCAAGGTACCGGGTGACAGACCAGACGCTTGGCAAATGATGGTCATAGAGGACGAGTTGCTCGGCTGCCCAGGTAGCGTTGGTAAGAAACGTCGTGACATTGGGAGTGATACTGTGAGCCCCTGCCATTGTTGAGTTAGCATACGATACTGCTTTCAACCCAATTCTAGAGAAATTGACAACAAACAGGTATATTGAACAGGGAATGTCGTTTGATCCTGCAAATTCGATCCAACTCCGGGAAGATCTGACACCACTGGAATATCCAATGAGTTGAGCAAGTTGCGAGGTCCGACTCCGGAGAGCTGGAGAATCTGCGGGGTGTGAAGAGCGCCAGCTGCGACAAGAACCTCCCGGGAAGCGAAGACGCGAGAGATCCTACCACCCGCGGTTGGAAGATATTCAACACCAGTTGCCTGTGTTCCATCAAAGATGACCCTTGCCACGGTTGTATTAGCGAGGAAGTGGTAGTTCGGACGAGTAACGCCTCTGTCATAGTGATTTCGCTTAGCTGAGCTTCGAGTCCAGGTGGTTGCATTCAAAGCGAAAGGTGGATTAAAGACACCAGTGTTGGCTCCCGCATTAGGGTCCAACCTTGGCTGCATTCCGATGTGCCTGGCAGCTTCATACCATGCGCCTAGCTTTGTTTAGTAGAGGTCCGCAGCCATAGGATAAGGGTGCTTACCTAGTCCAGGGTAAATGTAATTAGGGTACGAGTATTGCACCGGTCCATGATGGCCACGAACAGAGTCATCCCAGGTAATGTTTCCTTCATGCGCCAATTCCGTAGTTGGGTAGGTGAAGTTTTCGCTCTGGAAGACTCTTTAGCCATGGCTTTTCAAACCGAGAAGCTTCCCGATGGCCTGCGAGACTTACCTTGATAAAGTAAGGCAGCATGTCCTCCCACCCCCATCCACCATTACCAAGTGATTCCCAGCCATCATAGTCGGCAGCAGCACCTCTGAGAAATATCATCGCATTGATTGTGCTGCCACCCCCGGTGACCCTGGCACAAACGGCAGGAAAAACTTGGTCATTCAATTCCTCTTCCGGTTCTGATATCAAGTTGGGCCAGGAATATAGAGTTCTGTTATATGCGCCAGGAACATATATAAAATCCTGCCCCAAATCAACCGGTCCGGCCTCAATGACCAGAACATTTACTGCTATGTATTAGCGTCTTGTCACAATTTGGAGGATCGAGCGACTCTGCACACCATCCCGAACTTCAGTCAATCTATCGGCCACCGTAAGACCGGCTACACCGCCTCCAGCGATAATAAAATCGTATCTTTGAGTCTCTACCTCGATCTCTGACACCAGCTTAGCGTGTCGAGGCACCGCAACCGCACTGGTGAGCACAAGCCCAGCGAGAACAAGGAGCGCAGATCGTTTGTCCATGCTGTCGATAGAACCAAAAGTAGCTGATATCAGTGACCTGGATATTTCCCAGATACTAGAGCGAAACGTGGGTTTTTTTAAAGCTCTAGCCCCCAACGATGTTGTCAGCATCGCAACAACGCCCAGCCCAGCATACGAAATCACCCTGCCGGGGTAGGAACGAGGGACGTGTAGTTGAATTCCCCCCGGGTACGTCATGTCGGGAACTTAGGACTTGAAGTCAGAAGCAATTAACCGAATTAAAGAACGGAATTCGGTGATTTCTTCAATAACGGGGTGGCCATGCGATGCTGGTCAGAGCAAGAATCAGTGTACATCGTAATCATCGTCGCATATACGTCAAAGCAGAGCGTATCTCCCTTTGCCTTTCACCATGGTTAGAAAAGTAAAGTATTTCAGCACCCCAGATGTAGCCGCATTTTAGAATCAGGCTCCCTTTATATTGGAAGATTTGGAAAGCTCAAGCTGGTGGACTCTCGCAGCGGAAGCGAGTGAAGCCAAATACGCTTCTCTAGTCAGCAAAGAGTCGGCTCTTTCTCTGCAGCTTCACAGTCCCAATGCCGCCAACGTCATATCTGAGATCATTCAATTCCTCAGAAGAAAAGAAAAGAAAAAAAAAAATGTTTGCTTCCTCCAGCAAATAGCGCTAGGCGTACTCCGTATGGCATCGGATATTGATATATCGGAGGTTCAGCCATCGGCCTCCGATAGCGATCAGTGTAACACCAACAGTGGCTTTGATAGAGGTAGCTGAGAGGGAAGTCATACAAAGAATTTGAACATATTCCCGCAAATATGTCAGCCTCTGTATGAGAAGAAAGACAGAAATGGCTGACCGTGAGAGAATCCTCGATGGCAGAATCCCGAAAACGGAAAGGCGCCGTTTCTCATCACGTGCCATGTGAAGTTTGCAATGTTTGCATCAGTGACATCGATCCATTTTGTGCAATAAATCGAGTTGAAACAAAACTCGCGCGAGACAGTGAGAAAGGGGACCGTATAAGGTGCGTGGGGATGATTTGAAAGCGGTGTATAGCCTCTGTCCGGATTGCTACTGTCGACGCATCGCCTGGATGCCTTTTGAGGTTGGTCATCTATACAAGAACCGAGATTGGACACTCTCTCTTGTTCGACGACTAAGAAGCTTGAACTTGCATTATTAGAGCAAGCGGTGGCCAAAATGGCCGAGCAGAACGTCTCCCGAACGGCGCCATTTTACCTGATTCCACCACGGCGCATTGTCAGCGTTGAGCATCCGGCCATCATCAGAAATGTCGACAAGGCGATTGATACACTGGGGGGGGGCGCTGGTATCGCGAAGGTCAATCCACATCATCCTCGCAGTATTTGATAAGAATCGACTAACAACCGCTTAGATCCTCAATCCGCCAAAGGCGGATGCTCCAGCTAATCTGCTGATGCGGCCGGAGGATGCATTGTCTCGACCTTTGCAGTCGACAAACTCGCCGTCAAACAATATCCTCCTCAGAGTGACAGTTCCCAAACGGACAGGTCGCAAGCGAAAGAGGGGATCGAACGAGCCTTTCACAGATGCTATAGTCTCTGATCCCGTCCAAGGGCCGCCGCGGCCTCGTGCACGCGAGCTGCTCCGCAGTCTTCATGACAATGTTGGGGCATATCAAGTCGAGCCAGTCGGTCTGGTTGAACGCACGCATGTTTTTCGAGGAATGCCGGACTTTGTCTTCGCGACGACTCCCAGCCCATTCATCAGCCGATTCCGTGAACATATCCTGCCTTTTGACTGTACCTACGCCCCAGTCTACGCTCGGTATGGAATCTAGCTGACACAAGACAGACCAAAAAATGAAGCACTTCGATCTAGAAATGAGCAAAGGGGCCATTTCCAACGTGGACATAATCCCACCCCCGTCTTTCAGCCATGGAGACGTTCCCTTCAACTACAAGTATGCCTTGCACCCATCCATCGGACCTTGTGGCTATAACCATCGATAAAAACTAACCACCCGCCTCAAAGCTACCGCCAAAACCCCACAGTCAAACAGTCAATCGACAACTCGGGCAACGTCACCACGGTCAACACCCAACGGGCCGTCAAAGTGCTGACCTACCTCGTCCCCTCGGACATCGCCCGCGTCCCAAGCCAACCGCGCGACAACTGCCCGCCAATCTCCACGCTCGACCCGACGCTCCAAGAAACCATCACCGCAGTCCGAGCGCTCTTCGAAACACGGCCCGCCTGGACCCGACGCGGGCTCCGCAACTCCCTCAAAACCCTCGAACAACGCTACGCGCTGCGCCACGCGGTTCCCTACGTCGGGTACATCTTCCGCTCAGGCCCGTGGCGCGACGCGATCATCAAATTCGGCCACGACCCGCGCTCCGACCCCTCCTCGCGAATCTACCAAACCACCATGTTCCGCATTCTCCCCCGCGAAGCCGAACTCGCCCGTGACGGAGCAGGCGCAGGAACAGGAACAGGACGCCGACACACCACCGTCGCCCGCCCCCACGAACAAGCGCCCCCGGAGCCCACGACGGCAACGCCAACGCCAACGCCCACGCCAACCTCGCACATATTCACAGGCCAGCCGCCTCTCGCGCTGGACGGCCGAATGTGGATGTTCTGCGACATCACGGACCCCCTCCTGCACGGCATCCTATTCCCGTCGTCGTCGTCGTCAGCAGCAGCAGGTGGTTTCTTCCTCCGGCCGACGTGCGACATCGCCAGCGACGGCTGGTTCGGCAGCGGCACCCTGGCCAAGGCCAAGGCCGTCATGCGCGCCAAGATCCAGGCGCTGTTTGAAGGCCGCGTGCCCGACGACGGCGAGTACGCGAAGATCCTGACCATGCCGGACCATGCGAGTCCCGATTCCAGCATGGCTGGGTTCTGGCTCGACGCGGGCGAGGCGTCGACGCGGGAGCTGCAGTTGGCGTCGGAGGTGCGGTCGACCATCAAGGGGACGGTGACGTGGAGGGAGCAGGCGGCGGCGGCGGCGGCGGGGCAGCTGCAGGGTGGTACTGGTACTGGTACTGGTACTGGCGCTGCTAGTGCTAGTGCTAGTTCGGGGACGGCGATGGAGAAGGGCAAGGGCCGGCAGCAGATTAGGTTTGAAGATGAGGATGGGGAGGAGGGGGAAGAGGAGGGTCTTGAGCGGGAGGAGATCTTGGAAGCTGTGGGGGAGGTTTTGAATTCTGTTGGTGGTTCTCGGGAACAAGACGATGATGATGATGATGATGATGATGATGACGAGAATGAAAATTGATCCAGGCATACGATGGAGGTACGCTGGCAAGTACGTACTTGGGTGATTTTCAGTTTAATTAATAGAATGAAGGATATACATCGTGAACGACATCAAACGTGACACATTGCAGCTCATTAGGTTGTACATGCTATGCTGTCAATTATGCATGGACTGGAGAACAAGAAGAGCAACGAAAATGAACAGAGTCGCTGGCAGTAATCATGCTGATGATGGAGTAACAATCGAACAAACCGAATCGCAATGCAGCACCAAAAACATCGGGTATCCAAACAACCTGTACAGGACCCTCCAGAGAAGAAGAAGAAGAAGAAGAAGAAGAAAAGAAAAGACAAATGAAAACTGTTTTTTTTTTCAAAAAAAAAAAAAAAAAAAAAATACGCCGGGATCCGATCTGTAGTGTGAATGAACGCCAGGAATTAGTAGTACTATAAGGAATGGAAAAGATAGCTAGCGAGTGGATGTGGACGCGGGCCCGGCCTCTGTCGACTCCGTTGTCTCTTCTTCAGTAACGCTTCCGCTTTCCCAAATCTCGATCTCCGCATTGGATGATGGTGAGACGGCCGTTTCCTTGGTGGGTTTCAACGGGCTCACAGTATCTTCGGGCACAGATTCAATAGAAGAGACACTGGACAGCTTGCTTCGGGTGGGATGGGTCGGACGGCCCACAGAAACACCAGCCTGCTTGCTTTCGGGAGCCTCGGTCTCGGTCTCGTCATCGTAGACCACGGCATACGAAAAGGCATGGCAGTCTTCGCCGTAATAATCGGCAGCATGAAGCTCCCCCAATGGCGCGCGAGACTCCTCCTCCAGGACGGATTTGCGCGCTGCCGCTGCTGGGGACTCCTGCTGACGAGCGTGGGGAAGAGCGATACCCAGTTCGGCCGGAGGGATGTTCTCCTTCCCCCGGCGGTTCGACTCGATCTCCTGCTTCCCCTCGTCATCGCTAATGTCCAACACGCAGGTCGAGTGTTGCATCAAATTGGTCATCTCCTCCTGCTCCGAGTCGACATAGATCTCAAAGGACCAGGATGCGGGAACCTTGGACGGGGCTGACTGGCTCTTGGGCTTCGCATTGGACAAGGCCGCGGCAATGGAGAAGGGACGGCCGATGCTCTTGCGCGAGGCGGATTCCGGGCGGTTCTTGGCAATCGTTGACCGACGGGCAAATGGCTTGCACGCTTTCATTTGCGGAGAGCGTCCCGCGGGCTTGAGGGACGGGGAGGACTTGGGGGTGGAAGGGGTGAAGGAGATGGAGGTCGAGTCTGCGATATCCAACAGCATGCGGGAAGTCTTCATGGGCTTGACCGATCCCTTGACGGGCTCGAGGCCGTCGTTGTCGTCGTCGTCGTCGACGGTCCGCTTCCGTTTGGTGGAGAGTTTGGAGGTGATTGGATCGATATTCTCCGAGTCCACGTCGGACAGAGGTTGTCTCTTGCTGGACATCATGATGGCACCTGAAAGAGGGAAACGACGGGAGATCTGTTAGAAAGCACGCGTCTGACGTGTATACCGTGGTTGGGATCGTACCGTTCTGCTTGTTCTGGAGGTTCAACTTGGCGCGGACGAAAGAACGCATGCGCGAGGCATCCAGAGTCGCAAAAGGCTGACGCACTGCAGCGGGGGTCATCATGAGAGCGGCCATCTGGGAAGATCAAATACGAGAATTGAAAAGAAAGATTTAACAGATGAGCAGCAGTGGAAGAACAATGTTGTGGATGGATTTGTTTTGGGGGGTGCAGCAGGCGGGGGTTGAGGCCTGATTGGCGGTGTACTGGAGTCACAAGAAGATCGGGAACACCGCTAAGTCTACACGAATAATACAGATGGGATAGAGAGAGAGAGATGAAGGGATACAGGGTTATTATAGAGGGAGGAAGCGCTGCGAAATGAGGAGGCAAGGGTTGAACACGCTGAGGGAGAATTCCTACACGGTGAACTCTTGAGAACTCGAGAATCAGGAAGGAGTCGAAACATGCAGGAGGAATGCGGTTTTATAAAGCTGAAAAAGCGCGAGAGAAGCTGAGGGGGGGAGAAAAGCGCGTCAAGTTCGTGTTAATAGTTAATGATTAATTAACGATTAATTAACGATTAATTAATGAATTCATGAACGAATTAATTTCTATACAACTCTTTGAATCCAATAATTGACCATTTTCCCCCTCACGTCCACCGGCGCGTGCGGAATTACACACAGCCCCATCGAAACTGGAGGTATTTTGTGTATTTTTGGTAAATCCCTGTCTCCCACGCGTCTTCCTCAACTCTACTCCGTACCGAGGGAATCTACAGTATGAGTATGTAACTACCGAGGGCATCGTGGGAATCTACCCTTGAATCCGTTGCTCATGGAACCGGGTCTCTGAGTGTGGGACATATTTCATCCTCCCACGGAATACTATCCATCGCTCCCTGCCGCTCCACGCAACGTGCGGATGCTCGAGTGGACACTTCCATGGCCTCGTCCAGAACCTTCGTATACCGTAGAACCTTCTCCTCCTCGCTCAGATCCAATCCTGCCTTGCCCTCCCCCCGACGCTGCTCACGCCACCGTGCCACCGACACCGCATACGCTCCCACAAACGTATCCCCGGCCGCCGTGGTATCCAGCACCTTGCTGACCTGGGCCGCGGGCATCTCATTCGTAGCCCGGTAGCTCCCCTCGCCGGCATCCGTCGCACTATACCACACCCCCTTCGACCCCAGCGTCACAACCACATACCGGACCCCCAGCTGGTGGAAATACCGGGCGACCTGGTCCCTCCCACTCGCGGGACGCCCCGGCGGAGCCATCAACTCCGCCTCGGTCTCATTCATAATCAAATGGTCCACCCCCTCATACACATCCTCCGGTAACCCGCCCGGCGGCGCAGGCGCCGGGTTAAACATCACGTCAGGCCCGACCTCAATCCCCCTCTTCCCCTCCACCCGCCGCCGCCGCCGCCGGTACGCCGCAATCTCACGCAGCGTGCCAATCACCGTCGCCACGGGGATCTCAGCCTGCAGGATGATCACATCCGGCACGGGCGCGGCCAGCGCCATGCCCAGAACGGCCGGCGTCGCCCGCATGCCCTGGTAATTGGCGCCAGGCGAGAACAGGATGCGGTTCTCGCCCCCGGCCGACTCGTCCACAATAATCACCGCAACTCCCGTATATGCCGTGTCGATGATCTGCACCCGCGACGTATCCACCCCCGACTGCTCCAGCGTCGGCTTCAACAGCGCTTCGAAGTGGCCGTCCAGACCGCCCACCGCCCCGGCCATTTCAACTCGCACCGTTGTTGCGCTTGCCGGCGGCTGCTGCTGCTGCTGCTGCCCCCGGCTGGCTGCGCGCGACATCCGCCCACAGGCTACGGCTTGGTTTGCGCCTTTCCCGCCCGCGCTGGTGAAGTACGCCGACGATGTGATGGTTTCGCCTGCTTCGGGGCAGCGCGGCGTCACCGAGACCATGTCCGCATTGAGGGATCCGACCACGCGGATGCTGGGTGGCATTATGTCCGGCGGCTGTTGTTTGTCCCTGTAGTCTGATTGAAGTGGGATATTCTTAGTAATGGGGGGAAGGAAGTCTCTAGGGTGGTGAGACTGTACCGTAGATATATATTTGTCTCTCTCTTTCTCTCTCTGTGTGTGTGTGTGTGTGTGTGTGTGTGTGTCTGGGAAGTCAGAAACTTGCAGATGCGCACAGTAAAGGTGGGCGGGCGGTTCTGGCTGCGTCTGCGGGGTTCCCCACGACCCAAATCGGTTTACATCCCCGTACCATATAGAACTGAAGCATAAGATTGAGTTTGGAGCTCGACAGGATTTATTGTTATCGTGGTGCTAGAGTTGAGCTTGAGATCTGGGGACTATATATATATCGAGTCGACTTTGGACCATATCCAAGCATGACAACCACTAGGAATCAAATAATTAAACCAAAGATCTATTTTGCATCGGTATTGAATCTCCAACCATTACGACTACTAATAACTGGAAGTACTTTTGTAATGTATACCCATAAAGACGCCGTAGACTCAACCCGCTGTGCCCAAGCAAACTAAATCTCATCTCATCCCATGATGGATGCTTTCCAGACAAAAAGAAAGAAAGAAAGAAAGAAAGAAAAAATCAATCCTACCGTACATATTTACTACATCAGGTCATAAGGTAAAAAAAAAAAACTATACACCCTGTCGGTATACTTGCGATCCTCCAGATCGGATCTGAATGGTACCCCTACGTTGCAGCACGATCACAGCCCGATTCAGAGCCTGCTCGGTGTAGCCTCGGCCGTCGACGAATTCCCGCCGCAATGTCGCAAGACTCGTGCTCCATCCGATCGGAAGTCGGCGCTTCAATTCGTCTTCAATCTTCGACACTTCCTCCATCATCTCCTTGCTTCCCTGGCCCTCCCCCTGCGTGATGGCGTCCATGGTAGACGCAAGGAAGATGCGGATCGCTTCATCGACATGTGCCTCCGTTGCAATGGGCGACAAGCTCAGCTTAGCCAGAGACTCGGTGATACGAACAATGGCCTCGAGTTGACGGACTGTGATGGGAATCGAGGACCGCGCGTTGGCGTCGAGTTCCGCACGGTGGACTTGCTTTCGGATGGAAACGAAATGCGATGACAGCTTCTCTGCTGCTTCGGGGGACAGACGAGGGGCGCACCGGCTTTAAAAAAAAAAAAAAAAAAAAAAAGGGAAGGGTTAGTTAGTTCTTATCCGGGAGAGTTAAATGAAAAAAGGGGAATGGTGAGAGACTAACCTGCGGCAGTAGCTGATGTACCGCTTCATCTTGTCCAGGGGAACCTCAGCCTCGACCTGCTCCTCGACACCTCTTCCCCCCATGTGCACTCCCATCACGTGCCGCGCGATGTTCTCGTCCCGGCTGCGCTCGTGGTCGTCGCGAACAACGAAGATCATATCGAAACGTGACAAAATGGTGGTCTGAAAATCGATATTTTCACCAGGAGTCTTGAGGTCATCGTACCGACCAAAGACCGGATTGGCAGCAGCCAAAACAGAGGTTCGGGAGTTTAGGATTGTAGTAATACCGGCTTTGGCAATAGAGATAGTTTGCTGCTCCATGGCTTCGTGGATGGCAACTCGGTCTTCGTCTCTCATTTTGTCGAACTCGTCAATACACACAACACCGCCGTCTGCGAGCACCATTGCACCGCCTTCAAGGTAAAACTCCCGCGTAGCTGCGTCACGCTGGACCGATGCAGTAAGACCAGCGGCAGACGATCCCTTACCCGACGTGTAGATGGCGATTGGGGCGACCTTTTCCGTAAACTTGAGCAGCTGCGACTTGGCGGTACCCGGATCTCCAAGAAGTAGAACATTGATATCCCCACGAAGCTTCATGCCGTCGGGAAGAATCTTTTTGGACCCGCCCATGAGCAAGCATACAATAGACTTTTTGATGTCGAGATTTCCATAAATCGACGGCGCAATACTTCTGGCGAGCGCATCGTATAGGTCAGGACGACGGCTCAGCTCGAGGAATTCCTGCTCCTCTTCTTCTGAGAAGATAGCGCTGCCCTTTGCGGTGTGATCTAAATCTGTCGTGATACCGACCGCCCGGAGGTACGGGTTACGGATCGCTACAGCACCATCTTTCTTTCCTCCCTTTTGATAGATAGAAAATATCCCCATAACTGTGCATCGGGAGCCGGGGACAACTCGGTTGGCGAGATATCGATCGGCTGAAATTAGAACATGTCGAGGGAGCTCCCCCACAGGAACTTGGTCAGGAGCCTCCTGAAGCTTAAGCACCTGCTGGTCCACAAACTGGCATCTCTCGTGAACAACAACATAGGGGTCGAGGGGACATTGCTCGCTAGGGGCTTCACCGGGTTGGTGTTCACGGCCACACCGTCTGGGGAACGTGAGACCCGAAAATCCACCTTCGACCCGAATATTCTCGCTGTGATCACAATTCTTGCAGCGGATGTGGACGGTTGTTGCCTTGGAAGAGATTGTGGAGGCGCCAATTACGATTCCTGGGATACGAACCAGGTTGGAGATGTTTGTCGCGTTCAAGTCACGAATCGAAATGTGGGATGCAGATGAATGGAGGAGGAGTTGATGACTCGGAAGTACGATATCTCTTTGAGAAGGGTACACAATTCGCTGAGTACACTGCTGCAGAGCTCCTTCAAACTGTAGCAGAACCGTTAGAAATGGCTAAAATGGGGATGGCCAGGTAGGTGACCGACAAGAGGGATAATATCTGCAGGTTCGGTGGTGAGCTTGTGGGCCAATTCCTCATTGTACGAAATCAAGTGCGCGATATCTATGTCACAGTAGTACTGCTTGACGAGGACATTCTGTCGAAGTTGATCTCTAAACACAGGGTTAGCCTTCTTTCGCATTGCAGTGCCGGAGTCGAGGGGCATACCGGTAGATGAAAGCATTATCCAGCTGGAACTCCAACACAAACTCTCGCAAACGAGCCTGGATTTGTGTGCGAGACTCTTCAGCGCCATCAGTGCTAGGAGCAAGAACACTCAAAGTATAAGGTGTACGCCTGTCCATTGTGAGAGACAGAACGGGGATGTGACGGGGAGCGAGAATGTGTGGGTGTTGAACAATTATCACCACTCTAACTAGGAGGTGACCTGCAAAATGGAATTTCCCTTTTTTGCATCACGACGCGAGAGGCACGCGTCGCGTCGACCCCACGCGTTAAGTGGTTTCCCCTTGTGGCCTGAGGCAGCACGGCAGGATTTCGGAATTCGGAACTTGAGAAAATACGGCTTTCTAAATATGGGTTAGCGTCTTTTGGTGCTGGGCCTGAGGCCTTACTAGATTAGGTTGGGCTGGCGCGCCTCGAAGTGAAGCCCGTATGGATCTGACACATGGAGAGCTGTTCGGATGAGTGACGTTGCCGGCCAAGTTGGACTCTCCTGTCCTTGATTCTTCCTTTTTCTCAGTTACAGATATCCGGGCTGTTGAATTGCAGCGTCTGTGTTAAGGAGCTGCTGCTGCTGCTGCTCAGTAAAGTGTCGACTTGTCATGGTGAGGTAAGGTGGCCCGGAATAGTAAGGTAGCGGCGACAGTCGCCAATTTCACTTCGGCGAGATGTCCTCTGTGAGCCCTCGGAAATCAATCGACAGCTTAGCTTCGGCTGCCTCAACTCCTTCTTTATCGCAGTTTTCCTTCAGCCAGATCGAGTCACCGCGGGTCCCGCCTCAGAGGTCCCCCCTGAGAAGAGGCTCGACTGCCAGCTCGATCGTGAGCATAGGAGGAATCCTCGACTCGTCTAACCGTCATGGCTCGATAGCGGAGTCGGGGCAGAATGGTAATTTTAGCAATATGAAATGAAATTGTCTTGATCCTGACTCTGTCCAGCTATTTCTACTCTTCTCCAACCTCCGATTGTCCGCACTGGTCTCGCGCCTCATACGTCGACAGCGCCCGGCGGCTACAAACCTCCTAGCACTCGAGATATACCCCCAGTGACCTTGACTAATATTCCACATGTGGACCGCAAAGAGTTTGAGCCGTACCTATCTCAAGTTGGGTCGCTCTACGATGTCTTCCAGCAAGCGAAAGAAGGTGGTGGAGATCAGGAATCACAGCTTGCCCGGGGGGGAGCAAAGACGCCTACAAAGCCGGATGATTATGAATCTTTAATCCCAAGATCTCGGGAACGCCGGCCTTCAGGAATCTCATCTAGTTCTCGTGCAAGCTCTCCATACGGATCACAAGGCCGGAGGCGCTCCTCGCACCGTGGTCGCGGCCACGCGGTCAGCCCTTTGTCCACAATTCCGCCTGTTTATTTTGAAGATGATTTCCACCTGGAGAATCCCCGAACATTTGATGTGGTATCGGAAAGATCTGAGGTTGTGACACCACCCCAAGCACCAAGCAAGGACGATCAGATAAATGCTGTACCGGAACCTGTTCAACCAGGCAGAAAGGCACTTGCTACGAATGCAATCTTACAGGAGAAATTGTCATGGTACATGGATACGGTGGAAATCCACCTCATTTCCTCGATTTCGACTGCTTCGAAGTCTTTCTTCACCGCACTCGGGTCTCTTCGTGAACTACATGCAGAAGCTGCCGACTCCGTACGGCGGATCCAGGTCCTGCGGAAGGATCTTCAAAAGATCGATAAAGAAATGGCACTAGGGGGGCTGAAGGTCGTGAATTTGCGGCGCAGAAGGGAGAATGTTCGGATGCTCTCGGACGCGGTTTCCCAGCTTCGAGATGTAGTTCAATCGGTTACCCGGTGCGAGGAATTGGTCGAGGACGGGAACATCGAGGAGGCAGCTGATGGGCTTGAAGAGGTAGAGAAGCTGATGGCTGGGGACTATATGCCTGATCAGCCCGGCAAGTCGCAAGAGGAATCTCGAAGAACAGTCGACCTCCGGCGTCTTAAGGCTCTAGAGGGCGCTTCAAATGAACTGGATCGCTTGAGATACCAGATTGGGACGGGTTATGAGAATCGTTTCTTAAACGAACTTCTTGCAGACCTCCGACACCACGTTGATAGTGTGCCCCTAGACGTCACACTGCAAAGATGGGGGTCTTCATTCCAGCGACAACGCGGAGCCCAGCGGTCTGGAATAACAGAGCCGCCTGCATACATGTCGATCGACGACAAGTTACGAACGCGATTACATGTTCATCTCACTGGTCTTGCAAGGGTACACCACACAGCATCGGCTGCGACCGCGTTCAAGACAGCCGTGCTGCGAGAGATGAAGAGCTTAATTCGCAAACAAATGCCAAGCTCCAACGATGATGATAATGAGTCGATGTTGTCTATTTCTACCCACCGGTCCCACCAGCTTAGCTCTCAGGAGAAATCGTCCATCCTGGCCCGTAATCTTCGAGCTCTCGATGCAGATGATGCATACAATATGCTAGCACAGGTCTATTCCGGCGTCAGTGAGTCGTTACGCAGACTAAGTGTCCAGGTCAAAGTCCTCCTTGATATTGCGAGTGGATTGCCACCGAACAGCTCAAAGTCTCCTGCGGACAATGGGCCGGACTCCCGAGTGCCAGCGCACGTTTTGGCCCAAGATGAAATTCTACAGGTTCTTGATATGTCGAGCCTCCTCGGCCAAGCAGTTGACATTGCTCAATCCCAGGCAACCAAGGTTCTCAAGGTTCGGTCCGAACAGACGGCTAGCTTGCAGAAGGAAGACTTCTTAAAATATTTCACTCTAAATCGTCTTTTCGCAGACGAGGGCGAGGCGATTTCGGGCAGAAGTGGAGCGGCTTTGAAGACTGTCGTGAGCAATCAAATCCGGGATTATATTACCCGCTTTGGCGATAAACAGCGACACCGTATAGTGGAAGTGATGGATTCTGACCGATGGGATGCAAAGGATTTCGGCGAGGCGGAGACCGCTGTTCTCGCCCGCATTCTGAGCTCGAGCACGAGGGATGTTGAAGCTTGGTTAGATGCCTCCAAGATCTGGGTGGCTAAAGATCAAAGCCAGGCTACCCCGACGACGGATTCCACCGCAGTGAACGGCTCGGGTAAAGACAAGATCCGTACTGCAGTGATTGATGAACAAAAGTATATCCTGTCTGAATCTGCAATTACGATGATGAGGAGTCTTGAGGAATATCAATTTCTCATGGCAAATATTCCCAGCATGATCCCGGAGATCGCATCTGGACTTCTGGAGTCTTTGAAGCTGTTCAACTCACGATCCTCTCAGTTAATCTTGGGAGCCGGTGCGACAAGAAGCGCTGGCTTGAAGAATATTACCACCAAGCACCTTGCCTTGTCTTCCCAGGCCCTCAGTTTCATTATCGCCTTGGTTCCTTATCTCAGAGAGTTCGTCCGCCGTCATTCGCCTCCTATCTCCCTGATGGCCGATTTCGATAAAGTCAAGCGTTTATATCAAGAACACCAGTCGGGAATCCATGAGAAACTGGTAGACATTATGGGCTCCAGATCTAACGTGCATGTGAATGCGATGAAGAAGATTGACTGGGATTTTGGTCCTGGGTCTGGCGTGAACGCGTATATGGAGACCTTGACAAAGGAAACGGGCACCTTGCATCGGGTACTGAGCAAGCACCTGCCAGAAATGACAGTCATGATGATCATGGACCCGGTGTTTAAGAGCTACCGAGAGCAGTGGACCCGGGCGTTTGACGAAGCGGTTATCAAGTCGGAGACGGGAAAGCAGGGGTACGTTTTGCCTGTGTGCAGTATAATATTCTCGTACTAACATTTCCCCCCCCCCCCTCCTTCTTTCCCTAGACTGCGACGTGACGCAGAGTATTTCCAGACGAAATTGAGCAAGATAGATGGTTTTGGAGATCTGGGTGAGCGATTGCTAGAATTAATTGATCAGAAGACGATAGAAACCGGAGGCAAGGAAAACGTCTCTGGTGACGATACTTCCTCAAAGGGTTCGCCCAAGCCACAGGACGAGAGCAAGGTCTAAGCTGGCGAGCTTCAACCTGCTAATAATAATAATCATAATTTATATTATATATATACGTATTATCGTTTTTCTTCAATTGCGGTCGCGGTTGACATGACGCAAATAAGTACCGGTGTACCCCCCATATATATATAATCAACTCTCCTGCATACTGACGATGGTAAACTCCTACATCACGATCCGGTGTTCAGTTAAAATAGACTCTATTATGGAAACAATAGCAAATCCACGGATCTCGTCGCTTCGATATGAGGTTGAGGCGAGATTTTGCAATCCAAGTGCAATTCTGCCATATTTCACCGCTTAGTTACCCCAACCGGAAGATCACAAGTCCGACGCCCGGGGTCAGCTGACAGGATCCAAACCAGACAAACAGGCTGCGAGATGACGTAATGGATGGTCAGCTTTCCCCGGATCTGTGTGATCCTTATATAATCCAGACCGGATAGTTTACCCTGATATCAAGAGTCAAGACTCCTGTTCCTGGAGGAGATGAGATAATAAACTCAATTCAGAGATCGAAAGGGACGCGAAACTAAATATATAGTCAGGAAGAAGAAGAAGAAAAACGGTTGAATGAATCTGCCTTGTCCTGTGGCAAATTACGTCCGAAAAGGACCTTCCCCCGGGTAAATATACCTTCAAATAATAATCCCCAGGTAAATACCAGGTTAAATAGGACATGGTAGGTATGGAGTAGTTCAAAAGAAAATGAAACGCCTTCTGACAATTATCTCGTTGGCTGGTCCTATAATTTGGTGTTCGGTTTCATGATCTGGGAGGGGTTGGTTGCTCTCATGGATACGGAGTACCTCCTCCTGAGTTCCTTGGATTTGAAGCTGCAGTCTGCGCAACCTCCACTCAATGAAACCCATGAAACCCATGAAATCCCTAAATCCTCCCTCACAAGCTAAAGCTGCTCAAGATCAAGGAATCCTAAACCTAGTTTCTATTCTCACAGCGTAACTCAACTTCCCATCTGGTTGGGAGGTTTCAATTTCAATTTCCCCGCCACCCGTTTTTGACCTTCCCCCCACACCAAAAAACGCCCTCGGTCTTCGAGAGTCCCGGACTGGCGTTGTTCATTACACACTAACGTGGTCACCGGGAATCAAAGAGAAGTCCTGTCTTTGACTTCTTCTTCTTCTTCTTCTCCTTCCTTCTTTCCCCTCCTCCACACATTCCAACTTCCTTCCCTTCTCCCTCCCCCCTCCTCCCCCCCCCCATCCCGACGTGCGAGTGCAGCCCACAGCTCAGTTCACTATGGCGAGCGAGGAGAATGACCAGGACCCTCCCAGACGCGATGTTCGCAACCACATCCTCTTTGAAATCGCAACAGAAGTTGCCAATCGAGTTGGAGGCATTTATTCTGTCCTCAAATCCAAAGCTCCGGTCACTACCGCCGAGTATGGCGAGAGGTATACCCTGATCGGCCCGTTGAATCGCAACTCGGCTGCGGTGGAGGTCGAGGAGCTGACCCCGTCCAACCCCCACCTCATTGCAACCATCAAGTCTATGAAGGATCGGGGAATTGACATGATCTACGGTCGCTGGCTCATTGAGGGTGCTCCTCGCGTTCTCCTCATCGACACGGGAACCGGGTACAAATATCTAGACGAATGGAAGGGAGACTTGTGGAATACTGCGGGGATTCCGTCCCCTGCCGCCGATACAGAAACCAATGAAGCCATTGTTTTTGGATACTTGGTGGCGTGGTTCTTGGGCGAGGTATGTTCTGCGCCTCCAACAATTGACCCCACGATTTCTCGCCTCTCCTTTGCGCCATGCTAACAGATACCCCCCCCCCCCCCCCCCAAAACACAGTTTATCGCCCATGAGCGCCGGCGCGCAGTGGTGGCGCATTTTCACGAGTGGCTCGCAGGAGTCGCGCTTTCCTTGACGAAAAAGAGACATATGGACGTCACCACCATTTTTACAACCCATGCTACCCTCCTTGGTCGCTATCTCTGTGCGGGATCGGTCGACTTTTACAATAACCTTCAGCACTTTGACGTAGATGCGGAGGCTGGGAAACGGGGTATCTACCACCGCTACTGCATTGAGCGAGCTGCTGCCCATTCCGCAGACGTGTTTACCACCGTCTCCCACATTACTGCATTTGAGAGCGAGCATCTGCTCAAGCGCAAGCCAGACGGCGTTCTGCCCAATGGCTTGAATGTGAAGAAGTTTTCTGCCGTGCATGAATTCCAAAATCTACATTCTCAGTCGAAGGAAAAGATCAATGACTTTGTCCGCGGACACTTCTATGGTCACAACGACTTCGATCTAGACAATACCCTTTATATGTTCACATCCGGTCGATATGAGTTCCGCAACAAGGGTGTCGATATGTTCATTGAAGGCTTGGCTCGTCTGAATCATCGACTTAAGACTAGCGGATCTAAGACAACCATTGTTGCATTCATCATCATGCCGGCCCAAACCTCCTCGCTTACTGTTGAGTCACTCAAGGGTCAGGCCGTCGTTAAGTCCCTGCGAGAAACAATTGAGATGATCGAGAAAGGAATTGGAAAGCGAATGTATGAACGCTGCCTTGCGTGGAAGGAAGGCGACAACATGCCGGATGAGAAGGACCTGATCACCAGCCAAGATCGTGTCCTTTTACGGCGCAGACTCTTCGCTATGAAGCGGCACGGTCTACCCCCCATTGTCACACACAACATGCTGAACGATTCCGATGACCCAATTTTGAACCAGATTCGTCGTGTTCAACTCTTTAATCAGTCGTCTGATCGTGTCAAAATTGTCTTCCACCCCGAATTCCTGAACTCATCCAACCCTGTACTACCATTGGACTACGATGACTTTGTTCGCGGCACTCACCTCGGGGTTTTCCCTTCGTATTACGAACCATGGGGCTATACTCCTGCCGAATGTACCGTCATGGGAGTCCCCAGTATCACCACCAACCTTTCTGGATTTGGATGCTATATGGAGGAGCTGATTGAAAACTCTTCCGACTATGGAATCTATATTGTGGACCGTCGAATGAAGGGTGTAGATGACTCGGTGAATCAACTGACTGATTTTATGTACAACTTTACCTTGAAGAGCCGACGACAACGGATCAATCAACGTAACCGCACCGAGCGTCTCAGTGATCTTCTGGACTGGAAACGCATGGGGTTGGAATACGTGAAGGCCCGACAGCTGGCTTTAAGAAGAGGTATGTATTGCCCCTAAACTTTGAGGCGTCTTTCGTTGTACTAACTAACCCCTTATAGCCTATCCAACTTCTTTCGACAACTCCGAAGACTACTACGATATCATTGGCGGAACAGAACAAAAGATATCGCGGCCTCTGTCTGCTCCTGGTTCTCCACGGGATCGCTCGGGAATGATGACACCAGGGGACTTTGCATCACTCCAGGAAGTCAAAGAGGGTCTTAGCACGGAAGACTACGTTGGTTGGCGACTCCCGTAAGTGTTATTTTTCCTCTCAATTGCCAGGGAAATAATAGCAACTAACCAGCATGCATTAGCACCAGCGAGGAAGATGACCCGGATGACCATTTCTTTCCCCTTACCCTCCGGACGAAAAAGTCCGATCGACCATCCTCTCCTCTAGATCAAATACCGGTGAACGGTGACGGTCACTGACCTGCAGATTTGGACGGAAATTCCCACCAGGATAACCTACCTCACTCTGAAACTTTCGAGCTTGTCCTTGAATTATTATTCCTTCTAGCATCTTCTGCATCGTTTTTGCCTGTCAATTCCTTTTCTTTTCTTTTCTGTTCTTTTCTGTCTTTTTTCTTGTGTGAACAATATTGCGATTGGAGACGACTTGGCCTGACTGCGTCCGGTGGAGGATCGCTCAAATGATGATTTGTGTGTTCGGCATATCCGTACATCTATTAATACTATTCTTCGTCTTTCTGCCACACGACCATTATTTAATGCAACCCTCTCCTTCATTTCTGGGACCTCATATCCTGATCCGAATACTTGGTGTCTACCTGTGCAAATGACTTGCATCTTCGGGATGCAAATTTTCACAGAACAGAGGCCAAGCACTTGGTGGGGAAGTAGTCAGGGACATGTAGAGACGGATCTGCGACTGGGAGATCTATAGGATTACCAAGGCCTGACATCGACTGATGGAACGGGCCTAGAGCCAATCCCAGAGCTCCCCAGGTGCTCACAGGCGCCTAAAGGAATGCAATGACTTCCGAAAATGATCCGGATTGCAGTCGTCCGGGTTGTTTCTGCGGGCCAAGTAGGTAGGATGACGCAGGTTCAATTGATCCGTAACGTGGGACTTAGTGAATAGGGTTCCCCAACTGGATCTCAGTCCAATAAAATCAGGGAAGAGTTCTCGTAGTGGCTCCGCTCCCAGTGATTCCGACGAGAAAAGAAGTGGCATCGCCAAACTTGCTCTGGGTGATAATAGACCGGAGTATGAGGAAGAATCCCGGATGGTGGGGGAGGAGGAGGGGGATGTTAAGCTCCACCTCGTGACTGGCGAGGTAATATTTATTGTCCTCTCATCCTCCTCTCTCCCTCTCTCTCTTTTGTTCCCTTCCTTATCCATCTCCATCCCCAACTCCAGCATCCAATCTACTACTCCTCTCCAATTAACTTTATCGATATCGATTTCCGGTACGGCCACAATGAGGCTACGCAGTCAGGAGCGATCAACCGCTGGGGTTCTTCCGCTATGGGTTCACACGGGTCAAGGTATCGTACAGATTATAATAAGAGTCACTGCTCGCGCATGACAGGTGTTCGACTTGAGTCGGCTGTGTTCTGGTTAGATATCAAGAGAAATCTAAACAGAGCACAGCAGGCCGGTTGTTCTGAGATTATACTGTCACAACTTGATCTAGATAATACTAGCGAAAGGACATGCGCTGCATTGATTGCTCCCCCCTTCCCCAATTTGTCTCAGAAGATAAGAGAGACCTCGTGTCTCTCATGCTGACAATCTACAGTCATTTAGTTGACCTGAACCTGTGCCAAGATGTCTACTGACAAGATTACTTTCCTCACCAACTGGTACGGATTGGTGGCATTTTTCTTCCCCTCTTTATCCTTTTGTAGAATCAATCCAAATGCTAAGTCGTGATGTGATTTTTCAAGGCACGCGACGCCCTACCACGCTCCCCTGTACCTCGCCCAAAGCAAGGGCTTCTTCAAGGAAGAAGGCCTGAAGGTTGCTCTGCTGGAGCCCAATGACCCGTCCGATGTCACTGAGATCATTGGCAGCGGCAAGGTCGACATGGGCTTCAAGGCCATGATCCATACACTTGCGGTTTGTTCTACTCCTGTTCCTTATCGACTGAAAGCTGCTAACTCTGCACAGGCCAAAGCTCGTAACTTCCCCGTGACCTCAATTGGCTCTCTTCTCGATGAGCCTTTCACTGGGGTGGTATACCTCAAGGACAGCGGAATCACCGAGGACTTCCGCACCTTGAAGGGTAAAAGAATCGGCTATGTTGGGGAGTTTGGAAAGGTTTGCCTCTCTTTATCTTCCGTGCTTACTCGATGCTTACTCGACGCGAAAGATTCAAATCGACGAACTCACCAAGTACTACGGCATGACTGCAGACGACTACACCGCTGTCCGCTGCGGCATGAACGTTACTAAAGCAATCATCAACGGTACTATCGACGCCGGCATCGGCCTCGAAAACGTGCAAATGGTTGAGCTGGCCGAATGGCTTGCGACCCAGAACCGCCCCCGCAGCGACGTCCAAATGCTCCGCATCGACCAGCTTGCCGAACTAGGCTGCTGCTGCTTCTGCTCCATTTTGTATATCGCCAATGACGCCTTCCTGGCCGCTAACCCAGAGAAAGTACGCAAGTTCATGCGCGCCGTGAAACGGGCAACGGACTATGTTCTCGCGAGCCCGAAAGCAGCTTATGAGGAATTCATCGATATGAAGCCAATCATGGGTACACCCGTGAACCAGAAGATCTTCGAGCGTTCTTTCGCTTATTTCAGTCGCGACTTGAAGAATGTACAGCGTGACTGGGCGAAGGTTACCAATTATGGAAAGCGCCTGGACATCCTGGATGCCGGGTTCGTCCCCAACTATACGAACGAGTATCTTTCCTGGCCGTTGGATGGGGACTCGGCTGATCCATTGGGTGATCAGAAGCGCATGGCGGTGTTGCAGGAGAAGGTTGCGGTCGAAGGTGGGTTCAGACGGTTGGAAGTCGTTGCAGCTGCTCCTGCTTAAAAAAAAGAAGCTCTTGCCTAAGTTGAGTTTTCTTTTTTACTTGTGATTTTGTGGTCTTTGTCCTATCGCTCATTGGGAGAGATCTTGCTCTCATTTTACTGGGGAAGAACCGATCTTCCAAGCTCAATGTAGCTTGCTAGACCACGTAGCTATTTGCATTCCTTATCAGACACCGGTAGCAATTGAGGACCATTTATCTCAAACTATATTCGTATTTTCATTATCATCCACACATGTGTAGTTGCAGTCGTACCTGTATTCACACTAGACAAGATTAATCATTATCACTACTATGCTACACTACTGTAACATACATACATATATATCTATCTATAATAGGCTAAAAGTACAAATAAAAACCATACTCTGTATAGAAATCGTTCAGCTCATAATCCTAATCCTCTTTTTTCACAGTTCCATCCCCAAGCTGCGGACTTCCATTCGCACTCGCACTCGCACTCGCATACCCTGGATCCACGGACCCAGGACGCGGCGATAACCGGGGATTCCCTAATAACGAGAACTCAATATCACTGCCATCACTGTCGCTGTCACTCTCGGTATCATCGGCATGTCCTCTCTCCTCGTCCTCCTCGGGGCCGTCGATGGCCTTCCAGCCGCCGCCGCCGCCGCCGCGTCGGCGCGCGGCACGTTGAGCGCGGCACCGTCTAAAGGTTCGTATAGAGCCAGCAAAAATAAAGGCGCTGATGAAACCGAATATGAAGAAGAGAGTGGAGCGTAGAGCGATATGGCGACCGCCGTTCATGTCCTTGTGGTTCTCCTCGTGGTCAGTATAAAATTTACCGGGAGCAGCGATGTGAGTGAGATTCGATGTCACGAGCTCACTGGACGTCGGGTCCCATGGTAATGTAGCTGTTGTACCTAGGATGAACCCTGCAGCGTTTACGGCCTTGACACGCAAGAAAGCCTGTGTCGTATGCGGGGGGATGGAGATTATAGTCTCGAATCCAGTTTTCGGGAGCGCAGTCAGAAACTCAAAGTGATCAGAGGGTTCGTTGTTCTTGGTAGGAACTGCAGCATTCGCGCCCTCCAGAACCCATGTTGTGACTTCGGTCGCGCCATTCCAGCTCACGGCGGCTTCGTAGCCATGGATCTCGAAGTCCGGGGTTGTACGTGGGTATCCGGTCCAGGAGCGCTTCGCGATGCGATATGACGCGAGACTCCCGGTTCCGAAGCTGGACTGGGGCCCAAAGTGGACGTGGCAGAGTTCCTTACCGTCGATGGTGAATTCAGTCCAGGCAGCGTTGAGGCCGTAGCCAACGAAGACGTGTCCGCTGTCAAGGAGTTGGAGGGAACCTTGGGTTTGCGGGGTGACGGCGTGGTGGGAGTTCCAATATTCGTGGCGGATTTTGACGGTCATTTTGGTTTGGTCAATGTCGAGGTAGAGGCCACGGCTGCTGTGTTTGATTGGATGCTTGTCGCGTGCGACATTGTCAAAGACGGTGATGGCGGCATCATTGTCTTGGAATCGGGCGTGGTGCTGCCAGGTGAAGTTTGACGCGGCGCCATCAGAGAGATCCTTGAAATTGCTGTGGCTGCCTCCGAGTCTCCAGATGATATCGCCTGTATGTCCGTCAATGTAGGTGAGATGATCGGTGTAGAGCGCAGAGATCAAAAAGTTGCCTTCGGCGTCTTTGTCGACACTATTGATATGGAAGAAATCCCACGGATGGTCGTAAGAGTCGCCGACGCTGTCGCGAGTTTGCGTGAATTCGGTCAAATCAAAATGCTCCGATGCGTGCCACTCAAATAGTAGTTCCCCGGTTTCAATGTCTACTTCCACAAAAGTACCGTCCCAAATCCAGCCCCTCTTAGGGCCACCGACGGGTCGGAGATCAGCTGAGATAATGTCATAGACTGTGAAGACGGCTGTCCCATTGCGGGTAATGTGAAACTCATGAAGGTCTGCCGGAAGACCGTTCGGACCGCGGATCTTGTACGCTTCGTTGTATGATGAATCTAGCTTTAATAAAAATTAGAGCGCTTGTTTTTGGCTACGGCGGGAACAAAAACCATACCATATAATATGTTCCATCACCATGTCCCCCTAGAGTGTCATCACCCGCCCAGAATGTGAGATAGTCCTCTCCCTGGTATGCGTACACATCTAGATTATAGATTTGCCCATAATGCTTGGTCCATACGAGGTGCCCATTTTGATCAAGGATCGTCGGGCCCGGAGTTACCACACTTTCTCCTCGGAGAGCAATTAGGATGTACTGGCCATCATCACACTTGGAACTCTGCTCAATAAAATTTACAGAAGGACCGAGAATCGGGGTTGAACGGTAATTTTCTGTCGGCCATGATCCGAAGTCACCGTTATCGTAGGCCTTGGACTGTTGATAGGGGCCGTTATCCGCGCGAACAGCGTTGAGAAAAATTGCGAGAGCGAGAAACAGACGATCCCACATCTTTGACAACGGGTTCACGACTTCTGTTGTAGCATTTAGTGGAAACGAGAAGCGAAGCAAGTCACGAACTCATCATATCGCAAGAAGACGAAGGAGGAAATCTGGCAGGGGAAAAGAAGAAAAAGGAAAAAGGGCTGGACACATGCCTAGAAAAAAGGTTGCCAGAACCCCCATATAATGCCTCCTGCATAGTATTTTTAGGCGTAGCGTGGAGGGTACGCGGGTGTTGACGACAGAGATCCACAGGGATTCGAGACTGGTCGGCAAGCTGCTTCCAGGAGGTCAAATGCTCACGAGCGATCTTCTCCAGAATTGCTGCAACTGACGGATCATCATACATTTGACTGTCATTGGTGAAGCTTTTATTGCGATTTCAAGGAAGCACGCTATTGTGACCTGTCATTCTTCCCTTGCGGACCTTGGGCTTGGACAGGATCCCAAATGTGTGGGGGGGGGGGTGGGCGCTCCTGATCTTCAAGGCGGCTGGCTGTTGTCCGCTCCGTCTCCAGCCTTCTAGTTAGAGCTGCCTGCTTACTCGGGAGTAGTGAGTCCGCAGGTTGGCCCTTAGAGTATTCGGATCGGACAGACCGTCGCTGAGGATTCGAAGAGGATGACTCTCACAGGCTAATCATTCGAGTCCATCCCTGCGTGCCGGGATCCACCTCTGGTTCTTGTTTTTTTTGATGGATAAATAGAAACACTGAATGAGAAAGTCAGGAGATGAAGTTTTAGAGATGAAGTTTTAGAGATGCCCAAGGAGGTGGTGCACGTGTCTTGCTGCCCTGTTGGGATTCCACAACATCATCCTATGGCTCTGTCTTCATTCTTCACACATTTGAGAGCTTTTAATGAGCTTTTTAGAGAAAATATTGGCAAGTCCATGGCGGAAATTAATAACTAACACGAGATTAACTAACTAACTAGCGAATTTTCAAGTGTGTCATCACAATCGACATTAGTCCAATCGTACGGAGTATTCTACAAAGCAAGTCGTCACGACGGGGGGTTGCAAAATAAAGATAAAAATGGTATTAACTGGATGAAAGAAGAGTCTTTCCCCTCTCAAAAGATCTCACACGATTGCCTATAAAATAGAATAACTTGGGGCCTAGGGGCAAGATCCGAGATTCGCGCCTACGTCTACGAGGGACCTAACCGGACGAACACGGTACGATTTACCTTCCCCTCTGCCATCACAAATCGGATCGTCGTGGCCGGTTGTTGGGTAGAATGGAAGTAAATCCGGAATTAATCAACACAGAGAATCAGGAACACAACGTTCTAATATGTACTAATTAAGATATATGTAGTAAATGGCTTTTGTTTCCATCCGGTGGACCCTTCGTAGAGGAACCATATATTCTTTTGGGGCTTCGCAGGTTGTCGCTTATTTGGAGCGCTTGTAGATCTTGCCCAGGAAAGCCTCAAAGACCTCCTTCTTCAGTCCACCCGTCTCATCGACGGCGGCAATCTTACCCCTGAGTTCGCCAACAATCTTTTCCTCGTACTCCTTGTAAACGGTCTCCAGGTCCAGGTCCCTGAAGAGCTGCTTGACCTTGGCCTCCTGCTCACTGTCTTTGCGGCCGTAGGCACCATCCAACAGCTTTCGCTGCTCGGCAGTGCATCGCTGCAGAGCCTGGTTCACGAGCCAAGAGCATTTGTTGTCCTGGATATCGGTTCCGATCTTGCCAATGACTTCGGGGTCACCGTAAGCATCGAGGTAGTCGTCCTGAACCTGGAAGTACTGGCCCAGAGGAATCAGGATGTCGTGGGCTTGTTGAAGGTTCTCCGGGGTAGCAAGCTGGAGGTAGTGGAGAGCCAGGGCTACGGGCAAGTAGAAGCTGTAGTAAGCGGTCTTGTATGTGACGATGAACATGTACTTCTCCATGGAGAAATTGTCCAGGTTGACCTTGTCCTCGGGGGCGGTGATCAGGTCGCACAACTGGCCCAGCTCGGTTTGCCAGGTGGTCTCGTGGAAGAGCTCAATGAAGTCAACGTAGGCGGGGTGGGACCGGAAGTGCTTCTTCAAGATAATATAGATACCGGACTCGAGCAGGAAAGCGTCATTGATAGCGATAAAGCCAACCCCCTCGTGGCGGTACCAGCATGGCAGACCACGGCGGGTAATTGAGCCGTCCATCAAATCATCGCTCACCAAGAAAAACGCTTGGAGCAATTCCGTGAGCCATCCCAAGGTGCTGAGGTCCTTGAACTGCTCATCAGTGAGAGGCTTTTGCAGCAGGGCGAGAGCCGTGTCGGGGACGGAGAGACCGCGGTTCAGTTTTCCACCGGGGACGTTGGTGTTGATGGACTATTTTTTTGAAGAGCGCCGCAAATTAGTCCTTTTCGAGAGCCATTTCCAGGAGCGACTTTGAGGAAATTACCTTCTCGAACCATTCCAGCGCATTCTGGGGCAGATTGTACTTCTTCGCATGGTCCAGCATATCCTGGGCCAAGGAGGGGAAAATGGCCTCAAAGGAGGCACGACTTGTCGCAGGCATTGGGGAGATTGCGATTGAAGACACGAGGAATTGAAGTAACTAAGGATAATAACCCACAGAGAAGGGATGAAGAAGACTAGACAAATGAGAAAAAGGGGAAAAGGATAACTTCTCCTATACCAACAACTTCTCACAATGGGCGGATTTACTCTTTGGTCTTTGCCCCGCGGTTTGCACTGTTTGTCTGTATCCTCCGTCGCGTCGCCCAAACAGGAAGTTCCACAGCTTTTGCCTACATAGCGGTATTGGGACCTGCTCGACATTCTGTTTTTCATTGGCATTCCCCCTTGATTCGTCGGGGCTGGTGGAAGCACTTTGTAAAACAGCCTGAACGTGAATCAATCCATTTCTTTCGCGTTAAGCGCACCATGGCAGCCGGATTCACGGAAGAGAATATCACGGAGCTCAAGTATCGACTCGAAGATGCAGCTATAAAATGCTCCGAACGATGTCTTTATCAGTCAGCCAAATGGTATAACATCCCTAATTAAGGGTATTGTATTGATCTTCTGTCGAATGTGTTCTGATTTGAGACCTGTGTATTAGGGCTGCTGAGATGCTCAATGCAATCCTCCAAATCGATCACTACGATACAGATCCCGACTCCCCCATGGAGCTTGCAGATGCTCCTCCAACTACTCAAAATCCCTACCTGCGAACGCAAGACCCCCTCGAAGTGTCTCTCGAATCCCAGGAAGCTTATAAATATCTCCTCGCCAAATCATACTTCGACACTCGCGAGTATGACCGATGCGCCGCTGTCTTTCTTCCTCCCACCATACCTCCAGTCCCGCTTTCTACTTCGTCGCCGAATCCCAAGCCTAGACCTTCTCTGACACCACAGAAAGGAAAGTCTAAGGCGTCTCCGTATACTGGAGTGAAGGATAACGGCGACACGAGAAACCCATACCCAAAGCTCAGTCAGAAGTCGCTGTTCCTTGCATTGTATGCCAAGTATCTCGCCGGAGAGAAGCGAAAGGATGAGGAGACCGAAATGGTGCTGGGGCCAGCGGATGGCGGTGCAACAGTCAATCGGGAGCTTCCAGATTTGGCGCGCGGTTTAGAAGGGTGGTTTACAGAGCGTCGGGAGAAGGGGCTCGAAGATCGCAATCACGGATGGCTTGAATATCTTTACGCCGTCATCCTTCTGAAAGGCAGAAACGAGGCAGAAGCAAAGAAGTGGCTAATAAGGAGTGTACATTTGAATCCATTCCACTGGGGTTCCTGGCAAGAGTTGAACGACCTGCTGGCAAGCACCGAGGATGTATGTGATGCGGAATCCCTCCCTCCTTTCTTGGGGCCCTGCTAACCATTGTGCAGTTGAAACAAGTGGTCGACCTTCTCCCCCAGAATATCATGACTCTCATTTTCCATGTCCATTGCAGCCAGGAGCTGTACCAGGCGACCGAAGACACATATCAAGCACTCTCAGAACTCGAAACCATCTTTCCCACCAGCGCATTTCTCAAGACGCAAAGAGCCCTGCTTTACTATCATTCAAAGGGTAGGCTACCATCCCGCTCCGACGTCCCGATAACCCGCTAATTTCCATGCCCAGATTTTGAAGAAGCATCCCACATATTTACCGACATCCTGATCACTTCGCCTCACCGTCTCGATAGTTTGGATCATTACTCGAATATCTTGTACGTCATGGGCGCTCGACCGCAGCTGGCATTCGTAGCGCAAGTTGCTACAGCCACGGACAAGTTCCGTCCCGAGACATGCTGTGTAGTGGGAAATTATTACTCCCTCAAGTCCGAGCATGAAAAGGCGGTGATGTATTTCCGAAGGGCTCTAACATTGGACCGCAATTTCCTCTCCGCCTGGACTCTCATGGGTCACGAGTATATCGAGATGAAGAACACGCACGCCGCTATCGAATCTTACCGTCGGGCTGTGGACGTCAACCGCAAGGACTATCGCGCTTGGTACGGCTTGGGGCAGGCTTACGAGGTGCTCGACATGTCCTTCTACGCCTTGTTTTATTATCAACGAGCTGCGGCCCTGCGGCCCTACGACCCTAAAATGTGGCAGGCGGTTGGATCTTGCTACGCCAAAATGGGTCGTATTGAGCACAGTATCAAAGCTCTCAAGCGAGCCTTAGTGGCAGGATCGTATTATGCGGAAGACCCGTCGCAAACTACTGGACCTGGCAGGAAGATTCTTGACCCCGAGACTCTCCACCAAATCGCAACCCTCTACGAACGCCTTGGTGATGAGGAGGAAACGGCAGCGTTCATGGAACTCACACTACAGCAAGAGACTGGTCAACCGAATGCAGATGAGGAGTCTGTATCGTCGGAGAATGAGAATGACGATGATCAGTCTGGAACCGAAACGCATCGTAGCTCGCGACGGAAGCGGCCGTCGTCCACGTTGCATGACGACGACGAAGACACATGGCACGGCACCGGCGTCACAGCGACTACTTCAAAGGCCCGATTATGGCTTGCTCGGTGGTCTTTGCGAAACGGTGATCTCGAGCGTGCAGATCAGCTCGCAGGAGAATTGTGTCAAGATGGTGTAGAGGTGGAGGAGGCGAAAGCATTAATGCGAGATGTTCGAGCTCGAAGAGAAGTGGGAGAATGATCCTGCGGCGCCTTGTATTCTGACTTTCTAGTGTCTTTTTTGTTTTTTTTTTTTTTCTTTTCTCATCCGAACCTTTCCGGGGCTAGCGTGGCGTTGGTTGACGGAGGTCATGATCATGATGATATACATATATATATATAATATATATTTATTTAGCTTTTATAATGTCTGCGCTCTGCCTTTTGGCAGGCAAAATACACTCCAAATCAATTCGTCTCTCCCCCCTTGAAAAGAATGATAAAAAAAAAAAAATAATAATTGATGATAGAATTTGTTCACGCTCGCAAACACCGATGTTGTATGAAATTATTGAGATGCCCCCTGACCATGCAGAACCGGACATCCGGAAACCCCGGCAGCAGCCACCACTTCCACCTCACTCTCACGACCAATCTGGCGGAACATTTCCATGGGATCAAACCAAACATCGATCTTCTCCAGCTCCAGCTTCTCGTTGACTTTGGCAATGATAATTCCCTCGATATCAATCATCCCACCGTGAGCCTTGACCTTGACCTTTTCCCCTTTGCTAGAAGGCGTCAGCAGGAGATTCCCCAGTTCCATATATATATATATATATATAGAGAGAGAGAGAGAGAGAGAGAGATAGAAAGAAAGAAAAATAACAAACTCACTCATTAAATCCCACATAATCATTCACCATCATCCCCCAATGTCTCCACTTAAACACCACCACCGGCGGCCCACTATACACCTCCAACACCTCCCACGCAAACGTGGGCATCATGCGCTTAAACGACTTGTGGCTGGCACTGAAATCATTATGCGCCGGGTCATAGTAGGAGCTGGGCGTGAGGAGCGCATTGTAAGTGCCGACCTGCAGCATGTGTTCTCCGGTTTGCGGGGGCCCGCCGTTCAACGACAGCGTGTATTTTGTCTGGTCGACGGTGCGCCAGTCCGACAGCGAGGTTTTGTATGATGCTTCGATTTCCCAGTTCTTGACCAGTTTCTCGACGAGGTCGGGGAGGCTGCGGGCTTCGTGGTTCATTTTTTTGGCTGGGTATCGTCAGATGATGATAGATGATGATATGGATGCGCGGGGGGGGGGGGGGGAAGAGCTTCAGGATTGAATGGTTGTCTTACTTGATTCATAGAATGCTCTCGTCTTGGAGTAATCGGGGACTCTGCCGTGTCTCCATGCTGCCTTGTCGTCTTTCAGGACGGCATTGGCGTCGAGGACGAAGTCCGGTAGTGCTGGTGTGGTGTCTCCCATGGTGGAAATCTGATGCTATGTCCAGCAAAAAAAGGCTGCCAGTTGTCTGTCTGGGAAGTAAATTATGGGGCGAGGATGTCTTGCGGGAGAGAGGAGAGAGAGAGAGGGGGAGTAGTAATAAGGGACCGACAAGGGGAAGCGGTTCAGACAGCGTAGATACACTCCGTACTACCTCCTAATTCTACTCCAGTGTACAAAAAGGGGTTCCAAATGAAACTGTTCTGAATCGCAAATCAGTCCGTTGACCGTACAAGTGCTAATTCCCTAGCATCATTGACCGGCTTCGGACTAAATCTCCTCAGTCGTAGGAAATAAATGGCACTCCGGCGGCAAATACGACAGTGTGGCTTTCTAAGCTACAAGGATTATATGGTCCAGGGCACAATTGACCGAAACATGTTGATATTACTTCGAATGATAGGTTGCATCGCTATGGATTCTTATCTAGTTGCCAGCCTGGTGGGGGAAGAAACTGTGGTCCCATACGGATCTAGACTTAGTATCCACACGCGCAAAGACATATCGCCGGTTTTTATAGGGCAGATCGATCGCATCAATGTGACTAGGGTCGGAAGTGTGTCTCTTGTAAGGCAGCGAGTTTCACATAAACCTCATCTGGGTACTCCGTAGGTATCTGTACGGTAGGTACATACGGAGTATGTACAAGCAAAGTCACCAGGACTCTGACAGGCCAGACCGATTTTAGAATCTTACAGCCCTGCCCCTGTCCGCAGGTACCAAGAGCATGGATGGAATGCACAGGAAATCGTTCATGCACAGGGAAAGGACACCTATCCAGTGTGGCCCCCTCTCTGTTATCCGTATCGTGCTATCCGGAACAAACTGCGGACCCGACGGCACTGCACTAGCAACACGAGATACACATCCGCGTCTTCTTAGCGTCAAGCTTCCCCATTATTAACGATGCTCTGGGCCATTGAAAAGAATGTCGGGAGAATTCAATGGTCTAACCCGCATCCACTAGAGTCAATCCAGTGAATGCTTGCCCGACATGTTAATTTATTAATAATGGGGTTTGCCTCGAATCCAATAGGAGCAAGGAAAATAACCCGGAAGCCTCATCTCGATCAAACGTGATGCGAATTTGGGGCACGGCACTTGATCCCACACGTGGCCGGCTATTCTCGTCCAGCGGAGGATCCCACGCGATACAAGCATAAAAATATTCCTTGCCAACACTATCCCACGTCTCCTCTAGACAGAACGGGCCGTCCGTTAGTTTATAACCCAGCTGGAGAAATTGTATATCCAGCAGGAATATTCTTCCCTTTAAAGGGTAATTATGGGCGTGCGCCCAAAGATGCTTCGACAACCGTTTGCTTGACTGGAGCAGTGTTTCTCCGAGAGAAACTTGCTGGTAGCTTGCAACCATGATTCCAAGGGCAGGATTGCACGCTTGGGGTTGGGCTCTGGGTTCTTGGGACCCCACCATGCGGAAGAATTCGTCGAGGCTGTGGGCAATGTTGGGGAGACCAGCGATGTTTCCCATGTGTTCGTAGGAGGAAACCAACCCAATATATAGCGGAACCTTCAGCAAAGGGAATTTGGTGTTTTTATCTTGCTCCTTACATGCCTCGTCGGATCCAATTAGAGAATCGACACTTCCGGTTTTGCTGTTGGGCCGGCCGGCTTTTGTGGCCCCTCGACATGGGCAGGTAGCTGAGCCGGATGCATTGAAGATACTGTGTTTTTGTCTGCGATGATGCTTTCCAGTTTGCTTGATACCAGCCTCCTGGCTGTACAGGTCTGGCGGCGAAGTAGATGCTTTTCTCTTCTTGGTACTAGGAGAGGAGAGGTTGTCCTCGCGGGCTAATATATTGGCTTGATGTTCTAGCCTCCGTGACGAGGTTGATGATGTCGACCGATCAGTGTAAATTGAAAAAGTATTTTTCGTCGTGATGATAGTTTCATTGTGTCGGGGTTGCGGGCTTTCAAGAATGCGAGAATCCTGCTCCATTGAAACGTGACAAGAGCCCACTTGTTGGATATCGGCTCTGACGTGAGTCCTTGGTGGAGTAGAGGAGTCCGCAGTAGAGGTCACACTTGGAGATCGATGCACTAGGTATTCTGACATGGATTTGTCGAATTTCACGCGGTTTGCCCACGCAATTTCTTCTTCTGCTATTTCCTCAGAAGGCAATGAAACGGCAGCCTCAGCTAGAACCTGCAGCTCTGAGAAGGTAGCGGCATCCTGAAATGACCTATCTGAGTGAATCTTCAGGATTCTGGGGAACCGAAGTGTGTAATATCTGGCACCAGAAGGTTTCTCAAATCCACTTCCCAGCATCTCCACGACGAAGGGTGTCTTGAAAACGACATTCATTCGAGGTAGACCGGATCCCTCATGCTCGATGTCAAAGCCATGGTCAGAAGCCGTACCGCGCGCGGTATACTTGCCAAATTGATTGAGTAATAGCATATTTTGCTCGCTCATACAATGGCGATTAATGACATCAAGAACGCGGAACTTGGGTTTTATGTCTGGTTGAAGAATGGCGTCTTTGTTCACGAGACACCCAATAAAGAAATGGGTCCATGAGACTTGATTCAGAGAATCCAGAGATCCGACTTCGCGCGCGTTGTATGCTGCACCGATCAATGCTAGATCTATGGTATCGCCTAGGCCTGGGATGTAGTCCTTTTTGAGTTTAATCCAACAACCAAACGACCCAGAGTCGGGACCGGTAAGAATAGCAAAATAAGGGTCTTCACACCCTTTGAGGATAAACCCTTCCCAGCGGTCTGTAATTCCCCTTGCAAAAATGCTCTCAAGCCTGGATTGACCGTCTGGGCGTGAAAAGTCAATAACCTTCTGGTCAGCAATGTCCGAGAATCCAGGAATTATTTGGATGGTATTTTTGAGCAGTAGTCGTCTTTCTCGGTGAGGCTTTCTTAAACACACATCGTCATCCAGCAGGAGGATGTCGAAGAACACCATCATTAGGTGTTCGTATGGTTGAGGTCTTATCAAATCAGCATGGATCCCTCAAGTTAGATCTATCTTCACAACTTACGGTGAATCATTTTCTGTCCCGATGAACATTCCAGACCGGGCTATAAATTTACGTAGTTTGTGAAATTCCATGATCCTGTGTTGTCGATCGTTCCATACAACGAGCTCTGCTTCTAGAATGCATCGGCTCCGGAATTTGCAGCCTTCTTTACCTATCCTCAAGCAATTTTTGATCGTTTGATGGATACCCGACCTGTCCGCAGTAGAATCCTTGCCACTTTTTGAGAAAAGCTGGATCGAGTTTGGATATTTCGAGAGGTCAACATGTATCTGGCAATATTCACCATCATACTTTCTCTCGACACTCATTCTCCGCTGTCCAACCATCTTGCAGCAATGCTTAATGCTTCGAGCTTTATAATAGTCCGGGCGTCCTATTTTGATCCCAGCACGGGGAGTTAGATGCTGCAAGGCGATATGGCCTAGGTCATTCGCTAAACCAGGCTCCGGATGAGGTGGGAAATGCCTTATGGGCGCAGATAAGAGCAAATCTAAAGCAGTTTCAAACGAATCCTGGATCTGGAGTAAATGCGGCAGGAGAAAATGAAAGCTCCTTAACACTAGCTTTTCTGGCAAGGTAACAGAAAAGTAACCTTTGAGTATCATTCGCGTAAGCCATTTGGCATCGCGACTAATTAACCGTCTGTACAAAGGAGAAAGTGTTTCCTCCACATCAACAGCAGCTCGCTGTCTCCGAACCCGGGGACCGGAGAACCGACACCGCGAGGCGATCTTGTCTAGTGCAAAGTCGATTTCTTCAACAGTAACTTCCTGGCCACTCACTATATGGTTTTCGGCCTGCCGCATAAGGTTCTCCACACATTGGCCTAGATCTGCTCCCCCAGACGAACGCCATTTTTCAAGCTCTACCCGACGAGAGGACCCAAGCAATAAACATCGGCCAATAACTCTGGCTAGACTGGTGTCCTGTAGCCAGTATACTCTGTCTGTCCGTTTCTCTGGAAACATGCATGACAGTAGAGCAACCTGATTCGTGTCGGGATCATGTATCTGTTTCCCATGGCGGGCAAACCACTGCCTGACAGCTTGGACATCTGGGTTTCTGTCTCTTGCTTGAGTGGAGGCTTTTAGAATCCGATTCCCCTCAAGAGCTGACAGCAGATCACATAAGAAGGTGAATTTGAACCCCATATATGGGAGTATAGGGGAATGTCCGCTGGTCGAGGATCTCTATGTAATATTTGACGAGTAGATAGAGAAGCTCTAGCTCACAAGCACGCAATGCATACGAATGAACGCATATATTGCCCGCAACCCAGATACCCTCGTCGTGACAAGAGGCCGACAATAAATTGACGCGAGGAGGAAGAAAGTGCGACGCGGGACCGCGCCTACGGTTCACGATAACACGTGACATTAATGGGCGTGGATTTCTAGTTAAATACTTGCCATCATTATCGAGTCAACAATATGGGATATTCTGCGGAATGATCTATTTTGGTTTTCGTATAATGGTTCTTAGGTAGAATACATGAGACACAGTCTTCGGATCGATACGCTCGTTTCTCAATTCCCAGTCAATTACTTGACAAACCGGTGGTATAAACTAAGAAGAAGAAAAAATCACCTGCCAACTCCAAAATTTCAATTGAAACATGCAGAAACGCATTTGGTAAAAATCTATCGGCGGATGAAATGGCGTCTCCTTTATTATAGGATGCCTTGCTTTTGGAGACTGTTGAAATGGTTAGCATTAGTCCACGTTGTGAGATATTCAAGGAGAGGAAAGACGTACTCCAGATAGATCCTTTCTGGCATAACATTGCCTTCAGCGTCTTCCATCTGTACGACGTTGTCACGCAGATCTCTCTCCTTCTTGCGATCCTTCTCCAATTTCTCCCATAATTTCGTCGCCTCCTCTATCCGAGTGATCTCCCGGAAGAGGTTGGTATTTGAGGTGACGCCCAGGCACTTCAAACCGAAGATATGTAAAGCTTCAGAAAAATGTTTATCGAACGCACGGCGGCCCATATACACAAAATTACCACAAATCTCGCAAGGATACTCAACACCCAAACCATGCAGCTTGTAGAGCCAGTAAGGAATGGGCTTCCCATCCCACGCAAGGGGTAGTTTGAGAGGATTGTAGATTCGCTCTTCGCCCTCGTCATCAGACATGTCATTTCCGCGATCACCTCCGAAATTCTCGGACTCTGCGAGCATTGCTTCAAGCTCCATTTGACGTTCCCGCTCTGTCATACCCTGCTTGCGCTCAACGTTCACCCTTGTAGCTTGACGCTCAGGATCAAGGGCCCTTGCTAGCGAACGGATTCGGTGCTCACGTTCTGCTACTGCTCTTTCTTTCAGGCGGTGGGTTCCGTTAGTTGTGGCAGGTGCTGGTCGGTCCGATGTGTCACCAGCAGCCTTACGGGCTTCAGCAGCTCGAATGTGCTTTTTGCCGTTCAGGTGATTTTTATAGACATTTTCGTTCTTGAACTCCTTCTCGCAATCGGCGCACCAGATGCCCTCCCCAGATCCCTCAGTTTTCGGGCCTAGGGTGCCGTTCTCGGTGGTCTCTTCCAGCCATCCGGGAACCTGGTTTTCTTCCCATTGCTTTTCGAATTCGTTATCAAAACTGGCAAATAGTTTGGTGAGATCCTGGAGAGGGCGGACTTTCTTAATAAACTCTTCGAGGTAAGTCGCAAGCTCCCCGACATACTTGAAGTATTTCTCGGAAAGCTTGCTGTTTCGTTTTATGGGCAACTGCGGAAATGTAAAAGCATCAAACACATCGAGGTATTGTATATATGATAGCCTCTTGATACCGGGCAGGTTCAGGTACTCTTCATGTAATCTTGTAAGGTCAAGGAACTGCCCATATCCTTCTTCACCAGTAAACATTGTGTCGATTTCCATCCCTGTTGGTTCGCCTTCTCCGGGTTGGCGGCGCTTGTAAGCTCGCTCAAGGTTTTCCACTGGCTCATTGGGATAACGCTTGTGGAAGTCTTTGATCTCGTCTAGTTGCCTGTAAAATTCTTCGAACTGTTCGCCAGTCGAAATGGCCTGAATTTCATGGTCGCGTGCGCCGTCCGCATCTTTGTAGATTTCGAGCAATCTCTTTGACTGTTCCTCTATACGATTAAGCAAATGGGAGATCTCATGGTCGCGAGACAATCGTTCTCGGATCTAGAACGAAAGAGCATTAGCTGTGGATGATGTGGATAGGAATTGAATGACAACCCACGTTACGAGGCTCTTCGGCAACACGGTCCGCGATGGCCTGCTCCAACCTCTCCAGATCCTCATGGATGAATCGCTGCTCCTCAAGAACCATGATGGATAAACTCGAAAACCTCAGCCCAGATTCTTCTCGAGAAAGGGCGTTCTCCAAGTCTTGAAAAGGTTGCGGCTGCCATCCAGAGAGCTCTACGGCGATATCTAGTCACGTGACGCGGGCGGTGGCACTCGAAATCGCAGCAGAAAAGTCGCGCCCAGAAGAATCGAGTCCTTTTCGCAACGTCTGGAATCGAAAAAAAAAAAACAAGCCACTCTCGATCTGATTGGGACCTTACTTGTTGCTGAGTCGAGTTGAATTTCAAAAATTTCAAAATGGCTGACGGTATTGACAGACGAGCGGATGGTAGGTCTCCCAATTCACTACCACTTGGTATTCAATACTTACCAGCGCAACCCAGACAAGATGGAGTTCAGCACCTCCAAGGAGGTCACCGTCGCTCCTACGTTCGAGGATATGCACCTGAAGGAGAGCCTTCTCCGTGGTATCTATGCATATGGTTATGAGTCCCCATCGGCAGTTCAGTCGCGTGCCATTGTTCAGATCTGCAAAGGTCGTGACACGATCGCCCAAGCACAATCTGGTACTGGTAAAACGGCTACTTTCTCCATTAGTATCCTGCAAGTTATCGATACTGTTGTTCGCGAGACTCAGGGTTTGTAAACCTCTTGCATCATTGCTATCTGCGTAATGCTCATAGATTGCAGCTCTTGTCCTTTCCCCCACCCGTGAACTTGCAACTCAAATCCAGTCCGTTATCATGGCCCTCGGTGATTACATGAATGTCCAATGCCACGCGTGTATTGGAGGAACAAATATTGGCGAGGATATCCGAAAGCTCGACTACGGTCAACACGTCGTATCCGGTACCCCTGGAAGAGTCGCAGATATGATCCGTCGCCGTCACTTGCGCACCCGACACATTAAGATGTTAGTTCTCGATGAAGCGGATGAGCTGCTCAACCGTGGATTCCGCGAACAAATCTACGATGTATACCGTTATCTACCCCCCGCCACCCAGGTTGTCGTTGTCTCCGCTACCCTACCTTACGATGTGCTCGATATGACCACCAAGTTCATGACAGATCCCGTGCGTGTCCTGGTTAAGCGTGACGAATTGACCCTGGAAGGCATTAAGCAATATTTCATCGCTGTGGAGAAGGAGGAATGGAAGTTCGATACCTTGTGCGATCTTTACGATACCTTGACTATTACACAGGCCGTTATTTTCTGCAACACCCGCCGCAAGGTCGACTGGCTCACGGACAAGATGCGTGAAGCCAACTTCACTGTTTCCAGCATGCACGGAGAGATGCCTCAAAAGGAGCGGGACAGTATCATGCAAGATTTCCGACAGGGGAACTCCCGAGTGCTCATCTCCACTGATGTGTGGGCTCGTGGTATCGATGTTCAACAAGTCTCCCTCGTCATCAACTACGACCTCCCTACCAACCGTGAGAACTACATTCACCGTATCGGCCGTAGCGGTCGATTCGGAAGGAAAGGTGTGGCTATCAACTTCGTCACTAGCGATGACGTGCGTATCCTCCGTGATATCGAATTGTACTACTCTACGCAGATTGATGAAATGCCCATGAATGGTATGCCCAGCTCCTTCAGTCCCTTAACCCGCACTATTATACAAAACCAATCCCTAACCAATCCCCAGTTGCCGATCTCCTCTCTTAAAATCTCCAAGTATAATTTGATTCGATCTGTCTCTTTGTTGTCATCTGCAAACAAAATGCTGTTCACGATATCGTCATTTAAAGGTCGAAAGCTTGGAAAGTTGCATTTGGCATTTATTTACCCTGTTTTCCCCGCGGAACGTAAGAGTCACAATATGACATTTGAATCCCTCTATATCCCACCGCAGATATCTACCAGTACTTGGTTTACTTCAGGGTTTAAATGTGCAAGGCACAGTAAATTTGAGTGGAGGAAAGGGAAAAATGGCCAAATTGGTGAGTTCACCCTGATCTACCCATCTACGCCCTATTATCTAACTATACGAACCGCAGTATTCATACAGTTGAAAACAACCGTTCCTCTTATTCCTACCTACCTAGCGAGGCTTCTCCAAGTTCCTGCTTGAATTAGGACCTTGTTTGCTACTTGGATCGGATCCATTACTGTCAGCACGCTATTCTTTCTCCCTTCCTTTTCATTGTTCATTTATTTTTATTTTTTTTTCGGAGTTCTGTTCAAGGAGACTGACTAGTCTCAAAACATGGAGTTATGATACCGCAACTAGGTTCTTCTGCAAAATTAATTTATGTTCCTTTCACTGGTCTCAACATACGGTAAATCGTAATCCTCATTCTACCCATGGAGTGCTAGTCGGAACATATTTGGAGCCCTGAATGTCTAAATAATCCTGACCAAGCCTTTGGACGTGCTGATGATCTGATCTAAGAGGGCTCTCCCGATCCTTACCAGTATTCGTTCTTACCTAGGGAATGACTACGTGAGAATTGATCCTTACAAGACTGCGCTATCTATTCAAGCCTCAAGTCTACCCTCAAGGATGAGAATATCCCTGATTGACGAAGTTAGTTACTCTTCAGTTGGAAGCAGAAGGGGTTGATATGATATGATAACCTAGAAAGCTCTACCATTGACATCAGCGGCTAAAAGCAGCAGTCTACAATCCCGGGCAGCCAATTGATGACTTCAGGGCTGTTATAACGGTATCTAAATCAACTCGAGGAGGATAACATGACTCCGACTTCAAACCCACTTTTTCATTGAGCGTGTGAAACCAGGTGAAATTCCTCTATAGTGCTGGTGCTTGGTTTAGCCATTCTATTAACTCACGAAGAGACGATTTGTCCCGCATGAACCTGATATAGAGCTGTCTTGTCAGTGGAGTTGCCTGTGCCCCAGACCAATTTCTTTACAGCGCAATTCGCTTTGAATTCTTCCGGGGTTGTGCCTTGCGTCGAAAGCTTCGATTCTTTTATCTGGACGAGATGGTATTCTTGGACACCGTCGCTCACGACTGGGCTCTTCGCGGAATGGCGTGTTCCAATGTATGCAAAGCAGTGGTTATCGCTCTCGCCGGCTTTCCTTTGCTCGCTTACCGGGGAGAGCACGAGATTGGCGCCCAGAGTCTCCGCGATGGAGACCTGACGCGGCCGTTGAATATCGACACTGCCCGGCAGATTGTTGAGTAGCTGAGGGCTGTTCAGGGAATCAACGCCGTTGAAGACTGTCAGTGCCTCAAGGTTGGCTGGTGGCGTTGATTCCGCCATCCCATCCCGGCATTCTTGGTGGAGGACGCGGGCCAGAGTGCAGCGAACGCCTAGGGCAGCGGTCAGGAATACCTGCACTTTAGGTTCGCGATACAGGTGCAACTGAACGCTTTTACCTCGATCTTCGTCCCAGAACGCATGGGTATCGTCCGCTGCGTGTGCATAGTTTCCAGCGTCCTCCGACATTTCGTGATCCACGGGCACTGTAATGTCCAGGTTCACCATGGGAGAAGTCCGGAGCGATCGATGGACTCGAATTCGAAGAGTGCGACGGCAGGAATCAATCTCCGGATACACCAACAGTAATCGAGGAACCTCGAGGGGGGTCAGGATCGCGCCCGTTTCGAGACCAACCAAGCACCACTGTCCATCCCAACGGAGCCCGTTATGGGTGAGATCTATGCGAGATCCGTCCGTAATCCACCACGCACTACACCCTCGAATCGGGTAGACCAAGATATTCCGGATGAATAACGACGCGCTTGACGCGAATTTCCGTTGCACGAAACTCACAAATGTTTCCACGTCTTGCATGCTGCTCATGGCTCCAAGACTCACCCGCGCAATCCCGGAGGGTTTTTGGCCGATCATGACATTCTTGCAGCCGCAGCGAACGCCGGCGCGAAAGTTCCTGAAGAGCTCCCACGGTGCTAGATTGAGATGTCGGGCGATGCCTCCGGGGTTGCAGACATCCCCTGTTCGAAGATGGATGTGATGCTCGTTAGCGGCAGCTTCCAGGTCCGACAACTTGACCCATGATCCGTCCGCGGATGTGAGATTGAAGGCGACAACTGGTCCCTGGGTTTTTCTATCCCCGTAGATGGCGGACGGATCCTTGTAGATTTGACAAACGTTGCTACCGTTCTGATGCCGCAGGGAGGACAGTTTGCGGTATAAGTGGGAAACCAACTTCGAGGTGTGTCGGGAAACCTGGTCCATAGAACCATATAGCCGTTGATGAGTGGATAACGCACAGTCGAGCGCTATGATGTTGTGGAACGGCACTGTGCCGTCCTCAAGAGCCTCGTGGATAGCGCCTTTCTTGGCTGAATGCCACGACTCGCCATTGCAGAGAACCATCTCTACCGTGCCCCCGCCAAAATACGGTCGTCGGAGGAGCAGGTGCGCGGCATCCTTCCGAACGATCAATGCCCCAAGATCTGGGAAACCGAAGATCTTGTAGAAACTGACGGTGGTGAAGTCAGCCGCCTCCGAGGGATCACTCAGGTCCACTGGCGCAGTCGATGCCAATGCAGCCGCATCCAGGAGTGAATACACCTGCTGGTGGGCGGCGAGTGTGGAACGCCTCAATCGTCCCGGCCAGTTTAATGGCAATCTACGCCCGGTCATATTCGACTGCCCGGGATAAGCAAACAACCCGATCTGGGATACCCTGGATGCAGCTGGGGATGATGAGCCTCCGTTCTGGCCCCCAGCAACCAGGGAGCCGGTCTCGAGCCAGCGATCAACTGCGTTGTCGGATGCAAAACAGTGATGCCCTGCACTTGCAAGCTGTCGGATTCCGATAGCACTCGTGTGCGAGTCAACGTGGTACCCGTACCAGAGTGATGGGCTTGTACTCCCGGTTTCATGAGAGATAAAAGCCTCAACGACGAGCTTCATCGCACTTGTGGCGTTCAAAACAAATACGATATCAAAATGGTCCGGACTGGCCTTGAAAAACTCCAAAACATGCTTGCGGGCCTCCTGCACGCGGGCAGTCGAGAGCATCGAAGACGTTGACCCTGAGTGCGGATTGCCATATAAATTTCCCGACATCTCCTCCAGGTATTCTTTGATTAAGGAACTGGAATAGAGAGTAGTTCCCGCATGATCCAAGTATGTCTCTCCTAAGAAGACCGCGCAGTTCTGGATCAGCTTCTTTCCTTCATTCTCCTCACCGGTTCTTGATAGATAGATAGATACCTTTTAGCATTGGATATTCGGTCTCCCGGATTTGATCCACATCATAGCCGTCTTGATGCGAAACTTCCGCCATTCTATAGTGGAATCAAGTAAAGCAAAGTCGATTTTTTTTTTTGGACAGGGGTGAAGAGAGAGAAGACATCCCAGAAGACCGACCTCTACCCTGATATTTATACAAACTCGAACCACAATGTCTGTGGGAGAATCACCTCAACGATCTCCCTACTTGGAAAAGCGGTTTCAAACGCAACCCAGTGGAGAGAGTACGTTCGACAAGACTAGCAGTATCCTGGCCCTCGTCCCTGTTCGTCTTGATGCATATCCTGTATTGGGCCATGTTCGACGTACCTTACCGAGCCTTCTGATCCTAGACTGGAATTGATTGATAGCCCTGGGCTATCACGAGAATGAGAGGAAGTTTCTCCCTCTTGCATATTTTAGTTCATTTTCCTTTGCAAGGGCAGATATCTAACATTGGCATGAATCTAGAAATTACCGTCATCTTTTTTAGGGTTATGCGTACCTACTGATGATGATGATGATGATAGTCGCGGATTCAAGATTTCTACATACCAACTCCTACATCCGTACAGCCCTCCCTTACTTGCCCTGACACAGCAAGAACCTTGCACGAACATTCCGCAAAAGTAAATCAAGGAAGATTACTTGGTTTCCGAGCCAATTATATGTCCCGACTGTATAACTGGATAGTGACAGTGTGAGTCCTGCACCTGGTCATCGGACTGTTTATCTGTTGGACCACAAGTGGTACGCGGCATATCTGAGGAAAAGGGATATATTCTGCGCATATTGATTCTTTAGCATCTACGCAGTAGTAAAGGAGATGCAGCAGCATGGAACTATATATGCATATTCTGGTCCGGTTTTTTGAACTGATTCAGGTGCATGTGCCCTACTCATGCAGTAAACCCAGGAAGAGACATAAAATCGAATAAGAAAAAACAGTAAGAACTAGTGTTTTCGTCCTAGGAGAAGAAGCCTGAGCGGAGCACTGGGATCTATTTCACTCTCTATAGGGGAAAAAAAGGAAAAACATGTATAACCCTGATACAAACAACTCAGTGGGAGAATAAGTATAAGAATAGCACCCAGATATAGCACAGCTCCTGATCACCAGGAACGCGACCTCAGGGCGGCACTGATCACTCCCTAGAATGAGAAGGGGGTTCTTGTAACTACCAGGCTCCGATAACGTAGGTATATTGCGTGAAATAGTACGTATTGATTTATATAGCAAAACCCTCCATCGTACGAGGTTTGGTCTAATGTTTCGTTGAGGGCGTGATAGCAGTTATGGTATACGAAAGCAAGAGCAAGCAAAAAAAAAAAAAAAAAAAAAACCAAACCAAACCAAACCAGATTTCCACTACACCGAACCCATCCATCAAACGTGAACCCGAACCGCCCTGGTCACCAAAAGCCAAATAGTCCTTGTATGTAAGAATGTATGGATATACAGTACCCATGACATGAAAATGCTAGCTGCGGAATCAACGCCCAGAAACGAATGCAAAATGACAATCTGTGATACCAAAATGTTGGCGCCCGCGACCTGTATCGAATGGATCATTGATGAGCCAGTAAAACGCGTATGTGCAGGAGCTGAAAGGGGTAGCAAAAAGGGCTGAGGGGAAAATAAATCAGGTAAAAAAGAGAGGTGAGCTTTCGCCGAGTCAAATATGCCCGCTACATTCCCAGAAAAGGGTGAGAAATGTCTCGAATGAAGATGTATGGATTAGTTAGTCTGCAACTCTAAAAGCTCGACGTTGATCGTAGTGCACTGGTTCGCGCATAGCTATTTCCCGATACTGCTCGGTGTTTCCCGGGTGTACCAGTAGGGTGTATGTCCCGTTCCCGAGTCCAGCTAAAGTATAGATCAGTATGGTGTGGCTGAAAGAAAGAGAAACTGGTTGAAGAGGGAGATCTCACATCTTTACCAAACAGTCATCTCCGGCAGATGCAAACATGCCGGGATCAGCAGGGTTCCATGAGATCGCATTTACGCATCCTGAAACATGTCCATCCAAGGTTTCAACAAGAGTTCCATTCTCTTTATGCCAAACATAGATCCGGGAATCTACTGCGGAGTTAGCGAAGCTAATGTAGGACAAAAAAGGTTGGTGACTTGCCTTCACTCCCACTGACGACAAAGTTTTCTGCAGCGCCCCCAAAAGTACTTCGGATGATATACATGCTTTGCTTTTGGCCTTGAAAGCGGCGAATCACCTCTGTCGTGTCGATGTCGATCAACTGGATTTGGCATTCTGTGAGGTTGACAAGCATCTGGCGCGAATCCCTGCTGACAACAATCGAAGTTGCTTTGCTCTTTAGTGGAAGAGTATATTCTTCCTCGTGAGTGATAAAGTTGAAAACGCGGATTTTCTTGTCCACATCGACCGCAATCAGGCGTCGGCCGTCAGGAGTAATGGCACAATCCTGGACTCGAAACCCTCCCGGCCACATGTGCAACGGTTGTCCACGAATGCTCCAGTGACACAATTGGGAGCTCACATCAAGAGAGGCAGTTACGAACGACTCTCCATCAGGAGCCCAGACTGCAGCTGTCACTGGTTGACGATGGTGGTTGATTGTCAAAAGGCAACGGCCAGTCTAGATTCAAGTTTTAGTCCTAGTTTGTATTTTTGGCTAAAATTAACAAGACGTACCTCGGCACTCCAAACACGCGCCGTCCTATCCTGTGAACATGTAATCAACTTGGAGTCGTCTGGGCTCCAAACTGCGTGAGCAACTCCCGCTTCATGCTCCATGAGTTTATGAAGTACAGCGAATGTGCTTGTATCGTAGATAATCACACTATTGTCCCGACCCGCGGTAACTAGTTTCGTTCCATCGTGAGAAAATTGACAGTGCCAAACCTCATCTGAATGCTGATTAAGCTCAAGTTTGGTTCCCAGGGGGAAATCATTCCTGTCACACATGTGATCTGAGTAGAGAGACGGGGAAGCTGCGGTATTATGGTACAAGCACTGGTTAATTTGATTTTGCTTGACGTGATCAAGCAATGTAGCTAGGCGGTTATCTGGAATCATGACCGAAGGAGAAATTGACTCTATTACATGGTTAGAAGAGGAGCATCATAGAAGGTGACTTGTTAAGACTAACTAGATAGTTCAGCTAGCAAACGCTCTCGGGAAGACCCGATAGGGCCGTCCCAGCCGGCTTGGTCATGAAGGTGCTCCGGAGGACACATGAGGAGACTAATTATACCCGTCAGTAAGAACAAAGATAAAGAAGCTTTGTACCTTACCTTGAAAGAGCATGTAAGCGCCCGATATCATAGTTTAACGGTGTTAATTCATGACGAAGAACCATGAGCGCTGCAGCGAGATTGCGAGCATCGAGCAATTCGAGGAACTTTTGTTGTCGAAGATAAAAGAGCATTTCATTCTTGTCCGCGCTGTCCATCAGGATCAGGTTTTCCTTGCTTGCTGTTTGGTCTGCGCCGCTGCGAGCTCGGCCATGTCCAGGGGGGTAAAAGGATTGAACTAGTATGCGTTCTGCCTCGGTCCATCGTCCTTCAAGCACCGCATGTCTGAATATTGTGACTGCTGGGCTTTCTAGTTGATACCCACTTTCCTTGCTCAATAGCGCCGCCGATCCACTGTACCCAAGCTCGTAGAGACTTTGGATAAGGATCCTGGTCAGTTCTTCACGGTCGTGGCCAAAATATGGCGCATTCAGAGAGAGCTTCTGGGATCCATTCGTTTGGAACTCGCCGTTTGGAGCGGCATAAGTCGCTTGGCCATTTAGAGTGTGGAGAGCCGTCTTCTGTGAAGGAGAGGCCACCGAGCCCTTTGACACTTGGGAGGAGCCGTTGGTGCTAGAAATACCATCAGGTCGCATATTTGCCAGGCGCCTGCGCTTAGAAGATGGGAAATAGCCCTCCGACGGTGCACGGGACGCTTGGACTGTGGATTGTTCCTGAAACCCGGCTTCTCTAGCCGTATAGCCTCCCACACGACTGCCTGTCCCCACAGAGGCGGATTCGGACGTGCTCGATAAACTACGACGGCGTCGACGCAGGGACGAGGACGAAGGTTCAGCGGCACCAGGAATACCACGGCGAAGAATAGACTCCTGGTGGGTTGATGATGGGGTGCCGCCCGAAGCGGAATCGGGGCTCGGGTGTGACGGCGTCGGGTCGAGGGGGATAGGAAGGTTAGGGTGGTCGGGAGCGGAGGAGGGTGTGTAAGAAGGAGGGATGTTTGCCAGATCGAAGACTTCTAGATCCGCCCCTTAACCCGGCTCGTCGTTGAACCAGGAGAGCAGACCTATATCAGTGGTGGGTCACTGATACTCGCGGAAAGCTCAGTTCCCGTAACGAGCTCTTTTGAAGCCCTTCAATTCCTTACCTCTAAGAGTGGGTATCGAAAACAGTGGCGTAGATGCAGCAGAGAGGCGATGAAGAGTTCTAGGTAGCTAGATAGGAGACGGAGGCGTTCGCAGATGCAACGGGCGGGGGGGAGAGGGGGGGAAGAGGGGGAGGGAGAGAGAGAGAGAGAGAGAGAGAGAGAGAGAGAGGTCTTATCGGGACCCGGGAGAGGTTTAGGCTGGAAGAGGAAAGCGCCAAGCTCTGCAAGGCGAAGAGGGTATAAATAGTTGAGGTATAGAGAAAGGATGGAAAAGGTTGGAGATGAAAGTTAAGAGAAGTACAGGAAGAAATATACAAAAAGCTCAGGATCGTTGGGAAGAGTTGAGAGAGGACAAGGAGGAGGAGGAGGGAAGCTTGCAGAGGCGGTTGAAGAGCACTGGCGGTATGTATGCTCCGTGGGGCCAAAGTCACAACGACTACTTGATTAATTCACTTGATTAACCATCAATTCTCTGTCTGGCTGACCTTTAAAAACAGTTGATCGCTTTGTTTCTCAGATAAGGATTCAAAGGCAGTTTCGACTTTGAAGATTTACATATTGAGGTTCTTGGCTTGTTTCGCCAGGTCACTTCCCTTTTGTTTCTACAGCTCATGTACGACTCAGCTGCGACAACAAAGCAGAGGGAAAACATTTCAGAGATCCCCATCATCTGAACCAGGAACATATCGAGACACTGCAGTCCACCAGCTGACTGACAGGAATTCAATCCAAACCCAAGCAGGATATCCTGACGCCATCATAGGAGGAGATTCAAGCGCAAGCAAACGACTGGTTCCTCACTAGCCGATATTGGCTCCTAAAAGATCACCAGCATAGCGATGCGTCACTTGCGCTGGTTGTCACAGGCTCGAAATGCTCAATGCTGGGCTCCTATGGGCCCCAACTATCCCTATCTGGTCATATAATACATTCAAAGGTGCTTTTAGGCTCACGCGTGGCTACTTATGTCTGGGACGGAGAGTCAAGATAGAACGATTCTACGGCTAATTCCATATGTACATAGCAGTTGACGACTACTACTACTCCTCCTGATATATCTGCCCTTTTACCCTCGTTTTGCGACCGGAATAGCTATGGGACGGGATTCAATCTCCAGCCCAACTGGTCGTAACATACCTACTCCCTACCAGAGATACCCAATAATTGTCAACTGTGGAGATTCGCCATTTGGTACCACTCACAGCAGTTGATCACCAAAGACATTTTAGGTGCACTAGTCCTCCCCATTGGTTACTACGGATGCTCTGTACAGAATACTCAGGTGGCACCGAGTATATTATTCCTTTCTACCGCAAGGAGGCGTGCCCAGCTAGTTTTGAACAAATGTTTAATAATCTGCACGTCTGGACTTACATCTCCTAATCACCCAAGTTCATCAATCAACCACGCACAGTTCTTACCCCATATCCAAGCATCTAGAGCGTGCCTAAATCTCCTACCGTAAGGTCCATCAACAACCTGATCACTGCAATACAAAATACTAGGCCAAAAACGGCCTCCGCATCCAGATAATAATCCGACAAAACTGGAACCACTGAAATCATGACGTTCTTCAAGTCCAACATTTAGCAGGTAAAACAGAATCACACCCGTTGACAACCGTGGAACATCCGCCTTAACCACCTCCAATAAATTCAGCTATTCTGACCTCATCATGATACATCCAAATAGCTACTCCAAATCGCCTCTCCCCAGGTTATATAAATTCTAGAAATTCTATCGATCAACCATCCCGACCATACTCATACAGCTATAGCCTCTTACGAAAGGCGGGAAATTTCCATCCAGCCATCATCACGAACATACTCGAACCTAAAGTTGCTTTGTTTTACTTTATTATCTCTTTCTACTATAACGATGGGCTGCCCCTGTGCGTCTGGGAATACCTGTACTTGTAACGGGCCCAGCAGTTGTACTTGTGGCAACGACTGCACCTGCAAGGGATGCGGAGTATGCATTTTCTCCCCGGACCCTGGAGAACTGGTTTAAGTGCTGGATAGAATTGGATAGATATACGGGCTAACCCGTCACCAAACCTATAGAAGTAAACTGCTTCCCAGGATGAATGCCGATTCTCGATGACGCGGACGCGGACGGGAACGAGAAACGAACCGGAATGGAGCATTGTTTGAATATTATCTTGGACATTCTTTTCGATCCCTAATGAATAATAATATAATATAATATGTTGGAGTCGCTGATACTATTAACTGTCGATAGCTTTCCCTGATATACTTTGTACGGTCTAATATTTTTTTTTTTGTTTGTGATGAAAGTCAGCTACAATATGTATATCACAGGATAGAGACTAATATTTAACCATCATGATTTATTCATTCTCTTAGTTCATGAACACCTTGACAAAATATCTTAGTAGAGGATCTGTACTATTTATAACAGGCTTAAGTAAGTATGCACTCTATAGTTATCAGCAAACTCATGGGACTAATCTTTCAAGTCCGATCCAGACTACAATACTCGAGAACGTGTTAATGGTCGCGAGACAGTCAAGGTAATTGATCAGGATGCCATATTCATCAACATTGTAGTATTCTGGCTTTTCTTTGACGAGATTGAGGATCCCTGATTGAACCAAGGAGGGCAGTAAACGGACTCTCGCAGAAGATTTGTGGCCCGCGCCTCCTGGTTTCATACCGTCCAGGGAAAGAGAAACTTGGGGGACATGTTGAAGAGTTTCAAGAAGTCTGCGTCGTACGATACGACCTCTGCAGAGAAGCCTCCGGTTCGGGCTAATATTTCGACCACACGGTAGGCTCCCCTATGTGATGTTAATAGCTGTTGAGAATTATTTCGAGAAGACTCACATTCCACCCAAAAGGCTCTGGAAACGAAGCTATACGCAATATTAGCAATTGCACAACCCATGAACTATGTTAAGCAAACTCACTACATTCACGATTGGCATCCCATAGCGAAAGAACACCTCCTGCCCTCGTTTAATTTGGTCCCAGTCTACCCATTCAGGAACTGTATTGATTTCCATCCATAGTTGTTCGAGCTTGGTGTCATACTTTGCATGATTTTCTAGCAGAGCCAACAAGTCCCGTTTAGGCGCCTTTGTTGGTGGTGCATAAATTGACCGTATAACTTCAATTGGCCCTATTGTCCAAGGTGCAAATAATACTTTGATTAATGTGCCACTGCAACCACACCAGAATCATGGAAAGCCTCCTAAAGCCTCTTAAAGAAATACTCCTTCCATGACTTAGGAGGCTTTCCATAGCTCTGGTGTGGCTGCAATAGGCAAATTGTAATTCGCTCTGGAGGGTTAGCAGGGGAATGGTAGACCAGAGGTATAGGAAGAAACCAGGATGATGTATTATTTTGTTTTTCTCTCAAAGGAACACTGAATGACTCTCTATCTTAGTATCATCCTCTCCATGAGGCTTTACTTACCTTCAAGATGAACTCCAAGCAAGCAAATCCTGGCGCCCAGTCTCTTAGCATCAGTAACTACGGCTAAGAGAACCTTACTCAGCGTCCCCTAACCAAGTGATTTGCACCAACAGTGTGACAGAGCAAGACTCATTTTAACTATCGATCGCAGAAAATCCCAGTCTCGAATGTTAGGATTGGGTGTACGTCGACTAAAAGCCCGACCGTCACTGCTGGACCTGCTTGCAAGTCGTGGTAATAGGAGCAGCGTTGTTGTTGACTTGTCCTCCAACGTGAGCCCGTCATCACCGCCCAGACCAGAGAACCTCCCACCGCTCCCCGTTTCGCCCACTTCGTCGACCTCCAGCAACAGCACCAGCATCCCTCTACCCCTCCCTTCGTCCACTTCCCCCATCCACACTCCGGTTTCGCGCACCATGGCTCCCTCTGGAAAGGACTCCAAGGACCAGGACGATGCCCAGCATGGTGTAGTCTTCTCCGTCTCCGGTCCCGTCGTCGTGGCCGAGAACATGATCGGCTGTGCTATGTACGAGCTGGTAAGCTCTCCTGCAACTCTCTCTTTGTTTCGCGAGCTCAGGGAATCCAATTTTGAACTTGTTGTTACCTCTGTTATTGATCTCCGCTTACGACTTATGATAAATCCAGTGTCGTGTCGGTCATGATCAAGTTGTCGGCGAGGTTATTCGCATTGATGGAGATAAGGCTACCATTCAGGTTTACGAGGAAACAGGTACTGTCGACTTTGTTCCCCCATGAAAAAAAATTTTTTGCCTGTGGTCTAACTTTTCTTTTTATCACAGCGGGTTTGACCATCGGCGACCCCGTCTTGAGGACAGGCAAACCCCTGTCGGTCGAACTTGGACCAGGTTTGATGGAAACGATTTACGACGGTATTCAGCGCCCCTTGAAGGCAATCTCCGATAAGTCTGGCAGTATCTACATCCCCCGTGGTATTGTAGTCAACGCATTGGATCGCGAGAAGAAATGGGACTTTACTCCGGGTAAATTCAAGGTCGGCGACCACATTACAGGTGGTGATATTTGGGGCACTGTGTTCGAGAACAGCCTCTTGAACGACCACAAGATTCTCCTTCCCCCCCGCGCAAGGGGTACGATTACCAAGATTTCGGATGCCGGTAGCTATACTGTGGAAGAGCAGCTCCTTGAAATCGAGTTCAATGGCAAGAAGTCGACGTTTGGTATGATGCACACCTGGCCCGTTCGTGTGCCCCGACCGGTCAATGAGAAGCTGTCCTCCGATTCTCCCTTTGTCGTCGGTCAGAGAGTGCTGGACTCTCTCTTTCCCAGTGTGCAGGGTGGTACTGTTTGTATTCCAGGTGCTTTCGGATGCGGCAAGACTGTCATTTCCCAGTCCGTGTCTAAATTCTCCAACAGTGATGTCATTGTCTATGTTGGTTGTGGTGAGCGTGGTAACGAGATGGCTGAAGTGTTGATGGATTTCCCTGAGGTATGTTGCTAGCAGCACCTCGACCTCATTTTCCCCCCTTACTAACTAATCCGGCTATTTAGCTTACTATCACCGTCGACGGCCGCAAAGAACCTATCATGAAGCGTACCTGTTTGATCGCCAATACCTCCAACATGCCCGTCGCCGCTCGTGAGGCTTCCATCTATACCGGCATCACCATTGCAGAGTATTTCCGTGACCAGGGCAAGAACGTAGCTATGATGGCAGATTCTAGTTCCCGATGGGCGGAGGCTCTTCGTGAGCTTTCCGGTCGTCTAGGAGAGATGCCTGCTGATCAGGGTTTCCCTGCTTACCTTGGTGCTAAACTTGCCTCCTTCTACGAACGTGCGGGTAAGAGTATCGCCCTAGGCAGCCCCGAGAGAATCGGCAGTGTCAGTATCGTTGCTGCCGTCAGTCCCCCTGGTGGTGATTTCGCAGACCCTGTCACCTCAAGTACACTAGGTATTGTGCAAGTTTTCTGGGGGTTGGACAAGAAGCTCGCGCAGCGTAAACACTTCCCATCCATCAACACGTCCATTTCCTACAGCAAATACACGATGGTTCTGGACAAGTATTACCAGAAGCACCACCCGGAGTTCCCTCGTCTGCGTGACCAAGTTCGAGAGCTTCTGACCAAATCGGAAGATCTTGACCAGGTTGTGCAACTGGTCGGAAAGGCTGCCCTTGGTGATTCCGACAAGATTACCCTGGACGTGGCTGCAATGCTGAAGGATGACTTCCTCCAGCAGAACGGTTACAGTGACTACGACCAGTTCTGTCCAATGTGGAAGACGGAGTACATGATGAAGGCGTTCATGGGTTACCACGACGAGGCCCAGAAGGCGGTTGCCCAAGGTCAGAACTGGGCCAAGGTTCGTGATGCCACCAGCGACATCCAGAGCTCTTTGCGAAACATGAAGTTCGAGATTCCAGACGATGAAGCTGCAGTCTCTGCGAAGGTATGTTGTTATTCCGAAATTTCCGATTTTAGTTTGGCTACTCCTAACACAACGCAGTACGAGAAGATCCTGCAGACGATGACCGAGCGGTTCGCCTCGGTGTCGGACGAGTAAACAGGATCCTTCCTATGACGTTTTATATTATACCGAGAGCTTGTAGCATATCAGTTCTGTAGTTATTCGAGTTATGTCATTAAGATAAATCAGGTGGTACAAGTTAGACGATCAATGAACATTACCTACCTAAGGTACTACTATACTATGTCCGTCCTCTCCGTAGGTAGCGAGATTATCGAGAGTCCAGATCATGCGAAAATATGCACACTAGTCCTAACACAGCTAGTCTGACAGGTTGGAAATTAAAATCCACGGCCTTCTATTTATATCCACGCACTCACCGCGTTGCCTCTCTTCATCGTTTGCTTGCTGCCTTCTTTCTTGCTTTTCACTCACTTGGCCGCTCGTCATCTCCCTATTTCTACCTAATTCCCACTCCACTTTGTATACCTCTTCTTTTTCTTCCTTTTTCTTTCTCTCTCTCTCTCTCTCCCCCTCCCCCCCTTCCCCCCCTCTCTTCTTTCTTTTAGTTTGAAGCGACCGTTATTTGTATTCATCTGTTGCCAGCCATGGCAAGCCCAACATCATCTGGCTACTCGTGTGTGACCCCTCGTGCGGAATCCCCCGAACTCACTGGACTGACCGCAATTCCACCACAGGATCAACGTCAATGACCCCAGCCTGATTTCACTGGTCAATAAGCTGCAGGATGTGTTCGCGACCGTCGGTGTAAGTATTCCTCGTCTCTTGGAGACGGATTCTTTGATGTTTTGCTACCCCTCCGTTCCCCGACTGACACCGCCTGTTTCCTGGGCTTTAGGTTCAAAACCCGATCGACTTGCCTCAAATTGCTGTCGTCGGCTCGCAATCCAGCGGAAAGAGCTCGGTCCTAGAAAATATCGTCGGTCGAGATTTGTAAGTCGTTTTTAGCATTATCGTTGGAAATTGTTGTGGTGGATGGATAGTGGCTAACCGGATGTCGTTGCCCCCCCCTAATCTAGCCTTCCGCGTGGCTCTGGAATTGTCACTCGCAGACCCCTTATCCTGCAGCTTATCAACAGACCTTCGAGAAACTCCCAGGTGAACGGTGTCAAGGACGAGCAGTTGGAAACATCGGACAAAGAGGCGAATCTGGACGAATATGGCGAGTTCTTGCACATTCCCGGCCAGAAGTTCTACGACTTCAACAAGATCCGTGAAGAGATCATTCGTGAAACGGAATCAAAGGTCGGGCGCAATGCTGGAATTTCACCTGCTCCCATCAACCTGCGCATCTACTCTCCGAATGTCCTGACTCTGACTCTGGTGGATCTGCCCGGTTTGACCAAGGTGCCCGTGGGTGATCAGCCAAAGGATATCGAGAAGCAAATTCGGGATATGGTCCTAAAGTACATTAGCAAGCCCAACGCTATCGTTCTCGCCGTGACCGCAGCCAACCAAGATCTTGCCAACTCAGATGGGCTGAAGCTTGCAAGGGAGGTGGACCCTGAGGGCCAGCGCACCATTGGTGTGTTGACTAAGGTTGATCTGATGGATGAGGGTACTGATGTGGTGGATATTCTTGCGGGCAGGATTATTCCATTGCGCTTGGGTTACGTCCCGGTGGTCAACCGCGGCCAGCGTGATATTGAGAACAAGCGCCCTATTTCCTATGCGCTGGAGCACGAGAAGAATTTCTTCGAGGGCCACAAGGCCTACCGGAACAAGGCCTCTTATTGCGGTACTCCGTACCTAGCTAGGAAGCTGAATTTGGTATGTATTACGACACGGTCCCAGAGAGCATTCACTTACACGTGGTTAGATTCTTATGATGCACATCAAACAAACCCTGCCGGATATTAAGTCTCGAATTTCCTCCTCCCTGCAAAAGTACTCCTCGGAGCTTTCACAGCTAGGCGACTCAATGCTCGGAAACAGCTCCAACATTATCCTCAACATCATCACGGAATTCAGCAACGAGTACCGAACAGTGCTTGAAGGAAAGAACCAGGAGCTTTCTAGCATTGAATTGTCCGGCGGCGCTCGTATCAGCTTTGTCTTCCACGAGCTATACTCGAATGGTGTCAAAGCGGTGGATCCCTTTGATCATGTGAAGGACGTTGATATTCGGACTATCCTGGTTAACTCCTCTGGTTCATCACCTGCGCTCTTCGTGGGAACCACTGCTTTCGAGGTGATTGTCAAGCAGCAGATCAAACGACTGGAGGACCCTAGCTTGAAGTGTATCTCGCTGGTTTACGACGAACTTGTCCGCATCCTTGGACAGCTTCTGAACAAGCAGCTCTTCCGTCGCTACCCAATGCTCAAGGAGAAGTTCCATACCGTTGTCGTCGCATTCTTCAAGAAATGCATGGAGCCGACCACCAAGCTTGTCAAGGACCTCATCTCTATGGAGACGTGCTATATCAACACCGCCCACCCTGATTTCCTGAACGGCAACCGCGTAAGTCCTCTCGATCACCTAGGATAATCGATGTATTCTAACTAAATAGGCTATGGCTATCGTTAATGAACGCCAAACTGCGGGTAAACCTACCCAGGTGGACCCAAAGACGGGCAAGCCGCTCCCTCCACGGGCGAACAGCCCTTCGCTCGATCCCATGCCTACGGGCGACGGCCCCGGATTCTTCGGCAGCTTCTGGGCGTCGAAGAATAAAAAGAAGATGGCCGCCATGGAAGCCCCTCCCCCAACTTTGAAGGCCTCTGCGTCTCTGTCTGATCGCGAGAGCATTGAGGTGGAGGTTATCAGTACGTATGGCTATACTCTTCAAATAATACAAGACTAATGAAAATACAGAACTCCTGATCACATCCTACTTTAACATTGTCAAGCGCACAATGGTTGATATGGTCCCCAAGGCCATTATGTATAACCTCGTGCAGTATGTCCACCCCCTATCACAACGGTAATGAAGTCGCTGACGATGGTAGATTCTCCCGCGAGGGCATGCAGAAGGAACTGCTCGAGAACATGTACCGCAATACCGAACTAGACGACCTGCTGAAGGAGAGCGACTACACCATCCGGCGGCGGAAGGAATGCCAGCAGATGGTGGAGAGCCTCACTCGCGCCAGCGAGATTGTCAGCCAGGTCCAGTGAATACAGTAGAACGCTGCGTTTTGATTCCCATTCTGTTCGTCCGTCTTTCTGCGCGTCTTGGTTGCCTCTGGGAAAGATTTTCCCCCTTCTCTTGTTTCTTTTGTCAAGGGATTCATGCCTTATGTTTATACTTTTCCTGGTTTCCTGATATGAGCAAAGAGTTGCATATGGCCGCATTTCTTTTGTGATGTCAGGTTCTGCAATCTTTATGACGAATTTGTATCGCCTAATGATGTGGATGTTTGTGGGTTTTTGTTTTTTTTTTTTTTTTTAGAATTCAGACAGATTTAGTAGCACTTGAATGTACAGTAGTTACAGTAGCGGAGCTGCCTTGGTCAAAGTACTTGTATGTATGCACAGCCTGAATTATGTGGCAATATTTCTGTAGTTATCAGGCAGGTGATTAGTCACATGAATCCACCCCCCATCAGTCCAGAAATAGACTAGCGTTCATGGCTGGTCTCCACTCTCCCATTTAAGCCCTTGTTTAGCGCCGGGCTAATATCTAATCTGCGTGCATTTGCGTGAACTGAAGTATATAATTAAGTATTCTCTGTTGTCTGTATATTTGGATTGCTTGGATCGCTTGGATAGCCTGTTTTCAGAGTAAACTCATGAAGATGATTATTTTCTACTATGATAGGGTTCTCAAAATGCCCCTCCAATGTAGTGACTAACACTCGAGCATAACAAATGTCCTTTATCTCACTTCAGCGTGTTCCTCCTACCACTCAACACCCCCCCTGCTCTCTCCTATCCTATACCACCCAACCCATCTCTTCCTCGATGAACTAATCATCCATCTCCTCTATCCTTACTCCTACGCTTTCATAAGTAGGTCCTTCGTTCATTCATTTCTGCTCCGAAAGTCTGTCTCTCAAAGAAACGAAACCATGTGCTACACCATGCTATTCGAGTCGATCAGTTCCGACTGCACCCTCGACCCCAAGCACGTCGTCCAGACAAAGCTTTATTTCCTGTGCGATCAGATGCTGCATCAGATGGGCATTCCTATCCCTGGCAACACAAACGCAAGTGGAAACGCAAACGAAGACACTGGATCTTCTTCTTCTTCTTCTTCTTCTTCTCCTCCTCCCCCCGCTCCCAATCCCTACGTCTCTGTCTTTGAATCTGACACCGAGTCTGAGAGCGAGAGCGATACCGATTCGTTTGTGGTTGTCGAGACTGCCACCTCCTCCACTGATGCCCCTGCGGCCGAGGAAGAAGCCCCCGCAGACGATAATGCAAAGCACTGTGCCGAGGAAGACTGCATCCCCGTTGGCATGTTTGGGTCTTCTCGTGTGACGGGGGGTTGTCCGTATTGCGAGGGCGTGGAGGAAGGAGATACCATTACCGTTGTATGTTCTGATTCCCTTTCTCTCTCTCTCTCTCTCTCTCTCTCTCTCTTTTCTGTGTTTTTGTTAAGGGGGCTGTATTTTGGCTCAGTGGGCTTGATTTTATGGGGGATGCTAACGTGTCTCTCTCCTAGGTGCTGCAGAGTCGAAGCGGCATCGTTGGATCGCTGATTGAGTCGCTTGCTGGTTGAAATCAGGCCCCGTGCAGCAGGGAAGATCCAGCTTACTAGGATACAGACGTCTAGGGTAGTTGGGACTTTGACTGTGTTGGTGCTTGTGACTTGGAGATGTGCTTTTTTTTTTTTTAAAGGGTTAGTTAAGTCACGGGATGGTGAGGGTTAGGATGATTTTGTTTGCAATTTTGCATCTCTGAGATAAGGAAAGGCGGTTCTGTAGGTAGCATTCAGTCGTGATGCGCTGATAATACATTCATTCCGTGACTCTGGTTCTTACCCAAGTTGGTACATTCAGATACATACATACTGGAAGTAGTTGCATTATCATATGTATGTATTGAATTGCCGCTAACATATGTATGTTTCAAGTAGAATGTCTATATTTATAATGCCATCCCTCTCGCGCCAGGTCATATCTCACTTTATAATTATCTTCTGCCATCTTCAACAACCCCAAATCCATCTCAGCAACCAGCAACCCCTCTTCATTCCCCAGTTGACCGACAGACCCAACAATCGGCAGAGTCACACGCGATAGTCCCAGGGTCGTCTCCGTACCCGAGACATTCGCAAAGATGATTCCGCATGTGTTCTCAAAGCACCGCGATGTAAGCGTAGACTCAAGGAACAGCGCTTCGCAGTTTTGATTTCGCAACAGAGACTCGGGCGATGCGTCAAAGCGACCCCCTACTTCATTAGCACATGGAAAAAAAAAAAAACACCCCCTAGAATGGATAGAAAGGACACGAACAGTAAGTCGGAATAATCACCACCTCTGCACCATGCGCAATCAACTCGCGAAACGCCTCGGGGAAGGCCAAATCCCAACAGATTAGCATGCCGACTTTGCCGATCGGGGTGTCGAACACCTCGTGGGGTTCTGCGCCCGAAGACGTCAGATACGCCCGTTCGGGATGCCAGATGTTTTTCTTTCTGTAGCGGCCGAGGATCTCGCCGTTGTTGGAAATGAAGTATGCTGTGTTATAGAGGACTGTCCCGTCTACCTCTTGTTCTGAAGTGGCAGTAGAAGAAGAAGAGGAGGAGGAATGCTTTTCGACAATTGTCCCTGGGACAAGGCAGATGTTGAGTTCCTTAGCTAGGGACCGGTATGCAGTGAGGTACTGGGCGGTTTGGCCTGCTTGTAAGGCATATAACGGGTCTGCGGGCGCCCAGCCATTGAGGTGATATCTGTTGATATGAGCACTGGACGTTTGGAGGGGCTCATCATATATCAGGATGCTTCTTCATAAGAAGATCCCATATGGGGGCAAAGCTCACTCGGGCAAAACAGCCAGTTCAGCGCCCTGGGCGGCAGCAGACCGAATATAGCCGCATGCCTTGGTGTGGTTTTCCTCGACTGCCAGGTCCTGCAGGTCCCGGCGGTTAGTTCATTTCTTCCCATTCAGATTTGACGTTTGTTGTGCTCACCTTGATGGACCACTGAATTACAGCGACTCGACGAGTTGGTGCCATTGTTTCGTCCCTGGATGTTTCTGTGTGAAGAAGAGATGTGGTGTTGCGGGGATGATGACTGGATTTATAGTGGATCGATCCCGAAGCTCCGCAGCGTAACTATCTCTTTTGCCCTTACAGGTAAGTAAGTATATGAGGGTACCCTAGGGTAGAATCTGAGGCTAATATGAAAATATTAATAGAGATAGAGCAAGACTGGATTCTATACATCACTAAGAAGCTCTTCTTCATACTCTTATTACTGATCAACGGTGCTCTGATCAGGAACTATGGGTATCTTTCCGCCTCTCTGTTTAGCGGCACAGCTCTGATAATCGGGGCTCTGTGTCAGATTGCGGCAAGACTTTTTTGCTTGAGAAACAGTTGCTAGAGATGGAGACTGTATATGCATGTACTTGACCAGGTTCATTCTAGACCTAATACACAACCCTATACCTCACAGAAGAAAAAGGGGGGGGTTCTATTCTCTGCTAATTTTGTGGAAAGGAATCTACTTTTACCCTTCGAGCAGCATCCAGCTATTCATTCATACTTGGCGTTGTGGTAAAGTTTCGAAAGGAGGTAAAAATACACTCTGTACATATATATATATATATATATATATAGGATCTTACATTTGTTTACCTGCCCTTGTTCCAGTTTGATGCTATCCGCAATGGGCTATAAAAAAAAAAAAAGAAACGCTGCCCCCAGTCGGGATTGAACCGACGACCTTAGCATTACGAGTGCTACGCTCTACCGCTGAGCTATAAGGGCGGATTATGCTTTGGGTTCCGACCAATGACTTATGGCTGACGCGGATAAAATACAATAGTAAAATCTTCTTGTATAGACTTCTCAATCCTGTAATTAGTTACCACTCGGGCCTTTATAACTAAATTTATACCTAGAAGTATGTTGTTTATTATTCTATATCGTATAGTAGGATAATAAGGTACTTTGATTGTATATTATTCTCGGGATATGATATGATGTATTCAGCTTTCCTTTCTATAGTTTGAATATATATAGCGAGCCTGTCTGTTTACGGCGTGTGTTACCCAAGAGGATATTACCCCCGGAACAGAACGTACCATTCCAGGCATTTATAGGAAAGATAGAACTCAACACACTCCCTACCCCATACAGTCAACCCCTTGGAAGGCAGCTCGCGACATAGATGGCTGGTAAGAGATTGCGGGCACGAACGGGGGGACAGATAAAAGAGGCCCACAAGAATGAGGGGCACAGAGGTAGTGGGATAAAATATAAAAAGGATAAAGCCATACTCTGTACACGTAGCAACGAGGATAGAAGTCTACGTGGAATACATGCCTCCTAGCGGCTTGTCTGGCCGTTGATAACCCTGGAAGTTGGGGAACAGCGCAGATGGAGCTGTATGTATCAGGACAATGCATTGTCTATGTACGCTGTCATAAATGATCAATCAACAAGGTTCATATACCCACCTCAACGTCCCTCGCACGATACATCCAACTCATAGGATATACTTGTTGTATGACTCCTCAAGGGACAAGATAGATAGCTTGGTGAAAAGTTAAAACTCACTCCAACCAGTGGAAGAGGGATTTGATATCGTCCGCTTTCTCCCCAACTCTCGAACCCCTTTCCCCCCCCCAAACAATCAGTTGCAGAACAACAACACAAAATTAAGATTCCAGGGCCACGAGTTCTTCCGTTTGGCTCTTATTGGATCCGGAGAGAGGCCAATCAGAGCTTCGGCAGCCGCAACGCGGTTCAGCCTTGAGGAATCAGCTGCAGAAGTGTAAATGCGGGCATTGACGCTGCCTGCAGAATGTTTTATGCGTACTTGTCTTTCTGTTCTCATCCTAGTCGTCGGAGAGTGTTGCCCTTCCTTGACTCATTTATTGTACTCCGGACCGAAATCACGCAGAGGTTTTGGTCCGTCGATCCCCAGCTAACTAGCTCAGGGACTTCGGGAAAGGTAGGGTTTCCATGATCAACGGTTGAGACCTCGTCTCTTTCGCAGAGAGTACCAGCCAAAGCAACCTAATATTCAGAGCTAGGGAACTTTGCCTGGCGTCGAGATCATCTGGATCTGCTTTGGGACCCCATGATGCCGAACCTTGTATCGTGAATGGCCGTCTGGTGGCTTGGTGGTGGGAGGCGGTTCAGGGAGCTCTATACTCTTCGGGACAGCAGCAATCTATTGTAGGGGGTTGTGTAAATTCGCACTGATCTGAAAAAATCATGCCCCCCCTTAAAATTTATGCCACGTCCGCCGGTATGCTGGTGGGTTTTCCTCTTGTTTCTGCTTGCGCGGTGCGGTGGTCAAAATGATTGCCTCGTGGGCTTCACGTTGTTTGCCCGGCTTCAGTATCATTGCTCTACTAGCCCTGGTCGTGTTCAGTGCAACTGATGCTTTCCCGTTTCCATGGAGCAGCGATCCTCCTGAGCCAGGCAGACCAGGGGAACCCCCTGTGCTCAACTTAGCGCAGACGATATTTGTGATATATACGGTTTTGGTCCATCTGAATACGCTTGCCTTCACAGGCCGCCTATCCTGGGCCCTGTTGCATATTCACAGGCAAACCAACAACGTGCTGAAGCGCCGAACGAACCAGCCACGAGAAGCGTCGTCGCCTCGGTCAAGTGGAGCTTCCATCGCGAGCGATACCTCCTCACTCGATGATGTCTCTCTCCTCCCTTATGCGGAATCCCAGCCAATCCTGAACGACAAGGATATCGAAGAAGAGGTCGTGCATGCGATCATTATCCCGAACTATAATGAGGAAATCCATACCCTGAGAAGTACGCTGGATGTCCTGGCAAGCCATCCCAGGGCGAGCTCTCAGTATGAGGTTCGTTGCCCTCTTCCCATCTACGCGGACCAATGCTCACGGTCATCCAGATATATCTCGCCATGGAGCAAAAGGAGTCGGGAGCTCCCGAGAAAGTAGAGAAGTTGATGTCTTCCTATGGAATGTCCTTTTCTCTCCTCCAGGCCACCTTCCACCCTGCCGGTCTCCCCTCGGAAATCGCAGGTAAAAGCTCCAACGTAGCTTTTGCGGCCCGGCACATTGGACACCTGCACCGCGCCGAGCTTAACTCGGGCTACTGCAACGTAATTGTCACGGTCATGGATGGTATGCAACTCCTTTTCCACCCTAAAAGATTCCCCCGCTAACCCACCTCTTCCAGCCGACACAAACCTATGGCCGGACTATTTCACGGAGATTCGCCGTCTGCATCTCACGCACGTCACGGACGCGGACCGCACCCTCTACTCCTGTCCCATCATCTTCGACCGCAACTCCACCGACAGCCCGATCCTCGTCCGCTGTGCGGATCTTCTCTGGGGCTTTGCCGGCCTGTCGACCATGCACCCGAACGCCAGCATCTCCATCCCCACCTCGGTCTACTCTCTGCCCCTGACGCTGGCCGAGAAAGTCGGCGGCTGGGACAGCGACCCGACCTCCATCGGGGAAGACATGCACATGATGCTCAAATGTTACTTCGAAACCGCCGGCAACCTTGTCTCGCGCGTGGTCTACGTGCCAGCCAGCCAATGCAACGTCTCCAGCGACCTCCCGCACCGGGGCTGGCGGCGGTCCCTCGACACCTGCGTTGCGCGGTACCGACAAGCCCTGCGACACATGTGGGGGGCGCTGGACTCGGGCTTCGCCGCCCGACGAACCCTCAGCTACTTCCGCTTCCACCCGCGGTGTCTCTTTCTGCGTCCCCGACACCTCGCCCTGCTGCATCTCCTCTGGGAGGCGCACTTCCTGCCCTGCCACCTCGTGATCCTGCTTCTCTTCTCCACCGTCTCCGAACAGCTCACCCCGCGCGAGGCCTTGCACCCGGACATGGCCTGGGCCTTTTGGTTCACGGGCCTGCTCCGCGCCGGGTCCTTCGTCTGGATGAACCTCTGCCTCGTCCTGTACGAACGGTGGTACGCCGTGTGTCTGCAGACGCGGAAGACAGACATGCTCGCGGCGCAGGTGGCGGATACGGGGTTCTCGGTCCGGCGCTGGTGGCATCTCCCGATGCTTCTGGAGCGGCTTGTCTTTCCTGTTGCCGGCATGGTCTTTGGCGCGGTCCCCACGGTGCATGCTGTGTTTTCGCACTTTTGGACTGATCGGTTGGAGTACCGGGTGAGTAAGAAGCCGAAGTTTGCCAGCCTAGTCTAGACCTACATAGCTGTCGTGATGATGGTGATGATGGTGATGATGGTGATGATGGTGATGATGGTGATGATGGTGATGATGATGATGATGATGATGTTGTGTTCGTTTCGTCTACGTTATCCGTACTAATGATTTTAATGAGGTATAGTTACTCCGTACTTGGGTATAGATACTATCCAGTCTAATAATAATAAATATCACATTTTCAAACAATTCCTGTATCATGCTACAAATAAGATTCCTCACTTGCATATTAGACACAGAAGTATAGTATAGATTTGAAAAAGGAAGATTCTTGCTTAATTCGTCATCTCTCCGCGTAAGATAACTAGTTAGTTAACTACTCCGTAGTTAACTAGTTAAAGCAGTAATTTAGGTATGCAACCTCGGCATCATGAGAACAGAGTTGAACATGACAAGGAGCTTTGTGACGCAATGGGGATCCCGCGTCGTTTCCCAGGACGGGGGTTTCTGTTGCCGGTTGGGGTGTATCCAGTGATTGAGGAGCTGGTGCAGAGATGGAATTAGAATGATCTCAGGGATCTCCATTGGTCTGAAATGAGATTCTAGCTCGAGATCTTCAGGTACCCCTTTATTACACTGCATTCTGTAGATTTAGGGGAATTCCATGTTCAATGGGGAGATGATGTTTAATGATCCATCGCACGGTAGCAAAAGAAGACATCCAGAAACACTCCAAGTGGGGGGAATCCGGTCGCAGCAGCTGCAATGCAGGCTGAATGCATCTCTCAAGTCTTTCTGAGCGATAAATAAACATATCAAAGAAGAAAAGAAGACAAAGAAGACAAGAAGAAAAAAAGAAAAAAAAAAGAAAAAGCACAAAGAATAAGAATTTTATTAGTGTGGAATTCCCTGCTCTCCTTTTCGGCAGCCGTTTTTCTTCTTCTTCTTCTTCTTCTTCTTCTTCTTCTTCCTGCCTGGAAAGATTTTGAAACAGTCCTTTTGGCCTTCAGAAATTAGCTATATTTATCTTTTTATTATTTGATTATTTTGGGATTATTTGATTCTTGTCTGCTGGAGGGTTTTTTCTGTTTCCCACTCTTAACTTTGCCTTCCGTCGTGACGCTACTTTGACCTTCTCTTCCTCCTCTCCGAATCTTGCTTCCAGATTCAACATGCCCTTATCCCCTCATAATGCTCTCCTTGCTCATATGAGTGTTTCGATCTTGTCTAGAGGCTAGCACTGGCCTTTGCAAGTGCATCTTCCTGTGCAATCCTTTTTGAATTGCGTGGGAGCTCGATCGACACTTTGTGCGGCCAGCTTCATCCTATCGTGGTTCTTTTTTTTTTTTTTTTTTTTTTTTTGAATATAAAAAAAAAAAAGGTCGAAATTGAATTATCTGCAGAATCTCGTCTCAAATTCTCCGATCCATACCTCTTATCGATCCTGTTACCCTCCTCCCACGGATCTTCGTCGAATCGTTGCACGACGGTGAAACCGTCCCCCATTCTGGCATGTTTTCCGCTATCCTGCGCGGCGTCTCGTCGGCCACGGCTCACATTCCCTGGCTGAAGGACCTAAGCCTCAATTTCATCTTGATTCATTATATCTATATTATATCCATGGCAATTCTCTCCTCCATTATCCTCTATCCCGGCATGAACTTGAAGTATATCGATGCTCTGTTCCTCTCCGCAGGCGCCGCCTCGCAGAGTGGGTTGAACACCGTGGATCTCAACTTGCTCTTCACCTACCAGCAGGTCGTCCTATACTTTGTTTCCATGCTCACCACTCCCATTTTCATTCATACTGCCCTGGTCTTTGTCCGCCTCTATTGGTTCGAGAAACGGTTCCAGCATGTCGTTCGGGACGCCCGAGCGCTGCGATCCACCAGATCGCGGATGCGAACCATGAGCCACGATAAGAACGCCCAGACCCATTCTGGAGAGGAATCGGGAATCAATGGTCGCCCAATCGTCGTACTACGCAATAATCCGGGGAACGCGACGGCAGGGGATGCGCAAGAAGGTTCGTCCGGATTGACAGACTCCACCGAGTCCGGGTCTGTTTCACCTACCTCTGGGGGGAGTATTTCAAAACAACAGCCAGAGGAACCCCCCCATGACGCCACTGGTGGCCTGCAACACACGTTGGGAAGCCTGCGTGTTCCTGCGCCACTTGGCCCCGAGCACCACATCGCTTTCCTGGAGAACCAACGGAAAGGTACCCCCAGTGCGCTACGTATCCCGAGCCCGCGAGAATATGATCGCGGCGGCGTCCCTCAGCTGTTGGAAGAGGCGGAAGGGAGCAGGACGAATCGTCGCACCAGCTATCAGTCCGACGCACCACGGAGCCCGCGAAGTGTCGACGAGGACAATGCCCCCCCCATGGAAGGCCCACATATTACGATCAATGAGCCAGATTTCCCGTGGGGAAGAACGAGGAACTTGACATTCCCCCGGTTGGACACCCGCCCTACTGTCCGTGAGACCAAGGATGGACGCGAACCATCCATCCTGAACCGCATCCACACCAGACGCCCAACCTTCACTAGTATTTACCGGTCGTTGACCCAGGAACGGGACCGGCCAACCCTGCCGTACCTGAGCTGGGATGCGACGGTGGGTCGCAACTCAAACTTCATTGATCTAACCGAGGAACAACGTGATGAGCTGGGAGGCATTGAATACCGCGCCTTGAAGACACTGGCTGTCGTGCTGATCTCTTACTATGTTTTCTTCCATCTGCTGGGAGTCATCTGCCTCTTGCCTTGGATTATGGAAACTCGCTGGGGTCAAGTTGTGACGGCTGCGGGACAAGGTCGTCCCTGGTGGGCTTTTTTCACCGCTGCCTCGGCTTTCAACGATGTTGGATTCACCCTCACTCCGGACTCTATGATGTCCTTCCAAGATGCCATCTTCGCTCTTCTTTTCCTGGCCTTTCTCATTATCATTGGCAACACGGGATTCCCGTGTATGCTCCGCCTCATTATTTGGACGTTGTCGAAAATTGCTTCCAAAGAAACTCCCCTGTGGGAAGAATTGAATTTCCTTCTGGACCACCCGCGTCGATGTTTCACTCTTCTTTTCCCGCGAAATGCGACCTGGTGGCTTTTTGCGATCCTGATCTTATTGAACGGCATTGACCTTATATTCTTCATCATCTTGGATGTAAGTATTGACGCCCCTTTTTTTTTTTTTTTTTTTTTTTTTTGTGTCCATGCATATTTACTCACAAATACAGCTGAATGATCCGACGGTTACCACCCTTCCCACGGGGATTAAAATTGTGGACGGGCTCTTTCAAGCAACGTGCACCCGAACGGCTGGGTTCTCTGTTGTAAATACCGCCGATTTGCATCCGGCCGTCCAGGTCTCGTACATGATCATGATGTATATTTCGGTTTTCCCCATTGCGATTTCGATGAGACGAACCAATGTGTATGAAGAGAAGAGTCTGGGCGTTTATCCCAACGCCGACGACGAGTTCAACGAGGATGCTCAAACGGCGCCGAGTTACATCGGATTTCACTTGCGAAGACAGCTGAGCTTTGATCTTTGGTACGTTTTTCTGGGCCTGTTCATCATTAGCATTGTCGAAGGCGATCGTATAGAAAACGCAAGCCAGTACTCCTTCCAGATCTGGACCGTGCTCTTTGAGGTCGTGTCGGCGTATGGCACCGTCGGTCTTTCTCTTGGATATCCCGGAGTAAACGCGTCATTTTCCAGCCAGTTCCGAGTGATCTCTGTACTGGTGATTATCGCTATGCAGATCCGTGGGCGGCACCGTGGCCTTCCATACAGCCTGGACCGTGCCATCTTACTCCCGTCCGAGTCCCTCAACCAAAACGAAATCGTGGATGCAGAGCGGCGCATGCGTCGACGTACCTCCAATCTCAGCCAGATGGGCGGCACGGTTGGACGGCGGCAGTCTCAAGCGTCGGAGAATGCCGTCTCAACCGGCTTTGATGCCAATCCCTGGCCAAGCGTACCGGGCGATCCAATCACGCATCGCCATCTTACTATCCAGTCCCAGCGGTCACACCGTTAAGGCCTTCATTCATGACCAACATATATCTATAGATTTCAAGCGTTTATGAGCGATAGATCTACTCTTCGATTTGTGCGTTATTATAGTCTACTTTTTCTGACGGATTCTCATTCGCATTACGCACCTACCCTTAGTTAGTTAACTAGTTAACTAGTTAGTTAGTCTACTATAGTATGACTATGACAGGCTGTTGGCCGGTCTATTCCCAAAAAGGATGATGCATTCTGCGCCATGCCGGAGTGACAGCTATACGACGTATCTCAGCGCTTACACGCGAAAGATATAGGTTTACTGGGCCTAAAATCAGCCTGGAATCTGATCCAACTGGCATTGATACTAAACTATGCGGTCCAATTCAAGTGTGGTGAGACCAGCTGCACCGGCATTTGGCCTTGTCATGTCACAATAACCTGAACAGTATGTAGCAAGGGTATAACCAAAGACAAAAAAAAAAAAAAAAAGGAGTAAATCAGAAATACTTTAAGCCACCGCCACTTCCATAAACTGTCAACGTCGTGGTCAAGTTTACAGCCCCCGGAGCAAGCTGCCCTCTGCGAATGGGTTCAAATCTGACATATCGAGCATCGGTTTCGTGGCATTGCGATCCCCAGTAGCCACGCCATGCCCAATCGGCGCCCCCTGCACAGGAGCTTGGTGTCCTGTTCGCGCCAAAAGACTATTGGGAGCGAACGGGGTTTCGCACACAGCTGGTGCATCCGGTGTTTCTGCCGGGGATGCAGGAGCCGTATTGGGATGGCGATAGCGACTGCTGGCACTACGAGCCGTGTTAGATCGGTTTCGGGTGCGTATTTCCGGATTGGGCTGTGGCTCTGCTGGCGCTGGCGGTCGTCTCCAGGTCTTTGCGGGCGGGACCACGATTCCACCGGGGGCCTCGGGTCCGGTAGCAGCGTCAATCAGGGGCATCCCCGTCTCAACTGTAACGCCGCGTCCTTTGCGAATATGTTGCGGCGGTTCCTGGTACACCGGCGTCAAATCCACGAGCGGTTTGCCTTGATGCAGTGACTGCGACCGCTTGATTAACCCATCCGTATCGGGTGCGTGAGCCGAGGTCATGGTGTTAGACCGGCTGCCCGGTCGCGAAGCACTGGCCTGGCGTCGGGAAGTCGCATTGCCAGCAAGGCTTTGACCCACGAGTCCTTGGCTGAAAAGCTCGTCTGTTTCGCGCTTTTCCCTTTCCTCCCTTTCCTTCAGGGCCTTTTGACGGAGGGTGTATGTTCGTCCTAGCAGGCCAGATGATGAGAAAGGAGTTCCATCAGTCGACTGCACTCCAGGGTCCGGTTCATTGGCAAGGGATTTGGGAAAGGATGACGGTGGTGGACCAGGATCACGGGATGTTCTCTTGCGAGCGAATAATTGCTGTGTCCGCGACCGTTCAGCCGGAGGCTCTGCTGGCCGTTCTCTATCGTCGCTGCTGGGGTAGTCGATCGAATCTATCAATGGTTTGAATGTTCGAACCGGCGAAGTATTATCTTGGGGCTGGTTGATGCTTCTCGCATGCTCCGAGCTGCTCTCGGTCTGACCAGCACCCAGCTTGTTTACCAAGTACCAACTTCGCCACGATTGGACAGCCCGATAGAACCTTTCAGCAATTGATTTATCGTTGGTTGCAAAGAAATGGATGAAATTCTCGGTGGTGATGAACATGCTTGATTTCTGCTGGCTCTTCACTGCATGGCACAGTTTCTTCGGAGGTTTCACGGTACGAGTAAGAAAGGTTGGGGTAGGGGAGTAAATATCGAAATCCGACAGGTGGCATGCATAAGTCTGCTCTTTGCTTATTTCCTTCTTCGAGATCGTAATCTGCCCATCAGAGCGTAGTGTCACATAGCGCTTATCCCACTTGCGGGGCTTGTGGGAGTAGTAAATGTAGAATGTGGTATCCACAGGCTGCTCTGGAGAGAGTTTCTGCGCGTCAAGCAAAGCCAAAGCATCGATGCTGGCAGCCGGAACAATGATCAATCGGTTCTCCTCGTCATGGCCCCACGAGTTCATGACCTCGCGAATGTATTCATATTGACGCAACGGCCGTTCCAGCCCCGACGCGATAAAGGATTCCAAAAGAATAAACCCACGAGGCTCGATTTCGCCAGATAAACAGCTGGAAGCGGATGCCAATATGTCCTGCGCCGAAGTTGATGGCGTCACGGTGAACTTTTGAGCATGCTTTTTATACTGGACAACAACTCTACGCTCACCAGCGTTGACGGCGGATATGGGAGCGTCAATTCCGGGAAAATTCAAGGCAGCATCGACGGGGCTCCCCGAGGGTGATTCCCCCTTTGGCTTTTCTTTGGAGCGAGAAAACTTCATCGCCTCCCGGAGGGACCTTCGTGTCGGCTCGTTACTAGAATGCCGTTGACTATACTCCTTCGCCTGGCGTAATTTCTTTTCCGCCTTGGGAACCTCACGGTTGGTGGCAGCCCTTCCTCGCGTCATTGGTCTTTGCGCCGAAGACGAGGCCGCAGCCTTGTCGCAACCGCCGGTCAAGCGATCCATAGCATCTTGCCTATCCCGCTCTCGCTCCTCGTATTCCCTGTCACTCAAGTTCGGAGACGAGGTATTGTCATTTCCTTCCAGCAACGCTTTCCGACGAGTATCTCGTGCCATCGCACTCGGCAATTTTCCTTTTACTTTGGCGACCTCTGCTTCCTCCGAGGACGACGATGGCGGGGAAGAGTTATCACGTGTAGTCGTAGGAGGTTGGGCTCGGTAGGGTGGAGGTTGGCCTGCGGACGTGGGAAGCGGAGGCACATGGGGGGTTATATTCGAAGACTGGGTTTTTTGGCGTCGATAACGCGACATGCTCTTTTTAATAGTGGTGTTTGTGTCGGTTGTCCAGGCCGCCGTATCTTGCGATACAGACCCTGGCGCGCTCGCTGGAGTTGGGGCTGGAGGGACTGCAGTATGGATCGTAGTCCGGCCCTGTGCGTTGTTCGAGGCAGCCCTCCTCACAGAACGGTACCGGGAGAATTTCCCAGGCGTCGGTGCTTGTCCTCCCACCACCATGTTATCCTGGCTTTGCATCGCCATGATCGTCATTTCTCAGTATCGCAATGTTGACACAAGTATGATCGGAGACGCTATAATCATTCTAGTCCAGCTGCAATTGTGGTGCGTAGGATGTCGCATGCGACTTTTTGGCGAGTAAAGTGCCGGGAGGTCGATATTGCGACTCGACGGATCAAGAAACCAGAGGGGGAGAGCGAACCCGCCAGGAACTTCTGCTTCGAGAAACAATCACAATATCGAAAGAAGAGGACGGAGGAAATAAAAAGAACGCTGGGAAGCGCTTGTTTGCCCCCTAACGCCTGCAGAGATGTTTCACAAACGGGTTAATCACTTCATTCCCTGCGGACCATTGCCAACCCCAGAATAGGAACAGAATGCGGACTTCTGCAGGGTAACAGGAAAGAGAAATCAATTGTAGGTGTCGTGGAACGCCCTGGGCACTGCGGAGATTTAAGTCAGGCAGGTACCAAATGGAAATCTTGTAAGAACCAGCGTGCGGGAGGCAAGGGGGGATGGGCGTTGGATTTAATTCGCCCCAGATTCGAGGATGATGATGATGATGATGATGATGATGATAATAATGTCTTGCAGTGCTGGAGCTTGTCGAGTAATAAGAAAGATGAAGGAGGACTCGAGGGACATACAGCAGCAGAGGTGACTTGGAGGTTAGGTAGGTGGTGAGATGCAGTTTCTTAAATCCTCATTTCTTTCTTTCACCCACATCGGAAACGCAACCAAATCTCCTTCAGGCTTCATTAATCGAAGAATTGATCGTATCTTCTCAAACCTGACTATTCACTACACTATCCATTCGACAAGTCAGAGGGGATCAATAAAATGGCCTCTCTGCCCTGTTGATCGACACCCTTCATCCACAACTACTGAGCCACAGCGCGGGCGATTGACATCTCAGCTCGCAACCGATGGGCGTTAGAATGAGAGACTGAGACAAAGGGAATCTAGGGAAGCCTTCTGGAGACAACCCGTCGTTACAGAGTACAAAAAGTAGGCAGATGGGACCAAAATATCCCCCCCGGTTCAATAATTCCTGTACATCAATTGGACGAGATAAATTTATTCCACATTCCACATTTTGACGCGAGATGATTATACAAAAAGGACGGCGCCGGTTTGACCACAGTCTCACCTATCTCCAATTACGGATCCTCGTACTCCATTTCTTATATTAGTCCCTCCTTCCACTGATGGACCGCTTGGCAAATTATTTATTCTAAATTTCTTTTTTTGGATACTGACTCGGTGGAACGCCTCATTTCTTGTGTGGTCCCAGATGTTTCCGCCTAGATTCTAGCATTAGCCCTTACGCTGCACGAAATAACTGGTCGATCTCAATTAGAGCACTCACCACCACGCGACAAAATCAATGGTGTGCACATCAATGCCTAGGTCCCTCAATTCCTTGGTGGAAAGATGAGTGTCGTAGGGCCGTTGCACCGAGGCGGTTGGGTCGTTTCCTTGCTTGTTCTGAATCATCCCTGCCAACGACAACCCCAGCACGTCCGCGAACTTCTCACACATTTCGTACTTGGTCATACGATCCTCGGAGGAGAACTGGAGGATCCTGGGGAGTTCTTTGATTCGATGGCGCTCCTTGATATACTTGATCACAATGTCCCTACACACTCGCGCGACATCCTCGGTGTTGGTGGGATACCGTTGAGCCCAGTCGTCCATTGTCACCCCCGCGTTCGCATCCTGAGCCTTCCACACTGCGTCGACCAGGGTGTTCACGGCGCTCTCCGAGTTATGACCACTAATGCCGTAGAGCACCGGAACCCGTAGAACGAGGCCCAGTCCGCTCTCCTTGGTAGCCTCGAGCACAGCGATCTCCCCATCACGCTTGAGTTGACCGTACAGGTTTGGGGGGTTGGTCTCCGCATTGGCCTCGTAGGGTGCTTCCCCCTCGGTGCCAGGGAATACATAATCCGTCGAAATATATATCAGGAGAATGTTGCGGGAAGAGGTTGCTTCTGCGAGGATCCGAGTGGCGTCGACGTTGACGCGGCGTGCTTGGTCGGGATTCTTATCGCACAGATCTGGTGAACGATTGGCAGCACCTGGATTATGCGGCACAGCAGTCAATTATTGGCTTTAGAAAGATAAGTACTTGAACGTACAATGGATAACAATCTGAGGCCTAGAGCCAGCTCGTATTAGCATGCGGACGGTCAATCAATCAACCCTGGCCATATCGTTCACTAACGGCTGGAGGGAACGGCGTCAACGGCCAGGGACACATACTTAGCTTCATCCAGCAGATTCTTGATCTCCTCCGGCTTCTCCAAGTCAGCTTTGAGGATGGTAGGTGGATTGGCCCGTGAGAACCCCTGGCCCACGGTGAGACAGCCCGAGCGTTTAAACAGGTTGAATACCTGGCGTCCCAGGAGGCCAGTAGCGCCGGTAACAAGGACTGTGGTCGCCATTTTCTCAGGGTTAATTGAAGAGGGCAAGGTGAGAAAGTCGGACATTTTGAAGCTCTGGCTGGTCAAGGTAAGTAAGTTCCAGACCCAGCCGGGGCAGCACTGAATGACGTAACAATTCTAGCTTGGTTAGAGTTAAGGCTGTGTGGGCCAAAGGGATCTTGGGAAGAATTAAATATTGGGTGCTGGAAAATCCTCAAGATAATGATTATTATCCAACTTTTGTGGAGAGGTGAGTATTACAGCCAGCAAGCTCATCTGCAGGTTTCTAGCCCTGGTAGTTTGGCAGGATGAGGGAGCGTGGGGGTAAACCTCTCCATTATCTATTGGGGCCCCAGCGCACAGGATCTATCTGAACTGTGAACATTACTCTTATTCTTAGCATATAAAGGGATTCATTTCTATACCTTGGTAGATGTATAACAATACCTTATATAGCACATATAATAATTATTATTGTAGAAACCTAGAGAATACTGTAGTACTCCGTACCTATACTACCTAATTGCAAAAATCATGTTGAATTGAAGGGGTATCTCGTGATGTACTTAGTAAGCAAAGGGGGGTTATTACCCTATATTAAGGCCTTAGGCAAGCACACAACCCCCTAATAGATATACATATCAATATATCCAATCACCTGCTTTTATTAAGCTACCCCTAGGATTATTATATATCTAATAATTAAGAGTCTTATATTTACTTAAAGTACATGAATCTATACTAATGCCCCCTACCAAAATTTACTAATTATTAAAATACCAATAATCCCTATTAAACCTACTAATTAGTGAAATACTGAGCGCAATACCTCTAACTACTAATAATAAAGATGATGTAGTAAGGCTTACTAAGCAGGAAGACTAGCTAATATGGTAATCCTTATTTAAAGCACGGGCGAGAGACAACTATCTATAGGAGATAATAAAAGGTAATAAGAGTTATTTATAATAACTTACTAGATTAATTAAGAATAGTAGAGAGATTTTACTAGTAAATAATACTAGAAGTTTTATAATATTATTATAAGACTTTAATTCTAAAGTAGTATTCTATAAAATAGAAATAGATAAGTATAACTATTAGGATATAGATGTCACAGTGCGAAGCCGTAGTACCTATCTAGTTAGATTCTGCCTTGACTGTCCGCCCTTATTCCTGTATTTAAGCCATATTATCCTTAATCCTGTTATAGCTCTTCAAGCTACATCTTATCTATTACCTAATACTTACTATTCTACTATTTTATTTAGTTAGCTCCTAGTTAATAAATATCTAAATCTAACTCTGCCCCCTAATATTATATAGCTCCTCTCTACTAGGAGTTAATTACTACTATTATACCTATCTTACTATCTATACTACCTAAAAGTATAGAAACCCTCCTATATAATACTCTTAATAAATTAAAATAGTATATTACTAAGATATACTAGTTCTCTACTACTACTATAAAAGAACTTTATAAATTATTTATTCTATATTTTATTATTATTAATTTTCTTAACTATATTTAATAAAAAGATAGTATAATTAAATACTAGAAAATATAAGCTAAAGAAATTTAATAAGAATTATTTAAAATACTTACTTAAAATAATATATTTTCTTAATTATTATCTTTTTTTAAAAGAGATATTAATATTACTATTCCCCCTACTACTATTATTACTCTTATTATATTTATTTTTATTATCTAAATCTCTAAATAACTTCCTAATCTTAATAAATTTAATAGTTAATAAAGTAACTTAAGATATTTTATTTCTTAAATCTACTAGAAAATAATTATAAATCTTAATTATTTTTTAATCCTAAATAATAGAATAATTTATATAACTAGTTATCTTAAAGAAATCTTATATATCTAAATCTTACTATATATTTAAGATAGAATCTATAAATTAAGTAATTATATTAAGATTTTAAAAATCTTAAAGAAAGCTTTTAGAAACCTAAATCTAAAAATTAATACTTATATTAATTTATTCTATCTTTAATAAATTTATTATAAGTTTAATATTTTTTTTATTAAATTCTAATACCTTATATTAGAAGGGAATATAAATAAAGATATCTTATTTATAATTTTAGAATAAATTATTAATTAAGAATTTTAAGAGATATTAATATATTTTAAGGTCTTATTATAATACTATAACTTTATTAATTACTTATAAAATCTAGAAAACTACTACTACTATTATATAAGTACTACTCTATCTCTATTTATAAAGAATTCCTAGCCTCCCTAATCTATCTTAAAGTTAACTCCTACTACCTAAATTTCTATAGTCCTTATTAATCCTATTATTACTACTACTCCTACTAAAGACCTAATAGACCTGTCTACTACTTATTACCTTAATTATTAAACCTAATATCTATATTACTACTATAGTAGTACTAACTACCTAGTAAATAGCTACCTGTACCCTAACTAAAGACTAACTAGCTATATTTCTATATCTACTACTAAACTAGACCTGTACTCCCTATTAACTAGAACCCTGCCTGCTAAATATCCTATATTCCCTAAATTAAAAAATAGAGTATTCCTAACCTAAATTATAATTAAAGATATCCCTAATACTCTCTTTACTTATTAAAGGCTATAATAACTAGAATAATAGTAAAGAAGGAAAGTTATTAATCTAAATTAATAATCCTACTTATTAATCTAGAAATCCTTAATAAGACTTTACTAATCTTTACTATAATTAACTCTAGAGCTAAGAGTAAATATTTTATAGATTATAATTAAATTATAAATAATTAACTAGAAATATTATTATTAAGGAATTTTATCTTATTAAAAGGATTTAATAGTACTCTAGTAAAGTCTAGTAATATTATTTATTTTATTTATTTAATTTAAAGAATTTATAATTATATTAAAAAAAATATTACTTTTCTTATAATTTAATTTATATACTTTCCTATTATTCTTAGCTTACCTTAATTAAAGATCTATAATCTTTAAATTAAATTTATTAATTATATTATTTTATTTAAAAGCCCTTATTATAAAAAGTACTATAATATACTTTTAAAGCTTATAAAGATTTTAATATTATATAATATATTATTAAAAGCTTCTTTCTAATACCTTAATTCCTGCTCTAAACCTCTAAAGAACTAAAATATTACTAGAGTCTTGATTACTGCCTGTACTATATATGCCTACTATAAATATTAGATATTTATTACTACTATTACTAATATTAAAGCTACTTTAAATCCTATTATTATTATTAAATTTAAATTATAAAAATAACTACTCTCTAAATTTATTAAATTTTATAATATATTTTTATTAAAAGAGGCTAAGTACTTACTACTTTACTAATTTAATAATTATAAGATTAAATTACTATCTAGAAAAATTCTACCTTTTAGGAGCCTATATAACATGTCTTAAGATAAATTAAAAGTTTTAAAGAAATAGATTAAAAAAAACTTAAGAAAAGATTTTATTTATTTTAATTTCTTTCTTACTATATTCCCTATCTTATTTATAAAAAAACCTAAAGAAGGCCTATAATTCTATATAAATTATTAAATCCTAAATATAATTATTATAAAAGATTATTATTTACTATTACTAATAAAAGAGATACTAAATAACTTAAAAGGAATAAGATATTTCTTAAAAATTAATATTATTTCTACTTTTAATAATCTATAAATTAAGAAAGGATAAGAATATTTTATTATTTTTTAAACTTAATTAAATCTATTTAAATCCTTAATAATATTATTTAGGCTTACTAGAGCCTTAAAATTATTCTAAAGATTTATTAATAAAGCTTTATATAATTATCTAGATATTTTCTATATTATATATTTAGATAATATTCTGATTTATAGCTAAATCTATACTAAATATACTTATTATATCTAATAAGTATTAAAATACTTATAAGTAGTAGGACTTTATACTAAATTTAGTAAATATAAATTCTTTATATGCGAGATAAAGTTCCTAGAACTAATTATAGGTAAAGATAGCTTTTAAATAGATCCTAATAAAGTAAAAATAATTACTAAATAAGAAATACTAACTTATCTAACTAATATTTAAGTCTTTATTAACTTTAGGAACTTTTACTACTAATTTATCTATAATTTTTTAAAAATTATTAGACTATTAGTTAACCTAATTAAGAAAGATATTAACTTTAACTAGATACTTACCTACTAAGAAATATTTAAATAATTAAAAGCTACTTTTATAAATATCCTAATATTAAAATTTTTTAATTAGTTAAAAAATATAATTCTAGAAATTAATATCTCTAATTATATATTTACTAAAGTACTATTATAATATAATAATAAAAATATATTATACCTTATTATATTTTTCTCTAAGAAATATTTTATAATAGAATATAATTATAAGATTTATAATAAAGAATTATTGTCATGGGGAGCAGGCAGGCAGTAGGTATAGCTAATAGCAGGGTGTATATTCAGGCTATCTACATATAGGTACAATAGGTAGAGGTCAGGTTAGGATAAGGATATAGCTTAAAGAGCTATAATAAGATTAGGAATAATATAACTTAAATATAGGAGTAGAAATAGATAGTTAGGGTAGAATCTAACTAGATAGGTATATAGCTATACTATAATAGTATCCCCTCTTTTAGGCTAAGCTCTAGTAAAGTATTCCTAGGGTCTAGGCTTTCTAGGATAATAGTAATAATAAGTAGTAATATATTTAGTAATATTCTTTAGGTGGCTAGCAGGAACTTTAGTAATAATAAGATATCTAACCTACTTAATAGTATACTTTAAATATAGGTAGCTACTTTAGCTATAATAATTCTAGTAAGAATTAACTATTTTCTTAATCTCTTATTCCTTAATATTATTAATTTTAATATATAGGGGTTTAGTTTTTTCTTATTTAAATAATAAATCTTTAGTAATTAAGTATAATAATTTAATATAAAATACTAGATATATTTTTATGCTCTTAAGTAGATCTAATTTATAGGTATAAGGGCTAATAACCCTCCTAATAAAAAAAAAATCTAGATTTTTCTAGTCTAATTTCTTTTAGAGATGCAGGGTTATAATATTTTTAATATTTAATTAGATTAATTAGCTCTTAGTATAGTATCTAGTAAGATAATATTTTTAATTAGTATAGTATTTATAGTAAGCTTAAGTAATAACTATAGTAGTATAGTAATATTCCTATATTTACTTTATAATTAGAGTAAATTAATAAGTATTATAAGTTTATAAGTAGTAATTAAGTAGGATAGGCTTAAATCTTATATAGGGGTTAAAATTATATAAAGTAAAGAATAAAAAGTATCTAGTAATCTTAAAATTAGTATTATTAGTAGTAAATTTTACTATAAATAGTTATTTAA